GCAAGACCATACTGAGCTTCAGCTCAACAGAAACGGACCCCTTGGTATAGAAATAGGCTCACCGGAAGCTGCCATCCCACAGCAAGTCGTACTCCTGACAGCATCTGGACCGAACAAACGCTTTCTAAGTTGGGTCTATAGTGAACTCAATGAGGACTCAACTTCATCGTTCGAACGAACGTGTGGGGAACACTGGAACAACCGTAACTCGATCAATTCAAGTCTGATTCTTGTTCTTGTGACCTCCCAAGGTTCAGCCCCTGTGAACTTGTTGTCAGCATCAAACCAGAGGCCACTCAGACATGCCGCGTCGAACAGTATCAATATTACAAACTGATAAGGCAGAAGGAGAGATCCTCGGACTTCAGACACTTCATATCGGGAAACAATCGGGATCTAAGACTGGAATAAGACCTCCGCAATGTAAATTTCAGAGACACAACGTCACGTTTGGGCAAGGTTCTGTGGTAAGCTCAAAACCCATAATATTTGGGAAGGGGGTTTCGATATCGGACAAGAGGATGAGAGGGAGGGACTTGATCTGGGAATATGCGATGCAAAAAATCAGATCCGCTTAAACACTCGCAATTATCATAGTTGAGATTCTAGCCATTCCTGATGACATCGTGTTTCTTCATACTGGACTGCACGCCCATGCAGCCAGAATGCACCTTGCCGCTGTATTTAAGTGAGCCGCACACCACGGAACCGTGGGACAGGATTGCATACAGTAAAAAGGTCAAGGTATGCGGCTCTCCCTTTTTGAGCGTAGGATCCCCGTCTAGGAAGGAAATGGGGTGTATGTGGCGGCGAATATAAAAAGGAGAAGGTGGGTCTTTTTGCTTATGTTCACGACCACACCCAGTCCGGAAGGTGCTTGTGCTGAATAAGCGTGGTTCGGCCGACTTTACAACAATGACCAAGAAAGTGGTGCAGCAGCACAAAGAGAACGGAGAACAATGGAGGGGAAAATATCGACAGAGACGACATACCAGTACAAGCACGACAACGAAAAAATCAGTGAAGCGAAAATGAAGGAATCGACAACTACAGTACAGTACGGGTTTCAAGAGCTTCAGGCCGTTATTCAACTCTGTGTAAGCCTATTGGTGTTTTATGTGACAGTCGATGTCTGACTACTTGTCCAAAGTTCACTATGAGTAGCCTAGCAGAAGTCATGTATTCAGCCGTATGGTATACTGTGGGCTGAAACACCCTACATGTCAGTATACGCCTAGATACCTTCCAGTATGTACGATACCAGTACGAGTAGTGCACCCTAGCGGTCAACTGCTTCCAAAGACCACAAAGACCCGCTTAGTGGATCGAGATACCTGTCCCCAGCGGCTAAGTTATTTGCCAAGAGGACGATTTGGAAAATATTGCTCATTGGTTCAGTCGGCCGAGATCTTCACATTGTACAGTATGCAGTTGAAGCCTGCGGCGGTGTGTTTGTGTGAGGACAAGCAGAGAGAATGAGTGATATCGATGCATGATCACGCCATGGGGGCTGAATGGAGACAGCGACATCATTCACGCGCGAGCTATATACGAATAACTGTCATACCCGAGAGAATAGTTGAGAGTGTAGCAAGCTCCGGAGCCCGTAATGCCATCCGTGATGATACCTGTACAGTAATTATGGTAGATGGCACATCCTATCGAAACCGTTGAGATCGATCGACAAACCGGCTGTAGCCGACCACCCAACCACCATCTCTGAATCGGCGACATGTCCGGACCGGCTTCCAGCACAAGATGCGACTCTACTTCCGTACCTTTGTTCGGAGCCATACTTTGACCGCCTTTTGGCACCTCCCGCCCTGCCAAGCCAGGTGCCAGACTTCCTCTCGTCCGGAACATCCCTGGTCATGCGACGATGTCTGAGGGCTGTCGACTTTGAGCCCTCAATTCTTTGTGTGGACTGCGGAATATTTCGGGGTATGGTTTACCCCACTTCATTTCAGAGCACCGAGCAACTCTGTTTCGAAACCTGGGGTGCACAAATGCATGTCTGGGAAATCCGGGGTTAAGAATAAGCTATGGAGCTTATTTGATACAAACTCTAAACTCCCAACCAACAACTGTTGGCACAGTTGTCACTAACCAAAATTCCCTGCAGAAAAAAGACAGCCCACCAGCCTCGTGACGCTTGCAAAGTTAAGCCGCGGGAGTTGGTGTATTTACGCGAAGTCGTTGATTGTGCGTCCAAGTTCCTGAGGCATTCCAGCTGTTGGCTCGACAACCTGATCCGGACTTGTTCTTTTACTAAAGCCGACTAATATACACCCCTGTCATCGGGGAGATAAATATTGTCGGAACCGGTCCATATTTTTTGCCCTCCGGATCCCTTGTTTGACGCAACCAACGACCATCAGATGGGCTTTTGACGCATCCCGATGTGAGCGCCAAGCGGTGCCAAGCGTTCTCACACATAGACGGCACTACATTACATACAAGCAAGTGACGGCGAGCACAAGATTGAGGACTCGTCGTTGGAACGGTGGGTAACAGTCTTCATCAGCCCTTTCAATGGGGTGCACTTTTGGCGTCGCCCTCCTGAATATTTTTTTCTCCTTCCCTTCTAAATTGAGTTCCCACTAATACCAACGTAAAAGTCATACAGCTGATGTTGGTGTTCTTAAACAGGACTACTGAGACGACAGCACGTAGGGGGACACTAAGGGCTATAGGGATCAGGAGTCCCAATTATGGGCAGCGATAATCCCCCCTTATTTTCATAGAGATCATCCCTCTGTCTCTCTCCTTCGTTCTCTTTTGCCCGTTTACCTCGCTTATTCCGTTGCGTGTCTCAGTTCCATTATGCGTACAGTACTGTTGTGGCAGAAAATACGGCTTTTTCTGGTCGCTTTGTTTTTATGTTTTGCTTTTGGCACTCTCACCTGCGTGCTGTGTCTTCTCTGTAGCCACCTGACAAGCTGTCTTCCAGCTGTATTTGTATTTGGTGGGCACTACTGCATTTGAAACAGAATGACAGACCCACAGAATGTACAGAGAAGACCGAGAGCGGTACGGTACGAGATTCGTACACCCAGTGTATAGATCTTGACCTACTTGCTCTAACTGAGTTATACCAGCATCAGCTGTTTTTGACAATGACCTTTTGAGATCGCAACTCTAATGATTGCTGCCTGGTGTCCACAGCTCTGCTTCTGTGCGCAGACAGGCAGATTTGAGGTCCAGCTAGTTTAGCCTAGAGTAGCCACTGGGTAGTTTCATGACACAATGCTCATCTTGTTAATTAGATTCCTTTTGGTATGTCTCCGTGGACAGGGACTGATACGTCATAATACCTCAAATCGAGGTTGCGGAACGAACACAGCAGTATGTACAGTGCTTTAGTGAACGGGTTGGAAACGGTGGCTTCAAGGAGATGAAATGTTTCTGGTTAGCCGCATCCAACCGTCTCAAATCCGTCTAGTGACGATGTCTGGCTGTTTGTAACAACCGTAGAGACGCGATGTTGTGTCATGGATATTTTATGGCAGGAAACTTTAATGGCGCCATGAATTGTGGTATAATGAGTGCCATATATGAGTTTTGAGAAGGGAAAAAAGGAGAAAATCGATAGTCGTCAGTCATATCCTCGGGCTGGCTTGCTTTGGTCTGTATTATTTGCACTCCTTCCACCCCAACTGCTCGACACTTTCAAAAGAAGGTTCATGCCGAGGCATTTAGTACGAAAAACGAGCAAAGCCTTGTTGGAGGCATTTGTAAGCGTGCCAGAATATCAGCAAGTGTGTGGGAAAGATGGGTGCACTTTTTTGCACACGGCTACAGCCTGGATCAAATTTGGTGTTTGAGATTTCTCCAACGGCTCCTATTTTTAGCTCACAGTAACAGGAAAAACGAAGCGAAGGGCCGGAAAAATCATCGACAAGGGTGCCAAAGTGAGAGCAGCAATGTATACCGGAAACACTGCAAAACGGGTTCAAACAGAGCAGGAGTCGTCACCAATAGATACACCACTTGTAGCAAGTATTATCACGACCAGGGGCAACCATCCCTAGAAAAACTATCAGTCTGGGGTATTAACCGCCATCTGTTGAAAGTATTAAGGTTGATTACGTCCGAAAGGATAACGGGACCCTTGGTGTTGGTGGAGAGTGTTTAACAAGGCTAGACATAGCTACCGGTACTACAACGTAATTGTCCTGGAACAAAGAAGTTGCACTACTTGTGCCAGCAGCTAGCATCAGCCTATGGAAACGCCTGCATTCTTGCTCTCGGCCTTGTGTGGACCAAGCGCGGGCTTTGCAAAGCTCGGTCTTTGACGTGGAGCCCGCACCGCTCGTAATTACATGTGGACACTCTTGGGTGCGCCTTTCAAAACAGGTTTCCCCAACATGAGAACTCAGTTGCCGCCAAGACTGTAAAAGCCTAAACGGAATAACCAAGAAATTATCCCTCTGCTATAGGCCGAATCAAAGTTTTCCCCGGACGGATGGGACTTATGGATTATACGACTATGGGTAGCGCGTAAGCTGAAGCCAAGGGGTAGTTCTCAAGAGAAAGAAACTTGCAAGAAACACAAAACCAAGGGCGCACACAAAGACAAATCTGGCCTGGTGATGGAAGAAATCAAACTACTTTTTGTTGCAGTTCTTAATTGTATGGGGTAGAAGAGAGGGTTAGAGAGAGGCTACTTTAAGGGCGGTGGGAACAGAAGCCTCCGATATAGCCAAGCCAACCCGCCATTATTTGTCTATGTGACCCTGGCCACTGGATCAGTCCTCTCCCCCCATACGATACCATACTCTCCATCACTGGCAAAGTCGCATAACCAACACTTATGCGTCTATGCACACATTTTTACAAAGAAGCTAGTCCCAACCGAACTCAAAAAGTAAGATGCAGGATGCATGATGTATGGCGGGGTTAAATTTTGCAGATATCGGTCAGACATGTGGAATATATAAAACGCCAGATCGCCATGGAAATAACAACATCATCAACCCCATTCACCCTCTTCTACAACCATGAACACCGAAATCCCCGATCTCGAAAAGCAGCAGATTGACCACAACTCTGGCTCTGACGACCCCCAGCCTATCCACGACGATATGGCCCCCGTGTCTCGAATCCGATCCTCTGGACCCAACCACGAGTACATTCATATTGCCGACCAGAAGTTCCACAGAGACGACTTCTACAGGGCCTTTGGTGGTACCCTGAACCCCGGTGGAGCTCCCCAGCCTTCCCGAAAGTTCGGTAACCCTGCTCCTCTCGGTCTGTCTGCCTTTGCCCTCACTACTCTTGTTTTCTCGCTGTGCACCGTCCAGGCTCGAGGTGTCCCCAACCCCAGCATCGCCGTTGGCCTTGCTCTGTTCTACGGAGGTGTCTGCCAGTTCGCTGCCGGTATGTGGGAGTTTGTCCAGGAGAACACCTTTGGTGCTGCTGCTCTTACTTCGTACGGAGGTTTCTGGATGTCTTGGGCTGCTATTGAGATGAACGCATTTGGAATCAAGGACTCTTACAACGACCCTATTGAGGTTCAGAACGCGGTTGGTATTTATCTGTTTGGATGGTTCATTTTCACTCTCATGCTCACTCTGTGCACTCTGAAATCGACCGTGGCATTCTTTGGGCTCTTCTTCATGCTGATGATGACATTCTTGGTACTGGCGTGTGCGAATGTGACTCAGCACCACGGCACTGCCATTGGTGGCGGTTGGCTCGGTATCATCACTGCTTTCTTTGGTTTCTACAACGCCTACGCCGGTCTTGCCAACCCTGGAAACTCCTACATTGTTCCCGTTCCTCTTGACATGCCCTTCGTCAAGAAGGACTAAGAAGAGACACAATCTGCTCCCGTTGAGTGTAGTTAGTTTAGGACATTAATTTATTCAGTTTAATTGAGACGATTTGTCAATCGCATCATGTGATAGTACACAACCAGTCGCCCTTGTACTTGCTTGTACCTGTCTACCTATCTCGTTTATGCCTCGATCTCCCAACAGATAGCAACGCCTGAAAGCTTAAAACAATCGTCTTTGGCCATTAGTGGCGGTCCAAAAATAAGCACTTTCAGACGCACCTCGGAACAAAATACCAAAACGTAATAATCTTGGCGCATCAGAATCTCATGACGTCGGCAGTATTTCGTATACAACGTTGTTGGACGCTTCAGAAATAACTGCACCAGTTGATTTGCGTGTTTGCACTTCCGTTGGAGCCTGTGCGTCCGCGCTGGTGTGTACTACGAGTGTATGACACGTCTCAGCTGTGCAGCATGTGGACTTGGCTTTTTCGATTTGTGTTCTGGACTTAGCGACGAGTATAACTGGCCCAAGGTGTTATAGAGCAATATGGGGATATTTCGGAGGCTGTCTTGTAGGGCTAAGGCGAAATTTCGGAGCAGCGCCGTAGCGTGCATGAGGCTGAATATTATCTGAAAACAGAATTGGTCCCTGAAAGGAGGGGAAGGTGATCTTCGCGTACCCTGCTTGTTACTTTTTTGTCATTCTACATCATTGTTTGGAGTTGCCTACAAGCTGCCATCTTTACCATGCCTCACGCACGTGACTCTCTTCGATATTAGCAGGAAAAAAGGAGGGCAGGAAAACTTTAGAGTTGACAGAGGTGGGTCCTGGCAAAAAAAGGAAGACCGAATGGCTCAAAAAAATGCGGATGAGTGCATTAGAGAGTACAAAGACGTTTTGCGTGCATATTCATTTTTCATGTTTGACGAAGATGACAATAGTGGCGAGGCTGCACTGCAGTTCATCATGTTTTGCTATTTAACGTTGTTCACAAATATGTCTAACTGAGGAAACAGTTTTTGTTGAGGTATACTTGGATATTTCAATGAAACTAACTATAAGTTAGATATAGTTGAAGCATGGTTAGACAAAGCATCTAGACTAGTTTCAGGCGAAGCTACCTAAGCTCCCCCCCCCCCATCAGCACACTTAATATGCACTGTAGAATCACAGGTACAGCGTAGTGTCGTCTTGGCTGTTATGGGTCGCGCCAATGCTCTCGACTTTTCGTTCCCACGTGTTTGCTTTTTCCTCTTTTCATCACCAGTCGGCGTGCATCTTTTTCTTTTGCATCAACACGAAACACGAAAAAATTTAAGCTCGCCTTAAATTGATCAGTCTCAAGGAAGCGGGTGAACGACGTGTATAGAGAGGTAGCGTAAATTGGCAAAGTTGACAAGTCGCTTGTTTGGCATTTTTATGCCTTTTTCGATGTATATTTCCTAGGTCACGTGGCAGAATATGCGTCAAAAACCTCCCCGTTTCCCCAAAATAGGGTTCTGTGGCGAGCCTTACATCTACAGGTGTGTCAGATCAACAACGACACGAACACAAGCACAAGCCAGATACCACATTCCAGATGGAAAATACCAAGAGGAGGGAGTTTTCTCATCCGTATACCCCATACCCCATCCAGGTGGATTTTATGGAGGCTCTTTATGATTGCATTGAGTCCTACAAGGTGGGTATCTTTGAATCTCCCACTGGCACAGGAAAGACGTTGTCTCTTATCTGTGGTAGTATGACGTGGTTACGTAAGAACAAGGCGCAATTGGCGGTTTCAACGGCTAGTGCTGACGAAAACGAACCCGCTTGGGTGCTGGAACAGACCATTCAACTGGCCAGAGAGGAGTTTTCACGTAATCGAGAAATGTTGCAGAAGCGTCTGGACAAGATGAGGAGAAAGAATATGAGAGCACGAATCAGCTACGAGCAGGGATTCAAGCGTGCCAAAAAGGCTCCAGAACCTGTGGACGACTCTCAATTCCTTCCAGAAGATTACTCCGAGGTGATCAAGCCGGAAGTTCAACGGCTGTTGTCAGCCCTGGCTCCTCCCGTGGAGAACGACTTTCAGGAGCCTGTCAAGATCATTTTTGCCTCTCGAACGCACTCGCAGCTGTCCCAGTTTGTGGGACAAATGCAACATACGACGTTTCCCCCTTCCTCTGATCTTCAAGACCTGGAGAGTACCAAGCTCATTTCTCTGGGCTCGCGTAAACAGCTGTGTATAAATCCGCGAGTAAGTCACATGAACAGCGTACAGGCCATGAATGACGCGTGTCGTGACTTGAGAGAGGGTAAGAAGGGCGGTTGCAAGTACTACAAAAATCCACACGACGCTCTAGGGAAGGTAGACATCAACACATTTCGAGACACGACACTGGCAGAGATTCTGGACATTGAAGATCTGTACAAGCTGGGAAAACATACCTCTACATGTCCGTACTATGCTTCTAGAGCCTCTATTCCTGCATCGGAGGTCATTACTGTTCCGTATCAGATTCTATTGTCTCGATCTGCACGGAAGGCCATAGACCTACCAGTCAAAAACTCCATCGTCATCATTGATGAGGCACATAATCTGCTCGACACAATAACATCGCTCCATACAATGTCTATCACCAAATCTCAGGTGTCCTCTGCCTCTTCTGGACTGCAAAAGTATCAGCACAAGTTTCAAAACCGTCTCAACTCGGGAAACAGAGTCAATCTCGGCTATCTCGTGAACATGCTTCAAGCGCTGGAGGTGTTCTTTGAGAAAGCCCAAAAGTTTCACAAAAAGGAAACTGCACCCGGAACTCCCGTAACCACATCTTCCCTGTTTGATGGCAGTACTGCTGATCTCATCAATGTCAACAGACTGGAAAAGTACATTGACGAGAGTAAGATTGTGTTCAAAATTGAGTCATACCTGGAGCATGTTAATGGTGAGACTCAGGAGAAGAGCCACTCTTCGTCTCTAGTTCTCTCGAGTGTCATGGAGTTCCTCAGACAGGTGAATAATCCCGATTCGGAGGGCGTTCTCTGCTTTGATGGACCTACAAAACTCAAGTACCAACTCCTTGATCCTAGTGAACCCTTCAAGGACATTGTGGAGAACGCCAGATGTGTGGTGCTTGCTGGTGGAACCATGGAACCTACTGGGGACTACCTAGAGTATCTACTTCCCTACCTGTCTCAAGATCAGATCAAGTTGTTCTCCTGCGGACACGTTATTCCTCCACAGAACTTGTCCGTTCAAGTCATTCCGAATGGCCCCAACTATTCCTTCAACTTCACCTTCGACAAGCGAAACGATGAGAAGATGATTCTGGATGTAGCAATAACATTGTTGGTGTACTCCAAGATCATCCCTGAAGGTATGGTGGTTTTCTTTCCGTCATACAAGTACCTGGAGCAGGTGGTTGCGGTATGGAAGAAGGCCAAGAAGGACGGCAAGAACATCTACGAGATTCTGAATGACCAGAAACGAATCTTTGTCGAATCTCAGCATGATTCTGTAGAGAAGACTCTGTCTGAGTACGCCGAGGAAGTCCCCAAGGGAGCTATTCTGCTCTCAGTGGTTGGAGGCAAGATGTCTGAAGGTATCAACTTTTCAGACGGACTTGCACGTGCCGTCTTCATGATCGGACTGCCTTTCCCTAACCTCATGTCTGCGGAAATCATCGCTAAGAGAAAGTACATTGAGCAGTCTGTGTCTGAGAAGATGAAGGCCAAGGGAGTCTCTGCAAAGGAAGCTCTGGAGGCTTCGAAAGGAGCTGCGCGTGACTTTTACATGAACATTTGTCTGCGAGCAGTCAACCAGAGTGTGGGACGAGCCATCAGACATGCCAACGACTATGCTTGCATCTTTCTGCTTGACGGGCGGTTCGGCAAGCCTGAGATTCAAAAGAAGTTGTCCAAATGGATGAGGGAGGGTATTAGAGAGGGTTCATTCAAGGAGGCCCTAGGAGAAGTCCAACAGTTCTTTGCTTCTCATGAAAAGAACTAAACCCGACATTAATTAATGCATTTCAATAAAACCGCTCTTGATACAGTGCAATGTAGCACTCCGTATGATCGGCATGTCTCCCCACCACCGAGGACTTAGAGTGGGAGCTTAATGGTGTATGGGGGATTGTATGGTAGTAGCAATCACAGTAGCTATACAGTAAGGAGCATGTGATGGTGACTGGTAGAGACAATTGGCTAACTACAAATATATACGCAATGCTCAATTCATTAGCGACCTTCACATGATACACCCATGCAGAAGATATTCGGTATGACCCGGATAGTGCACCAGTGCCGCCGTGGCAAGCAGAGTTTCCTGCACTGATAAGTGGGCGGATAAGAGTTTAGTAGTGGCTGGTGGGTGGTAAAACAGTAGTATGGGTATATGTAAGAAGAGAGCGTGTGTGTGTGCGGTCCTTTAATGGTCTCTTGGTACTGGATGCCGTTGAATCAATTGGTGTCGATGTCACCCAAACATCCCTTTTTACCGCGCAAAACCTCCACTCCTCGTCTTCATTGCTGTACCCCCACCATTTCGCATTAAGTTACTACAAGTAGAGTGCCGTTCCTTGGGGAGGAGCTTATCTCGCTTGAAACCTCGACACTTCGGTTCAATGTTACATAGAGTAAGTGAACGGCGCCAAGCCGGGTACATCGCATGTGCCGGACGGTTGTGGGTGGTGGGTGGGATGTTAGCGAGCGGGTGAGTGTGTGTCACTGTCGGTTCGGACAGATTGACTCCAGCACCCATGAGTCACGTGATGAGGACGTCTCAATCGCGTACCCCTCGATGGCCCCTCCCCCTGATTGTTTAGCGTCGGTTTCAGACGGTCACTTTGGGTATGTGTGTAAATGGCTCGGGTTACTGCACTTGTGCCCCTGCCCAGACAGATAAATGCACACCCTGCATATATTAAACTCAGGAACGGCGGCGATAGAGAGGTGGGCAAGATTGTGGGTGTATAAAAGGGAGGTGATCCGGGCCCGGAAACAGCATCAACCAACAAGATGAGACTCTCAATAATCACTACCGCCCTCGTGGCAGCCTCTGCTTATGCCTACGACGTTGTCCAGAACGTGGCCAACCCAGGATACTCTCTGCGAGTGTCGACTGAGGATCCTTCTTCTCTCGGAGTCGACACTGTCAAGCAGTTTTCGGGCTACCTGGACGTTGGGAAGGACAAGAAGCACTTCTTCTACTGGTTCTTCGAGTCCCGAAACGACCCTGCTAAAGACCCCATTGTGCTCTGGCTGTCTGGAGGCCCCGGGTGCTCTTCCATGAGCGGTCTCTTCTTCGAGAACGGTCCTTCCTCCATCGGAGCAGACATCAAGCCCATCAAGAATGACTTCTCCTGGAACTCTAACGCCTCCGTCATCTTCCTGGACCAGCCTGTCGGCTCCGGTTTCTCTTACTCTGACGAACCTGTCGATACCACCGCCGCCGCCGCCATTGACGTCTACGCCTTCCTCAATCTCTTCTTCACATCTTTCCCCCAGTACAACAAGGGCCAGTCTTTCCACATCACTTCCGAGTCCTACGGTGGCCATTACGCCCACGTGTTCGCTGAGGAGATTCTCAAGCACAGCAAGCCCGAGCGAGTCTTTGATCTCGCCTCCATTGCGGTTGGAAATGGCATCTGGGACTCTCTGCACCAGGCTGCCGGTTACGAGCCCATGGGATGCGGAAAGGGTGGTGTGCCCGCAATCTTCGACGACAACACTTGTAAGGGAATGCAGGATGTCCTTCCCCAGGTTGTATCAGAGATCCAGCAGTGCTACAACGACCCCCAGAACTCCAATGTTTGCCAGCAGGCTGTAGGTGACTATAACGATGCTTTCTTGGGCCCTATCTCTCAGACAGGTCTTAACGTCTATGACATTACCAAGAAGTGCGACACTAGTGTCCCCAGTGGTCTCTGCTACGCTGGTATGGAGTACTCTGTCCAGTACCTCAACAAGCCCGAGGTCCAGAAGGCTCTTGGTGTCCACCCCGGCATCACCTTCTCTTCTTGCTCTGGCCAGGTCAACGGCGCCTTCTATGACCAGTCCGATGAGGTTTTGCCATACATCAAGGCTTTCCCCGCTCTTCTGGAGAAGATCCCCGTGCTCATCTACGCTGGTGACCGAGATTACATTTGCAACTGGGTTGGAAACCAGTACTGGACAGGCAACCTCACTTGGTCCGGACAGGATGAGTTCAACAAACAGCAGCTGTCTTCCTGGAAGGTCGAGGGCGAGGCTTCTGGTGAAATCAAGAACCACGGACACTTTACCTTCCTCCGAGTGTTTGGCGCTGGCCACATGGTTCCCCACGATAAGCCCAAGCAGGCCTTGGCTATTCTGAACCGATGGATCGGTGGTGATGTCACTCTTGCCGACAAATAGGCACTTGACGCTGCTACTAATATTCTACTACCATAGATTCTTGTATAATTTATTAATATGTCTTACTGCTTATCCCTGAGGTCCCAGAACCAAGGGACTCGCAACCACATTCTGATCGTCCGGAATGAAATCTGTATGGGAATTGCGCTTGAGAAGCAGTTCTCTGCGCTCCCAAAAGAGTGACTGGTGTAGCATCGCCTGACCCGTTTGAGAAAACTGCCAGGATTCAAAGACTTCCTCTTTTCGTTTAGAATCGCCAAAATTGTGCAAGCGTACTTTGTGCTCATGGTGTAGAACAGCGGAAAATCGCCCTCTTTTCTGGGGGCACCCAAAAAGACTCTAGGAGTCACTTTGGATTCCCTGCCCTCATAGGATCTCCGATGACAATGTATGTCTTGCCAGTGGCGAGGTCGGAGATGAGATGAGACTCCTGAGGGGTTACCCAGACCTTGTTGGTGGAGGTAACCAACTAGCCTAGAACGACGCGGTGACAATTGAAGGTGTCACCAGGACACACTAGCGAGAGTCGTCATGTCTGCTCTCATGGCTGCAAGACAGATATAGTGAGAGAGTTCATCTCAGGTCTAATTTCTTGAGGTGTTCTTGGGGGATGACCATAGAGCTCCGATAGGAATTAGAAAGTGCTTGTAAGTCAACCCAAGGAGGGATCATTTACTTCCCTTTCAAGTGCGCACAGAGAACACCGGCGTAGGGAAATATCAAAGTACTCGGGTCGGGGCGTGCTTGGGGCTAGAAGCAAGGGACCCCCGGTAACGACGGGTGAGTTGGTTGTTCTCTTTCTTTAGTGCGAACTTCTGTGTAAAGCGAACCGTCAATTCTGAGAGTGGACTGACGAGCTGTTATTTGTCCCTTCCGTCCCCTCTCTGATCGCTTAGAACACTGTCGCGTCAGTAAGATACGACCTCGTTACCAACAACAGAATGCCTTTCTCTGTAGTACTGCATGTTGGTCAGGTCGAGTACACCTTTGTCGTGAGGAGTGTAGTCTCTGGTACTTGCCTCGGGTTCGTCCTTCACGGAACACATAAAACGTACCAGTCTCGAAGAGGGGCTTCAACTGGGCGGTGAGCGTGGATCCGGAGCGCTTGACTGCATGAATATAGGTAACCTCGAGGTTCTTGTAGAAAGGGCCCGTGAGCTGTTCGTACCTCTCGTCTATTGTCATTGACTACCATTGCTGTTGGTTATTTACCCTGGCGGCCATGTGAGGCACAATCAGTCTGGCACAATCCAGCCAGGTGAACAATTGGGCATCTGAAGCCAGCTCCATCCAGGGGAATCGTTCGAGAACCTTGTCTTTCCCGGTGTTGCATCTTCGCAAGCAATGTAGTCCCTGAGTCAGTGGCAGGTCCGAGACAATGTTATGACCGACTTCAGCGGAAAGTGCTTGAACATAATCTGGTTGATCTCGGTGGTAGGGAGCTCCACGTCGAAGGTTAGAACGAGGTATCTGTCGTTAGCAAAGGACTCAGGGATGGTGCGCACCTGAATGGAGAATATCAACCGGTATCAGCATGGCAACTCTCTTAGTGAATGTGGGTATCAGAGGTGTAGGGTGTCCGGGTGTCTGAGTGTCTGTGACTGTGTGGAAGAGTATGTCAGAGGGAGAGTGTGTGTGTTTGTTATGCTATCTGAACTTAGGTCGGCTCGCCACACACACTACACATGAAGCAATTGTAAACCACCTTTAACAGGTAAAGATGATGTCGCCCTTATCCGAATCAGTGGGTATCCGTTCTACAACCCTATTAATGACTGTATATTATGTCTATAAATATATGCACCTTTCATCTTCAACCAATCAAAAGTCCATTTCATTCTGATAATCCACATCGGCCTGACGTTTCATCTCCTCTTGTCTCGATAGCCACTTGGCCTCGAATCCATTGCTGCGATCATTGCCATCCCATAAACACCCTGGTTTGATGTTGAACCGATTCGAGGGGAACGAACCAGTGTATGAAGGCAAGGCTCCTCCAGAGCTCGTAGTCGAAGCCTTGGGTGTGGCCTTTCCAAACTTGGCTGCCGGATCAGCATAAATAGCCCGGTTCTGACGTTCCTCATTGTATTCCTTGTCATCAGCATGCACAGTCACCTTGGTGTGTTTCATGGCCTCCTCTTTAGCCTGTCGTTTCCTGGCCTCCTCCACTTGAACTGCACCTAGCAGGTTCTCTTTTTTCCGACGCTCAGCTGCTTCCTTCTCCTGCTGACGTTGCTGTAACACGGAGATCTGGTCGTCCACAGAAATGATGTTTCCCGAGGCATCTCGATAGACCGTCTCTTCTACCGGATCAATAGCCTTTCCAGACAGAGTCTTCCATCCGCCCTTGGCACGCGGAGGTGGAGGGGCCTGTTGTGTCTGTCGCTGCGTAATTGGCGCGGTATCCACATCCAAGCCTTCCACCAGTTTTCGCTTTTTCGTTTTCTTTGGTTTAGAGCCGTATTTTTTCGCCAGATATTCGTCCATGGTGTTGTCAGGTCGTGCTGAATCCCGTGAGCCCAAATGTTAAGTGTAGTGCAGCTGTTCCGAAGCTTAAAGTGTATCGAGAGTCCGCTTGAAATTAAAATGGAACAAAAATTGTTTTAATATCTACTATATTAGCGCTCGTCAAATACGAAGAATTAAATATATATTCGATCCCCTACAGTAGATCAATATGTTAGTTACCGCAATGTTCATTAATTTTTATAATATTCCGTCTGTGCACTTGGTGCATCCTCCCCCATAGACCCCACAATATCTCATTAAATAATTTTAGCACTCAAGCTACAAGGTGCTTGCAACCGACGAAAACTCGGTGTTTTCGATCTTCTCAACAGCCTCTCGAATAAGGGTGCCAATCTCCTTTCTCTCTAGAACAGAACACCATCCCAGCGCTGTGCACGAGTAGGTGGAGTCGCGAATGTCCAGGTTGGGGTTGAAAGCCAAGAGGTGCTTGGATAGTTCCACATCTCCCCGTTCAACAGCATGATGCAGAGCTGTCTTCCCTTCTATCAGGTCGTCAATGTGGGTAGGAAGCATGGAACTGGCCAAGGACGCTCCTCCAATGTCCCACAGGTCAAGAATGGTATGAGGAGCTCCCTTGGAAATGAGCCACTGGGCCATCTTGGTATGCTTGAATTTGACGGCCATCTGTAGCAGAGACATTCCACTGGTAGTGGGGAAAGAGAAGGAAGTTCCAGCTGGCAGTTTCTCCATCTCGTTGAGTTCACCAAGACAGACATGCTGGATGATCTTCTGTTCCGCAGGGCTGTTCTGGCACTTTTCAAACTCCTCTCGGTAGAGCCACCAGGTAGTTCCATTCACAATATGTTTGAAACCCAGCTTGAGGTACAGCTCTTGGCTGACAGCGTTGAGAGAGACTCGGTTGTAACCCTTCTTCTGAGCGAAAGCGCAAGCATTCTTGACGAGCTGACCACCGATTCCCTTGCCACTGTGGTCGTCGTGAACACCAATGTTGTGAATACCGGCTTCGGTGCCCATGAATAGATCGGCATGGCCGATAATTTGGCCCTTGTGAGTGGCGACAAACTTGGTAATAACGCCTGAACGTCGCATATCGAGGGCGTACATGCCGTCGTCCTCCTTGTTGGAAAATGGGATACTGGAAGGAATCACAGCCATGTTGTTGACCTTGATGTACACATCTTTGATGTGCTTGGGTCGAATGTCGGCAGTATCGAGATCCAAAACCATCCACTGAGGCTCCCAACCAATCTGAAAGCCTCTAGCAAGAAGCCGAGCCGACAGAGCCTCGTTTCCAACTCCGTCCTCCTTCCATACACCTATGGTACGAGGAAGGCTGGTGTGGTAGAAGTCCATCATCCGGTCGAGCTGGGCATCTGAGACATTGGACGCGGGAAATGTCACTTGAGCGTGTCTGTCGACTCCACAGTTGGTGTAGATAAGGCCGTTGTCCTCGACAACCTTTCCTATCGAGGCTGCAATCGCCAGAAACAGTTCTCGGTGGTTGACGACCGCTGGGTTTTCGTTGTGCGTTTTTGTCATTGATTGGTGAGGTCTAGGAGGCCGTCGCACCAGGCATTTTTGAACTACGGCAGCTCAGCCCCTGCTACGTCCGAGTTCTATATTCTAGACCCAAAACGTGCATGACTAGCGTCTGTCACCGTATTCCATCAAGATTTTAGAACTTGAGCGGATGACGAAAAAGCGAAAAATCACGATACGAGCATTTCAAGCGTTAGTAGCCTTTGCCCCATGTAATTTTATCTTTTCTCCGCCTTCCAAGGACCGCTTGTGAGCTCTGGGAACTCGCTGTCGACGTGACCTGTACAAGTAGCTCCACGATACTCTGACGTGGGTGGCTAGCCTCTGAGGCTTATGTCACCTATAAATGCTAAAATGGAGCATTTTTGCAAACCCGGCGGTGACGTCCGCCCACTCTGTTAGCTGTCAGAAGAGCGTCTGTGCGTATACAGAGCGCTAATTTTGAAACCGGGATGTCCAGGTGCCACCGAATAGCTCCTCTCTCAGGGTATCGCTTTCGGGAATCTGTGTTTTTTTCTGACAATGTAGAAAGAGTTTAATAACACGATTTACACTCTACAACTTCAAACCTAATGGATATAATGTCACCGTGACGTTGAGTGATAATACGGGCTACACCGACCAAAGCCCCCTGAAGAGTGTGAAAATCGTAACACAGAGAAATTAAAGACATAGGCCGAAATCTGCTCCCCAATAACAGCTATACGATGTTAAACACGGATTAGCACCTCGTAAAAAAAGGGGGTGCACAGGGCGCACAGGGTACACAGTAGGCTCTTGGGCTCATGCTGACTCGGATTATCAGTGTTGGTATACGTGAGATCCACTTTAGGAATGCGTCTTAATTTCAGCAAAAAAGACAAATCCAATAGATTCGTCTGGGGCGACAGGGGTAGTAGGACAGTCTCTATGAATTGCCAAATACACCCACACATTTCCGAATGCGCGCTTTTCTGTGCTCTCGCGCACCCACAGCCCATACTGGACCGTTTCTCGGGCTGATTTTTTTTGCCTGCGATTGACTTTGGCTAGATCCAAACGGTACAACAACGGGTACGGGGTGGTGTTTCTCGCTACAAGTACCGTACATCCATGTACGCACCTTGACCAAATGCTATTTTTAATGTTCTTCGTACTCGCTGACAGCTGGCTTGGCGTATTCGGGGCATTGAACAGACGGCGGTGCAACTCGCTCAAAAAGTCTCGATGCAGAAAGGGCAATAATATACGGGTACGATGGAGAGAGTGGTACATACTGTTATGGGCTGTTGATAGAGCTGAGCTGAGAAGAGCCGTTTTAACGATTGGTTCATATAAGATAGATGTTGGGGGATATATGTACTGGGTGAATTCGGATATGAAAAGGATATGTGGAAATGGAAATCTCTTTTTTTCTATTTTTTTCCAGACTTTCTAATATCGGCGGTATTTTTCTGTATTTATTGTACATCTCGAATTTATTCGTTCGATATTCCTTTGCATACGATAAACTTGCTTAGCTCACGCGTCGCGTATCTGCATATACACCTGCACGAGAGTTACACACCCCATACTCACCATGGAAAAGGCAAAAAAAAGTGTGGAGATTCTGGAGACGGAGCTCGCTGTGCTCAAGGAGGCGCTGGACTCCGTCCAGAACTCGCCCACGGCTTCCTCCGTCAAGCAGGAGTTTCCACAGACACCCAACACTCTGCCTCGGTCGGATCTTCAGGAGCAGTATGACAAGTTGGCTCTGTCTCACGCAAAACTCATCAAGCTTCGCAAGGGCGATATCAAGTCCGTCAATCTGTGGAAGGAAGCACTACAGGACCACAAGGGCCGGCTCAAGGAGTCACAGGGGCAGGTCCTCGAGCTGAAGAAAGAAAACCAGATTCTGAAAGACGAGATCCAGGAGCTCAAGAAGATCAAGCAGGAGCAAGAGACAGTGGCCATCCAGACGTCTCAGACTTGTCCCGACTCAGACGAAATCACCACGGAGCAGATTCGGGCAGAGGCTGGTGAGCCCGTGGAAATCACAAATGAACTTCTCAGAAGCAGTCCGCCATTCGGCAAGAAGGGGTTGCTGATCAAAGACTCGATTGATCTGGACGCTGTTGAACACAGCTCGCCGTCAGTATCTCGCGAGATAGATCCTGATCTTGAGAACGACACCAGACGACACCAGGGAGTTGTGTTCAAGCAACCAAAACCCACCAATCTCATGCAGTGGCTCAAGGTGAAGGAAGAGAATATAGGCCAGGACACGACGAAATCCAACAAAAGAGACGTAGAGGTTGTTGATCTGGACTCACAGGGTAGCCCCAAAGAGAAGACCAAGAAGTCTCGAAAGTCATGTCCTGCTCAATACCAACTCACAGACTTCGTCATCAACCCTGCATTCAATGGAGACCTGGATTTCGCATATGCTGAGACTGTAAGAGGATCGAGACGGCAGTGCGAGCATGGAGGCGAGTGCCGTCAGTGCGACGAGTTCTACAAAATGGCTGGACCTGGAATAGTGTCTGCTGCTCCCCAATGGAGTGCGACTGAAGATAAGGAAAGAGGTCGCAAAATGGACATCGAAGAAACAATTAACGCAAGCAGCAGACACAGAAACAGATGGAAACGGGCTCCGTCGCCGCCGGGATTCTGGAGATCGGACTTTCCTAGTACCCAGGAGATTGTCGAAGAGAAGAAGCTCGCTGAGGAGAACCGCAGAAAGGAGATTGAAATCAGATACAAGAGTGCCGTTTCGGGCGGCAAGTGGATGTTCAGAGACCAGGGGAAGCATAGAAAGGAGTAGGACAAACAATGTACTTTACTAGCAGAATATATTACTAAAGCTACGATTCCTGTATTGATCTTTTTGGAGGAGAGATACAAAAATTGTCTGTTATGATTTTTTCAAGTAACCTTATTATTTTGTTGATCCGACATCATGAAAACATGGGAGTTGGGGATAGACACTAAACGTGTTACAGACGTTCAGGAAAATTCAGGACGTATGTTGAGGAGTTTTATGTTTTCCAATATGTACTAGAGCGGTTGTGACCGTTAGTAAAGTAGTATACGACATTTCCATCTGAATCACTCCCCGAAGACATCACGAGGACCACCTTCATTGAAGAGTGCATAGATTGCTTGAACAAACAGGGTCAAAGTAAGTCCCAGTATCTATATAACACAGTCTTATCCTCCCCTTCTTCTTCCTCTTTACCGACCCCGGCGACAAGAAGGTCGACCGCAGCTCTCTCCCGACTAGACTCAAGCTTTTACCCAGGAGTCCATCCCCTGTCGTCACACTGCCCCCCTCCATGCTTGTCTGTCGTCAAGCTGCCCCCACCCCTCATGCTTGTCATCTCTGCTGTTCCCACCGTTGTGTCTGTGCCATTCCCTTGAGTACTCTTTTTTTTCTCGGAGGGGAGTTGTGATGTGTCAGCATACACGGCTGCACGACTACACTTCTCCTGCTGTTCCCACTTTGGTCTGTCAGCGTGCGTGTTCTGATACATCTCAGTGGTCTTGTCACTGCGTGAAATCGAGCAATCCTTTCGTTTCCAATTTCATACATTGTCTGATCAAGGGACACTCTGGGGCCATTCATTCTGTTTCATGGCCACAGCTCGTTACCCCATCGTCACTGGGCTTTGTGGTGCTGACTGATGATAACACCAGGATCCAAGACATATCGCGGCTAGCGAGGTATTCATGACCGACTTCTTCATCATGACGGTGGAGCCTTTGTTGAAATCCTCATGTCTTTTTTCTTCTTGTGAGTATGACAATCTACATGTGTGATAAGACACAGGTTCCAAAATTGTTGCGGTGGTATCGCTGCGGTGGTATTGCTGCTATGGTATCCATCTCGGTGGTAACATCCTACCGTCGCAGCTGTTGTTGTGGTATCATCTCCAAGTATCCTGTGGCATCATCGCTCGAAGTTCGTGCTAACACATCCCCAGTCGAACCGGTTCCGTGGAGACCTGCTGAGTTGCACTCTATGATCAATGTCATTGTAATGACTGAATGAGACTTGATCGTTTTTGGAGATGATAGCGGTGGGGCATCGTATCATGACACAGTAAATCTATCTATCCCATTGTGACGCCCTTCTGTGCTGTGTCTAAGAAATTGCTTCTGGAGGCGGTAGCCGCACGGAATCGGTATGATTCACAGTGACGCCGAATTTCGTTGATATATTTTTCGGTCGCATATTTCGTCTATTGATGGTACTAGTAGCTCTGTGTAGATCTCTCTAGTTTTCCACCCATTATCTCCCCATGATCAGTCTGCTTTGTCCCGCCCACTGAGCTGATTTGGGGTTAGGGTTGATAGTGTGGGGTAAGTGATGAAGAGGGTGTATGTTACTGAGATGAGAGATGTGTTTAGTATGGATAATCGAGTTGCCAGTGAACCGGTGAGTGATTTTCCAACTCGTTTTTGGCAGATTCTTGTCGCATTTCCTGAGTCGTTTCTTGAGGTTATCGTCGAAAGATGAAAATTTGAGATTCCGATTACGCCATCTAATTAGGATCACAGGTCGGGCTAATAATGATGCTAATTGGTAGTAAATCTGATCTGTCATTCAAATCGAGTATCCTAGACTTGAACTGAGGCGTTTCCTGTAGTAGCAGTGGTCATATTATAGCTTGGTACTCACACTGGTGATACGGTGTATGCCATCTCTGCATGCCAGTGAGAGTAAGTCATCGAGGTGAATATAGGTTGTAAATGCCATCATTTCTGCACACGTAATCCTTGTCTTCCCGCAATACTGGGCGGCTGATTGTTATGCTACTGGTGTGCTTGCTTCCATAGTCAGCTCAGTCGCCACCTTCTCCCTAACTAAATGACCAACTAAACATTCAACTAAGTCGCCCCCAGTTTACTGGAGTCAACCTAAAGCTAAATCGGCTCGCAGGTGAATCATGCAGGCCTTGTTTTAACACACATGACGATTCACTTTCACATTCCAAAACGACAGACTTGAAAATGAGTAGCGGAGGATACAACACGCTCAAGAAAATTACAGATGTGGCCGTGTTTCTCGGCGCCACGGTGTCGATATACTACCTCATGAAGCGTGTACTGGCTGACATGCAGCAGGGCAGTAACAGTGCAGACAACAAAAAGAAGACCTCGGCTTCGCTTCGGAAGTTGCAGGCCCGGTACCCCGGCATGGAGCTTGATCTGGACGAGTACGAGCGGATCCTGGTCCAAAGCGTGGTCACTCCGTCCGAGATCAAGGTCGGATTCAAGGATGTGGGTGGTCTGGACGACATTATCGAAGATCTTCGTGAGTCCGTTCTGTACCCCCTGACCATGCCCGAGCTGTTTGGAGGCAACCGAACCGCCACCATGGACGATGATGATCAGGATGATAACGACGACAAGCCCGCTTCCAAGTCGTCGTTCTCTGACCTGCTCAAGCCCCCCAAGGGAGTCCTTCTGTATGGCCCTCCTGGCTGTGGAAAGACCATGCTGGCCAAGGCGCTGGCTGCCGAGTCCGAGGCCAACTTCATCAACATCAAAATGAGCAACATTATGGACAAGTGGTTTGGAGAGTCCAACAAGTTGGTGGCTGCCATCTTTTCTCTGGCCAACAAGCTGCAGCCCTGTATTATTTTCATCGATGAGATTGACTCGTTCCTGCGGGAGCGACAGAGCACCGACCACGAGGTCATGTCTATGCTCAAGGCTGAATTTATGACGCTGTGGGACGGTTTGACGTCTGACGGCCGAGTTCTCGTGCTGGGAGCCACAAACAGACCCAACGACATTGATAACGCCATTCTGCGACGAATGCCCAAGCGGTTCTCGGTCAAACAGCCCACCTCGGATACGCGCCGAAAGATTCTGGAGATCATTCTCGCCGATGTGGAGCTCGACGACACCGAGTTCGACATGGACGTTCTGATCAACTACACGGCAGGCATGTCGGGTTCAGACATGAAGGAGATCTGCCGAAATGCCGCCATGAACGCCGTGCGAGAGTACATGCGGTCCAACATTGAGGACGGAAAGCTCAAGAAGGAGCGGGACCAGATGCAGGTGCGACCTCTGAAAACGTCGGACTTTATGAGCGCCTCTGTGGCTGCGGCACTCTTGCCCAACAACAGAGTTCCCGAGGTCTCTGTGGATTAATTATTAGATAGAGTAGACCAAATGGTGGTGGAGATGAGAGCAAAGGACGAAGACTGGGATCAAACAAAAATATATTGATGTATGATAATATCAAACGTGTGTTGGTGTACCGTGGTGAACAATGTACTAGAGGAGAGTGGGCTCGTAATGGCGGAGTCATCAGCGTGCCTGTCCAGGTGTGTTGTAACCCAAATCATTACTTACGGCTCTAGTTGAAAGTATGCTAACTCTCTAACCAAATGCTCCCCACCACTTGGCCCTCCCAACTACCACTTGAACATAAATACTTACCTTGTGCTCCCTCAGATAAACTTCACAAATCGTATTGCATAAAATTTAGTTTGAACATCTCGAGAACCAACCAGAACACAACACCATGCTGAATCTCTTGCGCCCAGCAATGAGGCTAAGGCCATTGACGGCCTCTCTGGACACCCGGTTTGCGACCCGATCTCTTCACATGACTGGTGTGCTTCGTCAGTTCAACAACTTTGACCCATCCGACGAGCTGCAACCTCGAATCAAGAAGGTGATTGATCCTGACAATCAAACTGCCGGTCCTTTCAACAACAAGCTCTTTAAGATCGCCGACGAACCTTTGTACTCGGCACCGGCTACGTTCCAAGTTGCTCTGGCAAAAAAATCGGCCTTTACGCTCGGTTTGATTGGAACTTACGCCTCCTATCTCTTCTTCCACTACCCTCTGCTGCCAGATCTCGGAGGCTACCTTGCGCTGGGTCTGTGGATTCCATTTCCTCTGGCGACCCACTATCTATCGCCATACGTGGCAAAGATCTCGCGAATCTACCGACGAGGAGAGCCCGAGACTCTGGAGAACATGACCAAGGACGAGACTGTGCTGATTGAGACCATCTCGCTGATTGGCCGAAAACCCATGTGCTGGATCATCCATCTCAAAGACCTCAAGGTGGTGAACAAGCGAGGCGGCTGGGCCAACTGGGAGTACACCAATCCCAAAACCGGTGACCAGCATGTCTTCTACGTGTCGGAGAGTAATGGAGGGTTCAAGATGGACAGAATCTGGGGCATTACCGAGAGAAATGCCGGTATTGACAGTGGACGATAGAGGTGGATTGTATATATGGAATTGGATTTATGTGACGAACGTTAGTACAAGCACTCGTAATATACTACTAGTACCGGGTAGTGTACATACTGGTGTGGTATTGTGACAACTAACTATAGATACGCATGCTTTGGTGGTGTTTACTCTATTATACAATGTTTTAGCAACGTTCTCAACGTCAACTCTTCCTGTTGGCGTTTCCGGCTTTGTTGTGTCTACTTCTACAACTTCAACCGAATCTCTTTCTTGTAGAGCACCAACGAAATACCCGAAAGAGCAGCGCAGTATGCAACGAGAATGACCATGGTCTTGGCAGGAGAAGCCTCCAAGGTATTCACTGACATGTTAATAAGCCCCGTACCGATATTGGCCAACAGGAAGATCACCAGGCCGTTATAGTTGACAGCGTCCAGGGTCAGAGGAACTCGAGGAGTGGCTGGTTGAGAGGCTCGAATGGGCACCAGAATGACCTCTATGGCGGCGTAGCAGCCCAGGAAGAAGGTATTGTAGGCACACACCCACAGGTAGTATGGCATGTTGACGAGTCGTCGAGATACGTTGATCTCAATGGTTCCGTCGTAGTACAGACGAGCCACGTGGAACAGAATCGACGATATCGTCAGATACTTGATGATTTGACGGTATCGCAGGTTATGGGGGGTTCTCTTTGAGTTGGCAGGGGTAGGTTCAGGAAGCTTAGTTCGCAAAATGACAGTACCGACGGCTTGACCTGCCAGAAAAATGGCGAGATAGCCAATAAAGGAAAAGATGCCCTCCTTGTTTTGGGAGAAGATATCCACTCGGGGAGCAGTCAAAATATACTCCTTGAGCGATGTCACGGAGAGCAGCACGTCATAAGCCAATGCAATGATGACAGACTGACCCATGAGAGGGATCTTGGTCTTCTTGAACAGTCCTCCGACCAGAGTGACAAAGGGGGGCAAGAATCCAAGAGTGAAAAAGAAATTCCAATGCACGCCGTACTCGGAGACATGTTCCTGGTAGTCCAGACTCTTGACTGAAATGAGTCTGATAAAGCCCAGAACCAGCACGGGGAACGCGTGTTTCAGAGACTTCTTCATCTGAGGTCCAAAGGGCTCGTCAGTTCGAGGCTTGGAGACAACTCCCATGGAGAACACAAACGATCCCACCCCCAGATCCATCATAGATGTTCCCCACGTCTCCACCTTGGCAAACCGTCTAGGGAAAATGTTGAAGTCGACCGCAAGAATAGCAATGCAAGTGATGACCATCATAGAGCCTCTGTAGACGGACAGAAAGGGCATTTCCTTGTCTGCCCGCTTCACCTCCTTGTCCTTTTCCTGCTGGAAATCAGGTCGCAGCTCCTTTCTCTTCTTCACCCGGTCTCGTCGACCCCAAATGTACCACACACCAGCTGGCACAATAATCAGAGCATTGAGCAGCAGCGGCTGGTTGGAGTAGATTGTGACACTCAATAGCAGACCCAGCCAGTTGAGCAAGAAGTCAAAGATGACAAAATCAACATCCCAGGGCGAATGGTCTCCGTACCGTTTTCGAAGCAGAGCCCAGGCAACGTAAGCAGTGAGATTGACGCATGTTACCACGTAGATCTCGCCAATCGAGCCGCCGGTTAGACCCGACACGTGTTCTTCCTTGAGCAGCTTCTGCGAAGACATGTTGTGGCGATGGTGGTGGTTCACGAGAGTTTGTGCTCTATGCTGTGGGGTGTCACGTGATTTGGGAGGGTGTTAGTTTCGGGATCTTAGTTTATGGGTGCTACAGGAGCTGCAGCTGGACTGTGACAGATCATTTGATGCATCTTCGTGTATCCGTTGATTCGTATCTATTTCATATTCTGAGACGAGTTTCGCTTGATTTTTTTCGCCCTCAAATTGATGTGTTGGAATTGTGTCATTCAGCCGCGGCTCTGGATATGTTCCAGTAAGAATATGCCGATAGTGAACTTTATTATAAGCTGCTGTTGGGTTGGGGTGGTCTATGATAGGACGTTTCAAGAGAGTCATTTTTTATCTAATTGGGCTGTATTTTTGAAAAAATGACTTATAATACTGGCTTCTTTGTCGCATGCAAATTTCAACCGCTTCGGACATCTATAACATGAGCGATGGTGATGTTTTATCCCTCTCTCTAATTACCAACTATTCAAAATTCAATATCCAAAACCAAGCCCTTCTTAGCCAAGTGTGTAACACATTAGTCATCTCTCAAAGGGCTAAATATGTGATGCTCAGTAAGTGTGAACATACTGTAAAGTACTGTACCGTACAAGTACGACTACGAGTCTTTAGCCGCCTGGTATCACTGCCCACGTATGACTGATATGTGTGTGTATCACTCAACAAAAATGTACTGGGAGAATGGAGGGGTGGTGGTAGTAGCTGAAAACGTGTGAGTGAGAGCTGGAATCGCTTTTGTCATTATTTCAATCCACTATCTGTCACTACTTTTATATTATTCCAAATTTCCCCTTAATATTCCAATTTTCCCCATATTTATTCTGATTATTTTCCACACTCCATAGCCATCTCTTATCCTTGTTTTTCTTGCTCTTTTCTTTTCTTTATTAGGAGGTTAGGTTCAAACGTCTTCAGTCATCGCTTAATATCGTGGCCCGCGTGAAAGGAAATTTTTAGCGCACGTGCAATCGTGTCAGTCGGAACAGGACAACGTGTAGGAGACGAATGGGATGTGTTAGGGATATAATTGGAGATTCTTATCACGTGACTAACCATAAGACGGTTCAAATAGACCCCTAAATTCTCCATTTTTGTTTCTTACCGCGCTACAGTACCGCGCACTTGCTACACTCCCCCACCAAATGCCCCCCACACAGCAGTTAGCCGCTAGAACCTAATTACTCATTATCGCTATGACTGAAGAATTTAATTTCAAGACGTCTTTATAACCCAGCGCAAAGGACACGGAAAGAGGACACACAATAAACACACACATGAACTGGTACGTCCGACTGCTGCAAAAGTACCCATACCGAATGGCGGTGACGTCCACCTCGTCTCTGTTCATGATCGGAGATTGTGTGTCTCAGCGATACTTTTCCGATAAGCCCTATGAGCCCATGCGCACTGCTCGAGCTGGTATTTACGCGTGTGCGTTTGCGCCTGCCATGACTGCGTGGTTTCGCTTTCTGGGCCAGCAACAGCTACCGGTGATTGCCAAGGTCGCTATTGATCAGGCTGTTTTTGCACCATCTTCTATCGGGTACTACTTTTCGGTCATGGGTCTTCTGGAGGGCAAGAGCCCCGACACCATCTGGCAGTCGCTCAAAAACCAGTACTGGGACACTCTCAAGTGCGGTTGGATGATCTGGCCGGCCTTCCAGCTCTTCAACTTTGGTATTGTTCCTCCTAACTTCCGGGTGCTGGCCTCCAACTGCTGTGGACTGGTGTGGAACACGTTTCTGGCGTACCAGAACGCCAACAAGATGGAGAAGGGTCACGTGGCCGATTTAGTGATTGAAGAGGTCAAGGAGGAGGTCAAGGAGGTGAAGCAGGAGGTGTTGGCTGAGGTCAAGGTCATTAAGGGCTTTGTGAAGCAGTAAACGAAGGGGGGGGATACGCATGATAGAGATAGATTAATTTATTACGATATGATACAGCCGTAGTAAGAGAAGAGATTGCATAGTTGGGCTTTGGTTGAGCTTTACTGAATATGACTTGTTGGATAAGGCAAGTTCATGTCGTGTGGAGAAGACACCATTGACGGTCAGAGTAGACAGAATGAGAATCCAAAAACTTCTTGAACTCCCTACTATCACTGTGGTTGTCGAAAATGACACGACGGAACTTGCAGTTCCACAGCTGACTGTTGTCTTTGCTAGTTTCGTTCATGTGCGAATAAGTAGTGACAACGACATGGAAGAGATCAATGCGGTGTTTAGCGTGCTTCGGATTGGGTAATTTAAGAGTACAGATATCAGGAGCTCTATCTTTGAGCTGTCTCATCCATTCATCTGCTGACTCGTCGTCAGTAACAACAAGAGTTGTGTTACAGAGCACAAATCGGCCCTGGTACATGGCTTTATTAAGGGTACCGCTGTTGAACAGAATGAGAGCAATAAACTGGTTTATCTTGCCCTTGTGAGTGGCTCGGCCCACCCAGTTGTTTCCCTTAATCTCTTTGTATGGGTGTTCACCCCATAGAAGCCGTTTCAAGGAATCATCCAGTTCAGCCCCCAGGCCCATCTTCACCAAGCTCCCAAGCACTTTCAGGTCCCAGGCCTCACTGCCTAACTCGCTCCAGATGCTGAACTTGAGATCTCTGCGATATTGGTATGCATTTCCTTTCCCGTAGTTAATGCAGGGAGGTTGGTCGGTGTTGTTTTCTTCGTCAGACGACGTGTCTCCGTAATAGTCAGATGAGACAGCAGGAGGTGGACTGTTCTCACTCGATGTGGTATCAGTGCTATTGTTGGTGGTGGTTGTAGCGCGCATGTTGGAGGTGTTGAAAGAGACGAAGAAATGAATCACTGAGCTTTCCAACTGACACCTCATATCATCTGCAGCCCCAATATTCCACCCTCGTGATCGTGATTCGTTTAAGCTCCTTATCTGTATCGATTATGCAGGAGTGTAGAGATGGTGGCTTAAATAAGTAAATACTGATATATACAGTATTGATTACTTAATTAATTACAAGGTACTTAATTAACGATTCTGGAGATCGTGATAGATCTGTCTCTATGTATGTTATGTTTCGTCATTGGGTCGACTGCTCTCTTGCAAATGGCGACCATTCTCAATTGACGTAATTAGTTATTCGTTGAAGGAAGATGCTCCACGAAAATCTCATTTTAATTAATACTCAATGTTATTGTTAAAAAACTAATGAAGGAAAAAGTCTACAAATACAACTCGCTACGATTCAAATTTCGGGCGGGACTCTTTGGTCCATGATTTATTAACCCAAGAGGTTCGGATTTTCACCTACTCCTCTCAAAACTAGATAAACAGGTTCGGTCAGTTACGTCCTCTGGCTAAGAGGTTCACCGCCTACTCCTTGAATAGTGTGTGACGTTGGCTCTGCTCTGGCTCTCACTGCTCTTTGGACTTATTGGCAACTGGCTGGCCTCGGCTCTATGGCCCTGGCTTCTTCGGCTCTGTCTGTGCTCTGGCGTTTGGCGCTTATTGCATCTGTGGACTCACTGGCTCTTGCTCAGGCGAAATGGCTCTTATCGCTCTCTGGACTTAGTGGCTCGAATGGCGACCATGCGCTTATCGCCTTGAAGGACTTAGTGGCATTGACGTTGCTCTCACGGCGTTTGGCACTTATTGCCTCATATCATAGGACTTACCGGCTCTTTGTTCGTGGCATTGGTTCTGGCTCTGGCATTTCAGCACTGGCTCTGACCTGTGTTGCCCTTGGTATTTGGACTTATGACACACGTAGCTCTTTGGATATACTCTGGCTCTATGGCGCAGGTAAATGCTCTTATTGCGCTTCGGACTTATTGGCGTATAACGGGCGTTTGGCACTCATTGCACTGTGGACTTACTGGCTCTTTGCTCTTGTCTGTGGCTCTGGATTTGGCACTTATTGCCTCAAGGGACTTACTGGCTCTGGCTCTGGCTTGCTCTTCTGACCATGAATGGCGTCTGTCAAAGCAGATCTTTGCTCTAGAATGCGTCTCAGCTTCTCAGCTTCTCGGCAACTGGCAGCTCTGGCATTTCAGCTTGGCTCTTCAGATTCTAGGCGGCTTCTCATACAGGAATTTCACCCTATGAGACTTCACAAAGGAGTTTCACCCTGTGAGTAAGCAGGAATTTCACCTGTGAGAAAGGAGTCTCTCAAAAGGAATTTCACCCTCGAGCATCTCCGTCGGTGGCTCTGCAGATGTTTCACTGACTGGCTCTTTGCTCTGGCGGCTGCACATGCGGTCCTCAAGAACTCACAAGGCACGGAGCAGGCTCAGGCATTTCAGCTGGCCAAACTCGCTCTTGGCTCATGGCATTTTCAGCTCATGGCGGTCAACCGGACGCACAGTCACGGACTTACTGACACTTGGCGCAGGCGGTCGTACTCGCCTCTGTGTTGAACTCGCCGAGAACCAAATCTCAGCTCAAACGCCCAATCAGAAGCTGTCGCACATTCTCAGGCTCATACATCTTTTTCAATGCGTCATAGCGAGAGTCTCTTGACCGAAAAGGGCTCATGCGGTAAACGCGTCATTGCCCAAACAACTGAACGGACATGGCTAGCGAAGCGGTCCTCGTTGTATGAGACAGGTCTGCTTATCAGCCTGCATCTCAGCAGGCTATAAAAGGCACCTTCCATCTCCAGAATGACTCAGAGTGAACTGGTCTGATTCTGATGAAAAAAGTGGGACTCAGAAGGGGTTTATATATTCTTCAGAGCAGCCCATTACAGTTCAGGAGGAATGGCTGGTGGCGAAAAATGTACATGAAATATGCATCGGGGTAGTTAAGGTTCCGGTGTGCATAATGTTAGGAAACTGATGGAAGGTGGTGGAAGGGTGTAAATTATAGGTTCAAAGACATTATGGTGACTTAGGCGATAATTTTTCCCTCCCCTATTCTTTTTAGGAGAAAACCCGAACACTCTCGCAACCAAACAGAACTCGTGGGATCGTTCTCTCCCTACATATTTTTCATGCATAATTGCGAGCCGAGCTTAATCTTAAACTTTCAAAGTGGAATATTCTGTGCCCTTCATTAGCACGAATGGTGTAAAGACTAATTGGACTCCTCTGAGCAGGCAATCATCTCGGGATTTGTGTTCCCGACTTGTTCGTGTGTCCAGATCTCTAAATTAGATATATCACTTATCATTGATCACTTTTTGGAAGGTACTTAACGAAGGGGCTGGTGTGCATGAAGTGCCATGAACTTGCATATACATATTGTAATGAGACCGTAATGTACATTCCATATTAGCTACTTGTAGTAAAGGGCTACCATCCAGAAAAGCGAATGGTGCGAAAGCAAGGCTAATAGCTCAGTTACAACTGCTTGTGGTGTATTCTTTTTGTGGTCATTCAGACCTGCAGTTGTCCCTTCTATTGCAGAACGTAGATCATTCCTCAGATCTGAGGATCTCTTTGTAGAATCTGAGCTTCTAGTTAACATACAGCATCTAAAATTACACAATAACTCTTTCAATAGTATCAATAACATATAAACACAATAAATCATAGTATTACAACAACCTACTCGTCCAGGTCGCAAATCTCCTCGTCCTCATCGGGTCGGAACAGGAAGGGTCGCAGCTTGGTCTCGTAGTAAGGAGCATGGGTGTTACGAGGGTTGTTGGCAGCCTTGACCTCGTCCATGTAGTGCTTGTAGGCGTCTCCGTCGAATCGGCCAATGGGGGCGTTAATGAAGAAGTCGGACAGGTTGAAGGCGTCGGTGAATCCAATGACCTGCTCTCGAGCCTCGCAGCACAGCTCGTCGACCAGAGCGGTGATCTCGTCCATCTCGGCAGGCTCGAAGCAGCCCTCCCGAAGGAAGAGACCAGAGTCCTCCTCGATGGACCAGACGGCAAAGAGGTTGGCAAGAACAGTAAGGTGGGGCTTGACTCGGGCCTTGGCCTTGGAGATTCGAGCGTAGAACGAGGTGATCAGATGCTTTCGGGTGTGGATTCGCGCACACTCAAATCTCTGTTGAGACAGCTCCTCAAAGGCCTGGTCAGGAGACAGACCCTCCTGGGTGAGCTTGATGAAGGAGTCAGTGGCTCTGTTGATGGCCTCGCAGGCAACCTTCTCCCATGCAGTGATGAGCACAGCAGGGTCAGTGAGAGGCTTGTTGTCAACTCGGGCATTCTGCAGCTCGTCTCGTCGCTGCAGGTACTCGACCGACTTGCCGACATGGCCCTTCTTCTTTCTCATGGCAATGCACGACTGGATGAGCGATCGACCCATGGACAGACACAGCACGTTGTTGTCACCCTCCCAAGTGCATTGGACGACCCAGTCGGCGTAAGCCTGACCGAAACCGTTGTAGCCGGAGTAGCCATGGCCACCACAGGCCTGTCGGCACTCGTCAATGATCTTGGCGGCAGCCCAGGTGGTGAAGGCCTTCATTCCGGCAGAAGAGGCAAACAGAGCCTTGAGGTCGGCAGTGGCGACAGCAAACTTCTCAGCGTCCTTGACGGGGTTGAGCTTGAGAAGAGCGCCAAAGGAGGAGTTGTACTGCTGCTGGGCCTCGTCGGCGCCCATCTTCATGGCGTAGGTGTAGGCCAGAAGAGGCAGCAGACGTCGTTGGTGGTAGGGGTAGTCGATGAGCTTAGTCTCGGGCTTGTCAGGCACAGCTCCGAACTGTCGACGGATACAGGCGTACCGAAGAGCAATGGTGAGGAACCGAGCAGACAGGAGGTGAGACTCGGCAATCATGGTCACTCGGCCAGACAGAAGTGCTCCGTAGGTGAGCTGGGCAAGCTCGGAGGTGGTAACCTCGCCGTCTCGAGACACCCGGTCGTATCGCATGAGCATGTTCTGTCGGGGAATTCGGACGTCTGTGAACTGGATCCAACCATTATCAATGGCATCTCGGCCCATCTTCTTGCCGATATCTCCAATGGCAATACCGTTGAGTAGAGAGTGGGAGTTGAGGTCTCGCAGCTGAACAATGAAGATCTTAACACCATAGTCCTTGCCATCAACAATGAGTCGGGCAAGACAAGCCGTGTGGGTAGCAGAGTGGGCAGCTCCTCCAATCCACCACTTTGTGGCTCCCGAGTTGGGGGTGTTGATGATGAACTCGTCGGTGTCCTTATCAAGGGTGGCGGTGGTCTCGAGACCGGCCACGTTAGATCCGTGACCCAGCTCAGTCATGGCAAAGCAGCCATAGAATTTGTGCAGAGTAGCGGCGCCCTTGGCGACCCAGTAATCGTACTGCTCCTTGGTTCCTGAGCCACGAATGGCGCCCATAAACAGACCGTAGTGAACGGCGATTCGGGTTCGGGTACCCATGTCCACAATACCATGCAGCTGGCCTCGCAAAATGGCCTCCTTCTCGGAATCCTTGGGCAGGTATCGGGCCAGAGCCCCGATTCGCTCAACAGCTTGTCGTCGCTTGGTGGGAAGATCGGCGTCGTAGTCGCCGGCGACGTTGAGAACGGGATCTCGCTCAATCTCCCGCATGATTCGCTCGGTCAGCAGTGTCTCCTGCTCGCTGCCTGTGAGGAAGTTGGTCACGTCTCGGACCTTGAATTGTGTCTTGGCTCGCTCCAGCTCCATCTGGGCCGGAGGCTCGGTGAAGGTGTCGTACTCCTTGCCTCCAAGGATCACGTTGGTGGGGTTGTTGTTCATGTTTGGTTTGATGTAAGAATTGGTAGTGTAAGTGTAGAATCAATTTGCTATCTCGGGTAGGTCGGTATATATATACTTGTGGTATTTCACTGCACATGGGGTGCATCTTTACGTTGTGTGGGGTACATGAACAAACCAGTTTAGCCTGCCTCGGCTCATGCATTCGGGAGACAGCCTTTGTGAAAACGTGACTTGGGGAAATCCGGGGATAAGCCCCACATGATTTGCAAGTCTACGACATACACGCTTGGTTCTTGGTCGCTGTGTCGAGCCGGAATCATGCCATATGCGATCAGCGTTGAACTGTATCCCTGATACGAAACCTAGCCAATACCGAGGGTTACCAATAGCACATGTCTACTGTACGATACTTGCACCGATAGATCCGGTTCCGGCAGCTGAGACCAATTGAAGCAATTTCGGGTACATCTGTAAAGTCGACATTTTGCCCATGTCTCTTCCAGTTGGACTTGGCCAGTCCTTGACGAAAATGCTCACAATGGCCCGAGCCGCATGCTCCCAACCTTATCACAAAAGTCAGGCGGTTTATCAGGCCACAAGCAGGTCAATCAGGTCATAACCTTGCTGGTTTATATACCCCAGAATTGCCACTGCCGAGGCCGAAACAAAACCAGGGGAATCCACGTGCTTATGGGGACGATTGTGATTTCTACATCGTGACTTTGCTTTGAGTGACGACGTGGTGGTCGTGCGGGGCCAGAGTCTCCACCTCTTCTGATGTGTATCTCGCTGTTATCGGAAATAAGGATCTTGGCATTGCTCTGAATTTACGCGGATCGATATCAGCCCGGGGCTACTAGTACGACATACTGGAGCTCTGAATTTGTCGTTTCAATGCCAAACATCTCAATCGAACTACCCACCAATCACAATCACAATCACAATCAAATAACCCGGAGAATCCCCTTGGAAATCTCCATTTCCCCAGACCAACATGGTTTCGGCACTCCAGGCCATGGCCTGGTTTTTGAAACCGTTGAAAGCCAACCTAAAGACGACTGAGGAAATGTCCGATGCCCTAACCTCGAGGAAGCCGGGGACGAACTGCTCACCTTAGCGAAGATACAAGCATTCTTGGGAGTCCACCATTTGATAGCTGCCACCCAATAAAGCACCATCGGAGCCGTGTATACATATTGCGGGGTAAATTCCTGATGGTTTGAGTCCTTTTCAGGTACAGTACCGTATGTACTCCTTGTGTACAGTATGTAGCCGGCACTAAGATCACCTTCAATGTTATTGGTGAGGCTCAACGTTTGTGCCGAAGCCGGGAGAATTGCCAATAGACTATGTCACGTACGAGTACCGGTACAAGTACAGTAAGGCGAATGTGATGCTTTCACATGTCTATTCGCACCGTATTGAATTGAAGTTATAGATGGTATGGTGTGGTGTGATCCTTGAGGTATTAGGGGTTTGTACGTCATGGGTACCGAATGCCTGTAGCGGTACAGTACATGTACATTACCTGTATGTGATCCCATACAGATGGTACGTAATGTGTTTTTGCACTTTCGGCTAAAGTGGTGTCGTCTGACTTTGTGTATTTTTACACATGCTCCTGTGTTTGCTTTCCTACTCCGTGTTTAATCTGGAGATTTTGATGCAGCCTATGTAGTTCCATTAGTGCCTCCTAGGCGAAGAAGCATGCTCTTCGAGAAACAAAAACAAACGAGTTCGTCCTCGTAGAGCATGATGCAATTGACGTCACGGTCGTGGATGATATGTGACATGGAGTCGCTCTCCAAATCGAATAGAACCTGAGACCCCGCAAAGCTCTTGATCAACAGGTACTTTCCAAAGCTATATGTCTTGGACGCAGCGTAATGCACGGGGTTGTTGATGATGCGACACAGATATGTTTTTCCCTCTTCAGCATTGCAGTATAGCTGGAAGAGCTTCATGTCCTTGCACAGATAAAGATACTCACCATGCACAGCAAAATTGTGTGGAATGTCGTAAGGGTGGCAGTCAAATAGAGGATGCACAGTGTCGGAGTCTCGACCCACCACAAATAGCTTTGTGGCCTGCGGTCTTAGCGACATGAGACTGGTGGTTGTGAAGAAGGCGTGTCCATGGACGATGTGCAATCTGATGTCTACTAACTTGCGACCGGCGAAAGGTAGTCTCAGAAGTCTGTCACCTCTCAGTAAGAAGACCTGTCCTTGACGTCTCAATAGGGCAAACAATTTGCCGCCCACCACCGTCTGGTGAGAAATGTCTCCTTCCGGAACATCAAATTTCTGACCTGTGTAGGTTTTCAGCCCTCCTTCAACTACCTCGGGATCACCTAGCAAGTATCCGTCCATGACCTTTTCAGCTCTCAAAGTCTGGCAATTCACTCTTGTTACCTGCGGTTCAGTCACATCACTGCTCATAGAAGGCGACATGTAAATGCTTCCATCCCCTTCTGGTGACACCCGAAACATGGCGCTATCCAATTGCGACCGTTGGGTCTCAAACATGACCTCTCCGTCTGGATCAACCGCCTCTTCGTGTTCAAACGCAATGTCGAGATCGGCCTTGAATTGTACCGAGGGAAACGCTGCGAGAATCTCGTTGGTGTCGTAGCTATTGATTTCCGTATATGACTGCGGTTTTGTCACTAAGTACCGTGCTGTGGCCTCCCAGGTCTCTTTAATGGGCTCTGTGAGCCAGGGACATATGCTGGTGGCTGCTGCCTTGAAAAGCTGGTGTTCCAAAATGGCTTGTCGGAAGGCCGAGCATGTTTCACTGACGTTGATGAGTGACTGTGTATCCAGCCGAGCGAATATTTGCACACTGAGTTCGGTTGGAAGACGAGACATTTGGCACTCTCACGATAATGTCACGATTCTGAGAAAAAAGGTAGCGCCGCTTGCATGAACTTCATGCATGGTTATCGTGCTGAGTGAGACTAACAGATGAGGGGCGTCTGAGCGGTGTTGGGTGCCTAAACTAGGTGTGTTTACACGACGTGGACTAAAAGCGGTTGGCGATTAATAATGGGGCAATTGTCCATCTATATAAGCGGAATCTCTGTCCATAGGAGGAAATAAAGTCCAATGACCCAAAGCAGACAAACGGCTTCCGATTCGGTCGGCTCGGAAATTAGTGTTTATCTCAAAATATGAAGGCTGCTGGAGCCCTATTCATGTGCTCTCAAATATCCACCGTACAGTGTCATAAAGCGCAAAAAACAAAACAAAAATAACAGATACAAGTATCTCAAATATTTAACGATGTGAAAATTGATATACTTGCACAAACCCCCGGGAAATATCACTGTACACCTCCTCAAACACAACCTATCCACGGCACTAGCTACCCCCCACTCCCGTTAAAGTTCACGAGGGATCATTTTGAGGAGATAGGCTGTGACGTTTGCCATACAGCCACTCCCAACACGTGACCTACAGTTCATGACGCTGCAGATGCCAAGTCTCTCCCCGTAAACACCGCAACCACAGCCACGGCCAAGTGAGTACCCCTGAAAGGACCATTGAGGTCAGGTGACGCCATGAGTAATTCACTAACACAGATGTCAATCAACCTCACGCCGGAAGAAAAAAAGCTCTACGGTTCGCTTTTCAAGACCGCCGACAAGGAGAGTGTCGGCATCGTCACCGGAGAAGACGCCAAGGTGCTGTTCCAGAAGTCGTCGTTGTCGCCTGCGATTCTCGGCGAGATCTGGCAACTGTCCGACACGGAAAACTCGGGCTTTCTCAATCAGATTGGCTTCTCCACAGCTCTTCGACTGATTGGCCATGCTCAGTCCGGAGCTCGAGTGTCCGCTCAACTCCGAGACACGCCTGGTCCTCTGCCCAAGTTTCAGGGCATTAATCTGATAGAAAATCAGCGGGTGGCCTCTCCAGGCAATGCCGCTTCTCCTATCCAGCATCGAGTCGCTTCTCCTATGCAACAGGGTACTGGTGCTCAAGGAGGCCTTCCCCCTCTGAGCCCCCAAGATAAGGCCCGGTTCGCTCAGCTGTTCTCTCAGCACGCCCACAACGGTCTTGTCGAGGGTTCTGCGGCCCGAGACATTTTCCTCAAGGCCCGTCTCCCCCACGAGACTCTGGGCCAGATTTGGAACCTGGTGGACTCCCAGAATCGAGGTTCTCTCGACCAAGGAGAGTTCATTGCCGCCATGCACCTTATTCAGAGCTCCATGAACGGCTCCATGCCCCAGGTCCCCGCCCAGCTGCCCCATGGATACATTGAGAGCGTGCGTCCCCAGTCTGCCCGAATTTCATCTGCCAGTTCCGTCATGTCCACGGGCTCCAACGCTGCAGGTCCCGGCGTCATCAGACAGTACACCGGCCAGCAGATTGGTCAGGGCAACGACTGGAGCATTTCTCCCCAGGAACGACAGCGGTACGATGGTATTTTTGGTGCTCTCGACAAGAAAAAGACGGGTCTGATCGGTGCCGATGCCGTGGTGCCCTTCCTGACCACCTCACGACTCCCTGAAGCCACTCTGGCCCAGGTGTGGGATCTCGCTGATTTCCATAACCGTGGCGAGTTTGGCCGAGCCGAGTTTGCCATCGCCATGCACCTGGTTCAGCAGAACATTGGCGGTCGAGAACTGCCCCAGCAGCTGCCCGAGTCCCTTCTTAAGGAGGTTCAAGGTCAACCCCAGCAGCAGCAGCAGCAGCAGCAGCAGCAGCGAGTCCAATCGCCTCCCATCTCACAGCCCAAGCCTGCGCCCCCCAAGTCTGCTCTCAACGACGATCTGGTCCAGCTCAACGACCTGTTTTCGTCGCCTCCACCACAGCAGAAGCAGTTTGTGCCCTCGTCCGACTTTGGTCAGAAGATCAACAAGTCCGTCGAGGCTCCTCAGTCACCCATCAAGTCGCCTATCCAGGCCCCCGTCCAGGTGCCTACTCCTCAGCAGATCCCTACTCCTACTACCCAAGGCAACCCTGGCCCTCCTGTTGCTCCTCGAAACATCCACTCTGACGATTTGTTGTCTTCCAACTCGGAGTTGTCTAACAAGTTGTCCACTGCGTCTACCGACTTTGCCAATCTGTCGAACCAGATCGGCTCTTTGACGTCCCAGACAACTACCATCAAGGACCAGCGAGCCAAGGCCGAGAGCGAGCTGGCCGCCATGCAGACGAAAAAGAAGGACATTGAGGCGAAACTCGCCCAGCTGCGAACCCTGTACGAGACCGAGGTCGCCAAGGTCAAGCAGGTCGAGCAGGAACTCACTGCCGCCAAGGCTGATACTGACAAGGTACAGCAGGAGTTTTCTATCGTCGACGCGTCTTTGCACGCTGTCCAGTCGCAGCACCAGCAATTGTTGTCCGCTTTTGAGGCCGACAAGGCCAAGAACGCAGAGATCAAGGAAAACATTCGGTTGGCCAACGAGGAGGTCAACAAGACAAAGGAGCTGCTGGCCACGGCCGAAAAGGAGGCGAAACACCAAAAGAACCTGCTGTCCATCAATGACAAGCAGCGAAGTGCGTTGATGGAGGAGCATGCCAAGATGCAGGCCCAGATTGACGCCCATAATGCTGAGGTTGAGGCTGCAAAGCGGGAGCTTGAGCGACGAGCCCAGGAACCCGCTCCCGTGGCTCCCGACATGTCTCGGATGCAGGCCATGCCTCAGGTCCAGCCTCGAGCTGTTCCTGCTCCTGAACATCGGGCGTCTCCTAACAACCCTTTCTTTTCTGTTGCGGGAGGTGCGGCTCTTGGAGCAGCTACTGCTGGTGTTGCTCATGCTGTCCACGGTGTTGGAAACGCTGCTCAGGGCGCTGGCAACGCTGCTGCTGCTGGACCTCCCCCTGTTTCTTTTGGCGGACAACCCCAGACCCAACCCAAGATGGACGATTTCGACGAGGCTTTCAGCCAGATGGACGCTTCACCCTCGCAGGCTCCTTCTCAGGCTCCCTCCGACACCCCCATCTCGTCTGTTCAGTCTGATTTCAATGAGTACCAACCTGAGGCTGCAGGTTTCACTCTGCCTCTCGCACGACCACATTCTTCCACCTCTTCTGTCCAGAACAACGCTCCTCTGTCCGTTCGAGGCGAGAACTTTAGCCGACCCGACTCTCCTGTGTCCAACATCACCCGTCTGAGCGACTCCACTGCCCCCATTCCCTTTGAAGGTTCTCGAGAGCACGATGAGGTGGTTAAGACAGCTAACTCTGGTCTGACCGGTGATACTATCGAAGCTCATGCTTCGCACCCCAGCATCGCCTCCAAGGAGACTGTTTCTGAGCCTCAGAAGCCGGACGTTGATGGATTGACCGCTCAGTTCAAGAGCACTGAGCCTTTCCCTGAACAGCCCTTTGTCCAGCCTTTTGGTTCCAACCCCGCTTCTCAGCCTGCTCCTTTCAACCCCCCTGCCCAGTTCACTAGCGAGCAGCCTCACCCCGAGACCAACGCTGCGCTCGAGCAGTTCACCGACAAGGCCGTTTCGGACCAGCCCGAGTTTGAGAAGGCCGCCGAGCCCTTCCCCGACCAGCCGTTTGCCCAGCCTTTTGGCCCTAACCCTACGCAGCTGGAGGAGGACTCTGGCAACGAGTCATTCGAGTTTGTGTCTGCTGACGAGAACGAGCACTCTATCAACGAGATGCCCCGTCGAGACAAGGGCAAGGCTGTGGTTGACGACGACTCTTCTGACGATGACGAGCTGGAGGAGATTGGGGTCAACCGGTACAAAAACTACCAGCCCAAGGAGGTGCACCATGACGATACTACGTCGGACGTGGTTACTCCCCAGCACGAGATTACTCAGCCTACTTTTGCCCCTGCTGTTGACACTGCTCCTGGTCACTTCCCCGACCAGACTGCTGTTCACGATACTGCCCCTGGTCATTTCCCTGAGCCAGCTGCCGCCCCAGCCTCTTCTCAGGGCTTTGCTGCTCCCACACAAGCATACCCCTCTGCTGCCGAGGAGAAGGCTGCTGCTGCTGCTGCGTCCAACAATGACAAGGAGCTGCCCCCCAACCCACCCACATATGACGAGAGCGAAGGCCCCGGCTCTCCTCATCATGGTGGCTCCACTAACGGCTTCTTCGGTAACCAGCATGCGCCTGCTGCATCTGCTAACGACGACTTTGACGACGCGTTTGCCGATCTTGAGGACACCAACGTGGAGGCCAACAACTCGATGGACCAGTCGCAGTACAGCACCGACTTTAACAATGCGTTTGACGACATGAACCAGGCTCCTGCGCCCGCTAATCCTCCTGGAAACGACGAGTGGGAGCAGATCTTCGCCGGTATGTCTTCCGGCCCTGCTCCAGTCAGTGCTCCCTCTGCTGCTCCCGTTAGAGCATCTTCTCCTCGATCTCGAGCTGTTCAGGAGCTGACCGGAATGGGTTTCTCTGAGGAGAAGGCCAAGCGGGCGCTGCAGAAGCACAAATACAACGTTGCCGAGGCCACTAATTACCTTTTGGACCAGAGCTGATCTCTTTTTATGATGATATGTAAGTAATTCATTAATGTTTAAATGTATTATGTGATTATAAAAAATGCAGTACTTTCACCGTAGCGAGTAGTGATGATGGTGGAATTTACTGTAGACTACAACTACGGTATGTACTCATACAATACTTTAAGTAGCTACCTGTAGCTTCTGGTTGCACGGCATGGACCACATTCTGTGAGACTGTGACCTTTATGGTCAGATAGTCCAATAATGCCGTATCTGCCGCTTCTATGTTACGTTTTGAAGCTGTACGTCATCTGTTGTTGCTAAACGTGGAACAAATAAATAATCTATTAGTACAGTTCACCCCTCCTATAATGCCTTCCAACTTTCGTACAGTTCTGCCCGCTCAGGCATCTCCTGAGTAGCAGCTGTGGCCTTTGAAATATCCGATGTCACCTTGTGCAACTTGTCGAGCGATGTATGGACTTGGTCGTTGTTTTCCTTGATCTTTTGTCGGTATTCATCATTCTCCTTCTTGACTGTCTGTGCCAGCTGTTTGAGCTTTTTGATTCGTGCGAGTTTAGTTTCCCGTAGATGGCTCTTGATGATTTGATCTGGCGTCAGTCTATCGACATGGATAGGCAGATCTGTGTTTGAATTCATTCTGAGTCTGGCGTCTTTGACCAATTGATCCAACTGGGCCAGTTTCTCCGGGAGATGTCGTTCATCGAAGATCGCGTCGAATTCCGTTTGTACTGAGTCCGTCCACGCCTTGCAGATCTGCTTAAGGGCTTCTCTGAGTGCCTCCTGACCAGCAGGAGTCTTTGCAATGCTTGGATAACACGCCGCCACTCGTTTGTAAGTGAGCGACTTGACTGCATGGGCCAGTGCTGTGGACGAGGATGTGACTAAACGTCTGTAACGTGCTGATTGGGGGATTGCACGTGTATTGGCTGTTGTGGTTGTTTGTCCCTCGGTCGCTTTTGTTGTTTGTGTTTCGTTCACTGTTGTTATTCGTCCTTCGCTCGTCGCTTGTGATTCACTGGCTTGTGTCTGCCTCTGTCCCTCCCCTGTGTGTGTCTTCATGGATGTCGCTTCCACTTCAGCTACACTTATCTCCATGGTTTCTGGGTCAGGTGTTGATGTAGACAGTGTCTCGGATTTCTGCGTCTCAGTCTCCTGAACAGATTGTGTCTTTTTCGTGTGTTGTGTCCCGTCTTTTTCCATGTCCATATCCTTCTCCGTGTCTTGTTGTTTTGACGTGTTTTATATCTGCCGCGTTTTATTTACCAGCCTTGCACAATCTGACGCGTTGCATTGAGCGACTTAATGTGCAACCCCACGACTCGAACCCCCAACGCCAAATGCTGTACAGTAGCTTCTTTCATCTCCAACCCAAACCCTGCCCCCGTGCAGTTAGCGTCTGTATGACGTACATACAAACCTCCACACCTAGATCGATCACCCCCATACCACGCAATGTCAGACGTCACCGCTCTCATTGCTAGAGCCGATAAAAAGATGACCTCCTCCGGAGGCATGTTCTCATTCATGAGCGGCGGCTCCTCGACCCGATTCGAAGAAGCAGCAGACCTCTACACCGAGGCCGCAAACCAGTACAAGTTACAGCGTAACGGAAAGCTTGCTGGAGAGTGCTTTGAGAAGGCTGCTGACGCACAACTACAGTCCGAGAGCAAGGACGAGGCCGCCAACTCGCTGCTCGAGGCTTACAAATCATACCGGTCCAACTCACCCCAGGAGGCCGCCAAGTGTCTGGAGAAGGCCATTCAGTTCTTCACTACACGTGGTCAGTTCCGACGAGGTGCCAATTACAAGATGGAGCTGGGAGAGCTGTACGAGAAGGAGCTGGAGGACATTCCCAAGGCCATGGAGGCCTACACAGATGCCGGAGACTGGTTTTCCGAGGACCGAGCAGAGACTCTATCTTCCAAGGCATACCTCAAGGTGGCGGAACTGTCTGCCGAGAACGACGATCTGTTCAAGGCCATTGAAATGTTCGAGATGGTTGCCCGACGAAACCTCAATTCCAACATCATGAAGTGGTCGCTCAAGGAGTATTTGTTCAAGGCTGGCCTGTGTCGAATTGCTGCGGATCCTGTTGCTTGTGGGGGCCCCATCAACGCTTACCTGGAGTGGGATCCTGCCTTTGGCCAGTCCCGAGAGTATGGTCTGCTGGTGGATATTTGTGAGGCTGTCAGCAACCAGAACCCCCAGCTGTTTGCTGATAAGGTGTACGACTTTGACCAATTCAGCAAGCTCGACAAATGGAAGACCAACCTGCTGCTCAAGATCAAGAACGCCATTACCGAGCAGGAGGACGATGAGGGACTGTTGTAGAGGTCCAAATTTAAAGTAATATTATTGTTTATACTGATGGTCGTGTGACAGAGTGAGAGAATACAGGTACTACGCAAGGACACGCAGAAGCGGATTGAACCACACGTTTCAGTCGCTTATTCCAGATCATCGCCATTATATGTCTTGTCAGCTGGTAATATGCCATGCGTGGCTAGGGCTTTCTTTGACCCTTTCATCTCTAAGAGTCCATTGGCGCATCTCAGAGTCCATTGACGCGTCTCAAACATTTTATATTACCAATTGAAACGCTCAAGGTACTCTCATGGTAACTAGGACATGATTATGATCAATCTGATATATTGAAAGTACCCATAACCTTCCTTACAAGTACTTGTAATATATATCCAACTTGTACAGTAGTCTTGTGATTCTGGCTTGAACCAACTTCATATCCCATGAACCGAACCCTACACTCATTAAGATTCTGGCTGCCTCGGCATGAGGGGTCATTGGCGACTCTCAATGTGCTCAAGTGGGTCTTTGGTCGTGTGGCTGGAGGGAAAAAAGGGTTCCGACCCACATCTAGGCGTACATTTACACTTGTACAAGTACAAGTACTGTACTGTACTTGTAGTTAACTGGTCAAAAGTGCGACTTCGTGAAGCTCCGTATTACGATTCCTAAATTGGATATGTATGTTGGAGGCTTGTACATTCTTGTACAGTAGACAGAAGGGGATGACATGAAATAAGGGACAAGAATGTCTAAACCATCATAACCGGACGACCACAAGTAAACCCTACCAAAGACCATCAATAACAGCAGCATATCTTGCAACAGCTCTTGGAAGGTGTGACTTGAGAGTGTCACACCAATTTAACTAAATCTAACTAAATCCCTAACCTACTAATAACTAACGTTAATAAGCACCAGACCTCATTCAAACTCTGTTTCGTATCGGATGAGTCCAACGTTCAGGGACCAAAACAAGCAAATGGGCAGGTGGTGGAAAAGAACGAGATTGGACCCAAATCAGGTCTCCCCAAAAAACAAAAACAAAAAAAACGCCAGCAAAGAAGAGCAATCTAATGTGCATTGACCAACATGAAACACTCCCTGCGCAAATAGTCATCTCACATAAGCCGCACCTGTGACTATTTGGACACTTTCACCTGGTGGCTCATTTTAGCTCTGCAAAATTTCCATATGCATGGTGCAAGCTACTTCTACTCATGCCTAACGTGTAGCTGGGGATTGTACTTGCCAGATGCTCCAGATGGGTCTAAAACTGCCCGCTCCTTCTTCTTACGACAAGTAGATTGCTAGCTCCTGGGAACAACCCGCCGCTCCGACAGCCTACATACACATACGTGGCGGGGGTGCATCGAACCGGGGTAGTACGCAGTTGAGCTGTATCGGGAGAGTCCAGCATATAGGAGAGTAACAACTGCTTCTTCTGGGGGGGAGTGCAAGTGAGGATCTGTCAATAACACATTCCATGACCCTGTTGAAGCATTCCCACTCTCTCTTATGCCCCACTTCTCGTATCTGATCGCCTCTTAAAGTTCAATGTGTTGCCGAGAATCCTTGATTACTGGAAGAGAAGCACTTCAACAGAGCTTAGATCACGTAGGAATCATTGTCTCCACGCATCATGAAAATGACGCGAGTACAGTACTGTACTCGTGTATAAAATTTCCGGATTCCGGCCCTTCTTTCCCACTATCGTACTTGGACCACCGCAAACATATTTTAGTCACAGTGCATGGGCCTCGCTCACCAGCCGACAAGACTGACGCTCCTCCAAAAACATACTCTGAGTCATAGGTCTATCCTTATCTCTGATAGCAGCGAATGGGTGTGGGAGAGTCAAATACCGTTCTAGCTGGAGTCTATAATCAACGAGGCTGACGGGTCCGACTGGTGGATTTCGAGGTGTAGAATCGACTGGCCGGGTAAAAATAATCTCTTCCCCCTTGTAGATGGGTGTATGCACATTTTTTCCCATTGGAAACTGCTGCTCGCTTTTTCCTTCCCCAGGCCCAAGTGTCCCGATTATTCCGTCTGCACGAATTTTAAGCTCGGGGTACAAGTAAAAGATTTTGATTTGGAGAGTTGAAAAAAAAATAAAGGTACTTTAACTTGCACCTCGCACCTTCACACATCACCAACTACCATCCCGACAATGATAGCGCGATCGCTGTTGCGACTGGCCAAGCCGCAATTGCGAGCTGGCATTGCCGTGCGAACCAAATTGACACAGTTCCCCGTGCGAAAATACACAACCACCCCCGAGTATGCCGGAGCTGGAATCCTGTCCCAGGTGGCTGACAAGGAGCTTGTCGATGTCTCCAAGGTTCTGGTCATTGGTTCTGGAGGTCTGTCTATTGGTCAGGCCGGAGAGTTCGATTACTCCGGATCTCAGGCCATCAAGGCTCTTCGAGAGGAGGGCAAGCAGTCCATTCTCATTAACCCCAACATTGCGACCAACCAGACCTCGCATTTCCTTGCCGACGAAATCTACTACCTGCCTGTTACCCCCGAGTACATTATCCACATCATTGAGCGAGAGCAGCCCGACGGAATTCTGCTGACCTTTGGAGGCCAGACCGGACTCAACGTCGGAGTCCAGCTGAACAAGATGGGCGTGTTTGACCGATACAATGTCAAGGTTCTTGGAACCCCCATCAAGACCCTGGAGACCTCCGAGGACCGAGACCTGTTTGCTAAGGCCCTTAGGGAGATTGATATCCCCACCGCCGAGTCCATTGCTGTTGAAAACGTTGACGACGCCCTCAAGGCCGCCGAGTCCGTTGGTTACCCCATTATTGTCCGATCCGCCTACGCCCTTGGAGGTCTGGGTTCCGGTTTTGCTAACAACGAGGACGAGCTCCGAAACCTCGCTGCGCAGTCTCTGTCTCTTGCCCCCCAGATTCTCGTTGAGAAATCCCTGAAGGGCTGGAAGGAGGTTGAGTACGAGGTTGTCCGAGACCGAAACAACAACTGTATCACTGTCTGCAACATGGAGAACTTTGACCCTCTTGGAATCCACACTGGTGACTCTATTGTCGTTGCTCCCTCTCAGACTCTGTCCGACGAGGAGTACCACATGCTCCGATCCGCTGCCATCAAGATTATTCGACATCTCGGCGTTGTTGGTGAGTGTAACGTCCAATACGCTCTCCAGCCCGACGGACTCGACTACCGAGTCATTGAGGTCAACGCCCGTCTCTCCCGATCTTCTGCCCTGGCTTCCAAGGCCACTGGTTACCCTCTCGCTTACACTGCTGCCAAGATTGCCCTTGGTTACACCCTTCCTGAGCTCCCCAACGCCGTGACTAAGACTACTTCCGCCAACTTCGAGCCCTCTCTTGACTACATGGTCACTAAGATCCCCCGATGGGATCTGGCCAAGTTCTCCAATGTCAAGCGAGACATTGGCTCTTCCATGAAGTCTGTCGGTGAGGTTATGGCTATTGGCAGAACCTTTGAGGAGTCTTTCCAGAAGGCCATTCGACAGGTTGATCCTTCTTTTGTCGGCTTCCAGGGCCACCCCGATTTCGCCAACAACAAGGAGTTCCTCGAGGATACTCTTGCTAACCCCACCGACCGACGATGGCTCGCTGTGGGCCAGGCTCTGCTCCACGAGAACTACACCGTTGACCAGGTTCACGATCTCACCAAGATTGACAAGTGGTTCCTCTACAAGCTCATGAACCTCGTTGAGATGCAGCGAGAGCTTGAGTCCCACAAGTCTCTTAACGGCCTCAACCAGGACATTCTGCAGCGAGCTAAGAAGCTCGGATTCTCCGATAAGCAGATTGCTCTTGCTGTTGGTTCTGATGAGATGTCTGTTCGAGCCCGACGAAAGTCCTTCGGTATCACTCCCTTCGTTAAGCGAATTGATACCCTTGCTGCCGAGTTCCCTGCCGATACCAACTACCTGTACACCACCTACAACGCGTCTTCACACGACATTGACTTCAACGAGCATGGTACTCTGGTGCTTGGTTCCGGCGTCTACCGAATCGGTTCTTCCGTTGAGTTTGACTGGTGCGCTGTTTCTACCGTCCGAGCTCTCCGAGAGGCTGGCAAGAAGACCATCATGATCAACTACAACCCCGAGACCGTGTCCACTGACTTCGATGAGGTCGACCGACTGTACTTTGAGGAGCTTTCTTTTGAGCGAACCATGGATATCTACGAGCTCGAGCACGCCCAGGGTGTTGTGGTCTCTGTTGGTGGCCAGCTGCCCCAGAACATCGCCCTCACTCTCCAGGAGCAGGGCGCCAACGTTCTCGGAACCGACCCTCTGTCCATCGACAAGGCCGAGGACCGACACAAGTTCTCTTCCATTCTCGATTCCATTGGAGTTGACCAGCCCGACTGGTCCGAGCTGACCTCCGTCGCTGAGGCCAAGGAGTTCGCCGACAAGGTCTCCTACCCCGTTCTGGTCCGACCCTCTTACGTTCTGTCCGGTGCCGCTATGTCCGTCATCTACAACGAGTCTGAGCTCGAGCACAAGCTGAACAACGCCTCTGCCGTCTCTCCCGACCACCCCGTCGTCATCACCAAGTTCATTGAGAACGCCCACGAGATTGATGTTGATGCTGTTGCCTCCAACGGTAAGATGCTGGTTCACGCCATCTCTGAGCACATTGAGAACGCCGGTATCCACTCCGGTGACGCCTCTCTGGTCCTCCCTCCCCAGGATCTCGATGACAAGACCATGGCCCGTCTTAAGGAGATTGCCGAGAAGGTTGCCGCTGCTTGGGAGATTTCCGGTCCTTACAACATGCAGATCATCATGGTCCCCAACGGCACCGACGAGCCTGCCCTCAAGGTCATTGAGTGCAACATCCGAGCCTCTCGATCCTTCCCCTTCGTCTCTAAGGTTCTCGGCGTCAACTTCATCGAGGTTGCCACCAAGGCCCTTATGCAGGAGAACGTCCCTGCCCCCGTTGATCTTATGAAGATTGACCGACCCTACGTTGCCACCAAGGTCCCCCAGTTTTCCTTCACCCGACTTGCTGGTGCCGACCCCTACCTCGGTGTCGAGATGGCCTCCACTGGTGAGGTTGCCTGTTTCGGTGCTGACAAGCTCGAGGCCTACTGGACCTCTATCCAGTCCACCATGGGCTTCAAGGTCCCCCAGCCCCCCTGTGGTGTCCTGCTCGGCGGTGATCTGACCCCCCAGCTCATTGAGATTGCCAAGAACTCCGCCAACACTGGCTACAAGCTCTACTGCGCCTCTCCCGAGCTGGCCCAGATCCTCACCGAGGCCACCTCCACCAACGTCTCCACCATTGAGTTCCCCAAGACTGACAAGCGAGCTCTGCGGGAGATTTTCCAGAAGTACGACATCCAGTGCGTCTACAACCTGACTCGATCTCGAGCCGAATCTCTGCTTGACGAGAACTACGTCATGCGACGAAACGCCATTGACTTTGCCATTCCTCTGTTCAACGAGCCCCAGACTGCCAAGCTCATGTCCGAGTGTCTGCTCACCCGAATCAACAAGAAGACCGGTGAGATTCCTCCCGAGGTTCGACGATGGTCCGAGTTTATTGGCGGCAAACCCGTGTAAATACGATGAATTATTAATTGCCTTTGATTTAGAGCGTGTGAGTTGTAGAGTAGACAATATGTGTAGACGACTGAAAACATGCTACTGAAATTAGCTGTACGGACAAATACTGTACATACTGTTGCTCAATAACAGCTACTGGACAGTTACCATTCACTGTCGGCTAGAAGACAGCTTAGGCACCGCAAGATAGCTCGCGCACGTGAGACAAAGTGCAAGACAGAGCCACTCAACGCAGGCACAGGCACAACTGAGCCCCACCGCAATCAACCACAAACAACCCATGGTACTCCAAGTTTGAGTAGCTCCGTATTACAGCGCCTAGTGATCGCCAAGTTAATTATCGCTGAACTCTGGACAAAGATGAAACAGCACAAAGACCCCACAATGAGAGGTGTTCCTGTGCCGTGCATATATACAGCCTACTTTGTCTTAGCTTTTCGACTAATCATCTTGTGATTTCGATCCAGCAGCAGGTGGCAGGTGTGTAGAACATACTACAGTACAGTACGTACAATTGTAAGTGGACCAGTCAAGTTATGGATACAGCGCTGAGCTGACTGGTCAAGTAATTGGAATACATATATCCCACCTTGGTAGCTTACAAGTACCGGTACTTGTACATCTCTCCATGGAAACACTATCCCCCGAATCCAAGGCTCTGGTCAAGCAAATCATCACCTTTCTTCAAGAGAAAGAAGGGTACGTGAAACACGACTTACCGGACATAGCCGAGACTACAAGTAGCGCGCCACGTTCAACGGCAGCCCCACGTCAGTCAAATCTAACTGTCTTTGGCCCAATCACACAGGCTGAATATTACACACAGCGGCTGGTTCAAGCTGCATCTTTGGGTTTACGCAATGTTCAGGCACAAAAAAGATTGTCTCGCTAAAATTGTCCTTTAGCAGTGGTGGAGGAGAGCCGTGGATGAACCAAACCATCGACTTTGACAGCTTGTGGGCCGCTATAAGTAGTTGATAATACAGTAATGGATATGAGTGTGAAAAAGATGTGTATTCCATTGTGTGATGTGACCTGTAGACGCAATAACCACCCTGCTATACAACGTCAATGTGTAGTTTGCACCACAATAGCTATCACTCGCTCTTCACCGTTGAAAATCCCCCTGACTAGATTCCCTGACAGATGCCCACCTTGGGCCCTGGATGTTATGCAGCTTGCGTGCAGCGTCCCACTGACCAGATGTAATTAGACGCACCTGCAGACACACTGTACTGCTTTCTGTTATCATTGGCTGATAAGGCACTGTGTGGTTTTTGGAGCGACGATAACGGACCAAGGAGGCACATAAAACACTAGAAATCAAGCGGTAACAATGACAATGTCACTCCACAAGCATCATCAAACACACTGCTTTTTCATTCCTCCACCATCATAATCCCCTTGTGTACACTCCAATTGCCTCTCGAGGAACACTATCACACTCTATCTCCTCCGAACCCAAACTCAATCCTACGCGCCGTCTGCGACGTGAACATCGACACACAACACCATATATAGCACCGCCACATTCCTTTGCAAAGAACCACTACAGGAAAGAAAACACACAGATAGACATGCAGTTCTCTCTTGCCACCATCGCTACCGTGGCTGCCGCCGTCTCGGCCCTCGTTTGTCCCTACACAAAGCGAGATGCTGTGGCCGCCTTCACCTCGCCCCCTCTCTCTTCTGCTGACCACAAGAGCTGTCCTGCTGACACTCCTGTATCATGCTCCTCTGGCGCCGGCTCTGCCGACCTCTGCTGTACCGAGTCCCCTGGCGGTGTGCTCGTCTTGACCCAGTTCTGGGACTGGACCCCTGCTATTGGCCCCGATGACCTCTTCACCCTGCACGGTCTGTGGCCCGATAACTGTGACGGATCGTACGCACAGTTCTGCGACAAGAGCATGGAGGTGCAGTCAGTGGCCGCCGTTCTGCAGCAGCTCGGAGAGACCGAGCTCCTCGACAAGATGAACAAGATCTGGATCCCCAACCGAGGCTCCACCGACTCCTTCTGGACCCACGAGTGGAACAAGCACGCCACCTGCATGTCCACCCTTAAGGACAAGTGCTACAGCTCCGATGCTCCGCAGTATCAGTCCCTTGCCGACTGGGCCCACACCGTTGTCAACGTGTTTGAGACCGTCAACACCTACAAGTTCCTCGAGGCCGCTGGAATCACCCCCGACTCCTCCAAGACCTATGCCAAGACTGACTTCCTCAACGCCCTCAACTCAAACTTTGATGGTAAGCAGGTTCACATCTCGTGCAAGTCTGGCTACATCTCTGAAGTTTGGTACTACTTCCACCTCAAGGGCTCTGTTGTGTCCGGCCAGTACCTCCCCATTGACGACATTGGATCCTCCAGCTGCCCCGACCAGATCAAGTTCCCTCCCAAGGACGGATCTGGCGGAACTCCTCCTCCCACCGACCCCTCCGATCCTCCCACCGGCGGCTCCAAGGGCTTCATCAACATCTCCGGCCAATCTGGATGCCTCATCTCCAATGGTAACTGGTACACGTCCGGTACTTGTGCCACCTACACCCTTGGCGAGTCCCAATACGGCGGTGTCACTCTTACCTCTTCCAAGGGCCCCTGCGATGTTGTTAACGGCAAGTTCTCTTGTGCTTCTGGCAACAACGCTGGCCAGTTCACTCAGGACGGCAGCAACATTGTCTACGGCGGAAAGTCCGACTGGTCTGCTCCCTCAGTACCCTCTGGCTCCCAGCAGGTTGGCGTTTCTCCTGGTTCCGCCGGAGGTTCCGTTTCCTTCAACCTTGTCTTTGCCGCTAAGTAGGTGACCTAGACACGTATATTATACAGTACATAACTTATTAGACTCATTGAACATTGGAAATAGATTTGAGAGAGCGCTAACGGCTGGCTACACACATATTCCCAGCCACTGGTCTGTATCGTGTGTGTAGCATGTCTAGTTCTAAGACAAATAATGATAATAATATCGTCACGCGACCATATCTACGAGTAGCTTAACTTTGGAAAAATCAGATGTGTGTAGAGAGAACCATGGTGGTTACTTATCTGACAAGTGTTTGTTCACATATATATAAATTGCTGACTCAGGTACGAGTAGTTTTCTACCCTCCTTTACGCCGCCACCAGATAAGCTTCTTATCGTGCAGAAAGAATCGAGATTTTTCAGCTGGCTAGGATCAAGTCAGTTAAACACACAACACAATGATTCGGAATATACGACCATCGATACGCAACACAAACCGGCTATATGTGCAAATACGCACACTTACATCCACGCCTCTCTATGTTCAGGAGACCCACATGCCCGAGGCTGACAAACAGTCTCTTGAGTACGCCGACCAAGTGTTCAAGAAAGGCAAGTTGCAACGGTGGTGGACAGCCTTCTCCTTTGACCAGATTCCCACTGCTCCCGTTGATGAGAAGAAACGCACCAAGGGCGACGACTGGGCGATGATCGACGAGCTGCGTGAGGAGGAGGACTTTGAGGTGGGCTCAGACGAGTACGATGCTCTGGAAGCCGCCTCCAACGCCAACACCCGGATGATCAAGGCCAATATCCCCACTAACCAGAATCTCAAAAAAGTACACAAGAACGAGATTTTCCCAGAAATAGTGTTTATGGGCCACACAAACGCGGGCAAGTCCACCTTGGTCCAGCACGTCTTGGCGTGGGGTCGACCCGACGTTCCACAGTCGCACCTACACTCCCCCACGTCCAAGAAGGGCCACAAGGGCTCGTTGAGCAACTCAATCAACTCTGCTTTTCCTGTGATATCCAAAAAACACGGTTTCACCAAGTCCTTCAACTGCTATGGTCTCACCATTCCAAACTCTGGAGGCAACCAGATCAGACTGGTGGACATTCCCGGCTACGGCTACAAGTCGCTCAAGGACCAAGGCGCGGTAGTGGAGCAGTATTTGGAAAGACGAACTAACCTGCGAATGGCCATTCTTGTAATTGACGCAACCAGGGGCATTCAGGACGAGGACAAGTACATGCTCTCGACGCTCAACAAGTACGGAGTCACCTGGCAGGTGGTGCTCACAAAGAGCGACATGCTTGTGGGAGGAGACAAGAAACTCGAGGCACTGGGCCGCGAAATGTGGTTGGCTGCTAATCCTCCTAAAAGTGGAAGCCAAATGGTCAAACTGACAAAGCCCCAAAAGGAAAAGTGGGCACGACGGGCGCTATTAGCCGAGACTTCAATCCAGACACAGCTAGGTAAAATTTTGGTGCAGGTGAAGAAAATGGACACTCCTGAGTGCCCGTCCAAGGCCCTAGAGCGGGTCATTGCTGTCAGCAATAGCCCCAAAATGCTGCAGGGATACAAGCATGATTTTGGCGGAAGTGGCATTAGTGTTGTACGAAACGCCATTCTACAGATCTGCGGCATGGGCTTCCACGAGCAGAAAATGTGGAAGGAGATGGCCAAGTATGGCATGTCTTGAGGACGTTCTCATTTCTGAGGAGGAGTGCTTTTAGCCTCCAATTGACAAATAGGAAGACAGACACGTTCTCATCCCCACTAGACTGTCTTCCCCCGCACTAGCTGATGGAGCAATGTAATTGAAGCCACTGCTACAAGTAGCAAAGCTAGTGAGCTCGTGCAAAAAAGCAACAGCTCTGTATATAAGTATTAATATTTTCCGCCCCAGAGTCCCCTTTCTCTCGCAAATCATCTCTTATATCGCAATGCCCGAACCGACTTACCCCAAAATGGCCTATTGGATTGAGTGGTTTGTGGGAACCGCCTCCAACGTGGGCTTCCCTCCGACCACAGTGCTCAACGAGGCCACGGGCTTGGAGTTGACCACTCTGGAATGGTCCAAGAAATTGGCGACTGCGGCGACCACAGTTTTCAAGCGAGATGTGGATTACGTGCGAGAATACATGGTCTCCAACATCAAGGCGTACCTGACGAGCGAGGGAGCTGCGTCGACCGACTCATCGTCTGCCGCACTAATCTCCGATATCTCCGAAACCAAGGAACTGCCGGGTAACTGAACTTCTCAAGTCCAACTACAGACCAACTTTTTGGGGTGTGAATTTTTTGCAACCTTATTTGAAAATTTGAAAATTTGAAAATTTATCAAAAGTCGATATTGATTACGATCTGTGAGAAGTGTCTGTGGCAGTAAGTGTATAACTTTTACTAGGTATAATACAATCAATAAAATAAAGAGTACATGCGATGGGCCCAGAGTGGGGATTTGGAAATCTCACCCCAGACTTTGTGTAAGTGGCTAATTGATGCTGATATCAGACAGACCTTAGTAACCTCCTCGGCCACCTCGTCCACCGCCGAATCCACCACGGCCTCCACCTCGGCCTCCAAATCCGCCTCGTCCACCTCGGGGAGCTCCAAAGCCACCTCGTCCGCCTCGGGGAGCACCTCCGAAGCCTCCTCGAGCACCGCCTCGGCCACCAAAGCCTCCTCGAGCACCTCCACGGCCACCAAAGCCGCCTCGAGCACCGCCTCGAGCACCACCTCGTCCTCCAGCAGCCTTGGGCTTCTTAACGCCGGTGGCCTTGGGCTTGGGCAGGAATCGCTCCAGCGGCAGCAGCTTGTCTCCGCCAATGTAAAACTTGTCACCAGACTTGAAAGAAGCGGCCTGGAAGCCCTCGGAGGGCTTGATAGTGAACATGACATCGTTCATGGGGCCAAGAATCTCGTCGACCTTGCCGACCTGGGTCTTGTTCTCAAGGTAAATGGGGGCGTTGAAGTAGGGGATCTTCTCATTGATGGACTTGCAGACGATATCGCCCTCGCAAGCGTGCAGAAAGGCACCCATCTCAAACACCTGATCGGGAGGGCCCATCTGCATGGGTGCGCCGGTTCGGCCACCTCGGAATCCGCCTCGTCCTCTGAAGCTCATTTTTGTGTGATGTTTGTAGTAGAGGTTGTGATGAGTTCACTGTAAGGTCAAAAAGTTGTATGCACCTACTAATTTTTTCCCATTAACTTTTCTGCCCTAGCCCTGCTCATGCAGTGTACTATCCATGTTGTAGGGTAGTGCTTGTTGACTAAGCCATCACCTCTGTGACGACAATAAAATGGCCCTATCGACAGACCTGCTCAAGATCTCGCCTCTAGCAGCGCTGCTCAACAAGGATAACGTGTCGATAAACTCAGTCTATCAATTCATCGAGAAGAACGGCTTCAATGATCGCGACCTGCATACCCTAGAGTCTCTGAATGGACTAGAGAAGTGAGTATAGAGAGATGCACAGACACAGAAACACCGCTAGAACTCCTTACTAACCCAGATTATGGCCAGTTTACAACAAGAAACAGGCCAACACAAATGCCATTGTCGTGGCACTCCTTGTTCTTGCCAAGGCCAATGACGGATTCGATCTATGGACGGTGTTCGAGAAGAGCCCCGAAAATTTTGGCCATTTTTACAAAACGGTACTCAATCTCGTGGCCGGAGACAAGCCAACACGGATCCAGAAAGTGCGAACCAAACTACTGCGGTTTCTGACCGTTTCTTTCCAGTGGCTTGACTCTCAGTTGGTGCGATCAGAGGCAGGAGCATTGGTGTCGGTCTACACATGGATGCATATGGACGAGAAGGTGCGAGAGAACCTGCTCAAGGGAAACAAGCGACTGGGGAAGCTCTGGAGAGGCGCCATGAAAGCCTACGACAAGGGCGACAAGAAGGAGGACATCGATAAACAGTCTTCGTTTCTATCGACACTTACAGACATCATGTTACAGAAGGAGCACGATACGGAGTTTGTTGACACATATCTGTGTTTTCTCATCTCTATTGTGTCGCAAATCCCCTCAAGACGATTCGCCAACAGTGTTATCAAGTCCAAGAATGTGTGTTCATTGTTGAAGAAGTGTAACGCCGATTTGCTCAAGACCCTCGATTTTTACGTGCATTTTCCCATGGACGATTTCTCCGGCGAAGAGCTGACTCCTCTGCAAGTGCGAAAGCTGCAGACCCAGTATCTGGAAAAGTTCCAGCTCTATGCATTCGAGAATCTGCCTGAAAAGCTGCGACTCGCGAGTTTGTGTAACTTTGCATCTCTCACAAAGGATGAGGTCAAGAAGGAGCTGTCGAACCTGTCCAAGGCTGAAATTGAGAGCCTGTTGAACCTGCTGGGAAGCTCAGGCAAGAAACTGGTGACTCTCAACTACCAGTTGGCATCTCTCACTTCAAACCGAAACCTGAATGCCGAGTTTGACGCTATAGACCTGCTGCCTACAGAAAAGTCGCTCAATTCACAGTACTCCGAGCTTACTCTACCCCGACTTACTCTGCAGTATCTCAGTATGAACGACTTTATTCTCAAGTCGTTGCGTCTTCAGCAGGTCGAGATCTTCCATCAGATCAATAGTGATGTGGAGAATGTCGTCAACCGTCTCAAGACGAGAAAACGAAACGACGCCGGAGAGGAAATCACAGGATTCAGCAAGTACGCTACAAAGATCCTTAACGAGGCTGTTCTGCATGTGGCACCTCCTTTTGTGGGCGAGTCCAATCCCGGATACTGCCGTGTGGAGATCACCGTGGATATTTACAGACAGGACAAGCGAGAATGGGACTCATTGAAACCTGGTGACGTCGTGTTTTTGCTGAAGTTGGGGACAGGGCTTGAACAGCTGCGTGGTGCTTTTGTGCACGATATCCTCGACTCAGATAATAAGAGTATTGTGCAATGGAGTGGGTACAATGAGATTGAGTCGTCCCAGCGAAAGTTCATATTGGACGTGGATCCGGCCCATTGGGGCGATGTCTTTCAGGCCAACGTTCTTATGAGAAGAAAGTCCAAGGAGGCAGCCTTTTATCCTACCCTGAAGACTATCCATGGTCTACACAAAATCCGGTCTATTCTCCCTGAGTGGATCAGTGGAGTGTTTTTAGGCTACGGAGAGATCCCTGAGCAGCCTACGGGTGTGGTGGATTTGCTAGACACTTTCCAGACTAGCAAACAGGTCTATGAAGCTTTCCCCGAAAAGTTTGAATGTACTGAGGAGGCTTCTGCTCCATTCAAGCTTGATACCTCGGATGACAAGTGGAGCTTGATTCCTTACACTCCTGTGGATAAGGGGCCTTATTTTGTTCAAGAAGATCACTCCAATAAGCTCAAGTTCACACAAGCGCAAGGTCAGGCCATTGTTTCCGGCACTCTACCTGGTCTCACTGTGATAGTCGGCCCTCCCGGTACCGGTAAGACTGATGTGGCTACTCAGATTATCCTCAATCTGTATCACAGTCATCCCTCTGAGGTTACATTGGTGATTGCTCATAGTAACCAGGCTCTGAACCATTTGTTTGAGAAGATCGCTTTGCTTGATGTTAACCAGAAACACCTCCTGCGATTGGGTCATGGTGAAGATATGATTCGGGAGGAGGTGTCTAAGGGAGGTTCTTTTAGCAAGGTTGGTAGAGCCGAAAACCTGCTTGAGGGACGTGCCACCTTGCTACGGGAGGTGGACAGCCTGGCCGAGAGTATTGGTGCTGAGGGTGCTCATGGAGATAGTTGTGAGACTGCGCATCATTTCTTCAGAGTCTTTGTGCTGCCCAAGTATCAAAAGTGGCAGAAGGAAGGCGGAAAGTTCCCGTTCGATGAATTTTTCAAGGATAAGAAGGACCATTCTGATGCGGGCAAGTGGTACCATATTGACAGGATCTTCACCGATCTTGCTGACATTCGTCCTGTGGAACACATGTCTGGCAAGGCTCAGAGTGACTACATGCTTGTCAAGGAAGCTAAGGTGGTTGCCATGACAGCCAAATATGCTTCGATGCATCACGACTCGCTAGTTAGGTTGGGTTTCAGATACTCTTCGCTTGTTGCAGAAGAAGCTGCCCAGCTAACCGAGATTGAGTTGGTGATCCCCATGACTCTTCAGAAGGAGACAGACGCGCTCAAGCGGGTGGTGTTGATCGGAGATCACAAGCAGAACGCCCCCATTGTGACTAATGAGCTAGTTCGCAAGTGCAACTTTGATCAAAGCACGTTTGGCCGATTTATCCGGCTTGGCATGCCCACTTTTCTTCTCGACTCCCAGGGACGAGCCAAGCCATCGATTTCAGACATTTACGGTTGGCGGTATGGTGGGCTCAAGAACCTACCGCACACCAAGGAGGGCGTCTACCAGTACGCAAACTCTGGCTTTCTGCATGACGTTCAGTTCATCAATGTGGATGACTACGAGGGACAAGGAGAGACCGAGGTGGCACCTCACGTCATCCAGAACCTCGGCGAGGCTGAATATGCTATTGCTCTGTACCAGTACATGAGACTTCTTGGCTATCCTGCTGACAAGATCACCATTCTGACAATGTACAATGGTCAGAAGGCCTTGTTGCAGGAGATTTGTTCTCGACGATGTGCCTCTACAAAGGGCGACCGGGAGATTTTTGGGATGCCTAGAGTCATCACCACGGTCGACCAGTATCAGGGAGAGCAGAACGACTACGTCATTGTTTCGCTTGTGCGAACAAAGCATGTGGGTTATCTGCGGGACGTACGACGTATGACGGTTGCAGTGTCTCGAGCTAGATTGGGTCTCTACGTTCTTGGCCGTTATGACATGCTTGCCCAATGCGTCGAGCTGGAGGAGATGATGAAGAAGCTTGGAGGTTCTCATAACCTGGAGGCTGTTATGGGAGAAATGTATGAGCAAAAGGAGCGCCTGTCAGGAGACAAGCCAAAGGACGCTGCTGCCTCGGTGACTCTGACGGGCGTTGTCCACCTCGGCCAGTATGTCGAGCAGATGACGCAGCAGTACAAGTCTCGTCATGGCTTAGTCTGATAAGGCTATCTCGTGCTGTGATTGGCCAGAGTTTTTCCGTGCGTTATTTATCCGCATTAAGCACGCGTGGGGTATGTATCTTAACAAGAAGAGTGATTCCATGTGCAACGTAAAGCACAATGAGTAATGTGTATAATTTTGGGGGCTGAAAATTTTTATCGCACTGTATTATTATTGTACTTTCCCAGTAGAAACATCCGCCGGCTATCTATGTGTATATGTGTGTGTGCGATCGATCTTGCTTTCTTTTATCATTGTCTCGACTGGTTATCTTTGGGCAGCACAACAAAGGCATGGATGCACCCACAAACTGGCTGGTTGGGGGACCATCTTGGAAACACCAGTTTGTGTTCTCTCAAAGCTAATTCTGTTTATGCATCTCCACCTGCTGTGGCCATGTCCAAACCGCCTCTCATTACCCTATGGGTTCATGTGCTCGACTCAGTCTTGTGAAAAGCAAAAAGAGACAATCGGCCAGGCATAGGCGTGAATTGCAGCAAAATAAAAAAGAGAGACATGTAATACGACGACGCGGTTAGTGCGGTTCTATAACTCCAGAAAAATACAAGCGTCCGGCTGTCCGGGGGGGCTATTTCTAGGGACAATGGTGATGATAGTTAGGGTGAGGCTTTAAAGGCGGTGAGGGGATGCTACAAGTATGTACTGTAGCCAACACTGGTCCGGGAGATAGCTTGGTGGATTAAATTAGCTGGAGTTTGGGCTGCATTTCACACCAGAAAAGGTGCTATTTGACATCTGGTAGCCCCTTAAGCCGCACACGCGACATCCGGCGCCCAAGAGTTCCCTTTAGCTCTATAGCTCGAAAGAAATGGAAACCGTTTGCTCCAGGAATGAGAAGTGTTCCAATCGCATTGCGCGCGTATGGTGCCAGTTACAGCATAGTGCAGCTCTGCCGCATGAGGAGTCTGGAACAGGAACACAAGACCGTAATATGCCAAGTGGTGTAACTTTCGGCGAGGCAAACGTGTTCCACTTGGGGTCCTTCAATTGTCATCATGATTTGTCGCTCTAGTACAAGTATTCATCTTGACAGTGAATGAATAATCTTGACGTCTACCATGTGATAGTCTTGAGGAAGAGGAGCTTGTGACGAGGTTAACGTTATTGGATGGTTGGAAATCCCAATATAGCCCATTTAGAGCGCAATCAATGGAGTGACAAATTTTGGGAGAGTGCAAAAAAAAATGCGTCGGCGGTTTTTCTCCATCGCTGGCCAAAGGGACCCCTTTTGCTGATTATTACTTACAACCCGTGCTCCAGAGAACCTCCGATGGCTACCCCACTCCCTACTCGAGTCCGAGTCGGACATGTGTGGGCTTTGTGGTCGGCTATTGAAGTTCCGTTCAGTCCGGGGTAAGGTTTCAGACAAGGAAGTGGCCCTAAAAGCAAAAGTGCGGTACGAACTCAATCCCACCCTGCCCAATTCATGCTGCATAGAGTTGGCATGATAGTGGTAGGGTTTATATAAATATTGCTATCTCCCCATCCCACACCACGGTATCGCACACCATGTCCAACGTTCCTGAGACCAAGGTGGATCCCTCGCTCTCGACGCCCGAGGTGCCCTCGCAGGGCCTTCACAGCCGCCTCGACAAGATGCGAGCCGATTCCAGTATTCTGGGCTCCATGAACAAGATTCTGGGTGAGTACAAACGAGTGAGATAGTGTGTGTGTGTGTCACCTGTCGACCTGTTGAGATGACGACACGCACCCTCAATTGCTCTCAAAAGTGAAGCGAAACCAACAACACGAAGATGGGAAAAATTGGCACTACCACACTACTGGTGTGGGGGTCACATGCAACTGCGAATGTCACCATGCACGTTGCTCGGTACTCTGCATAAGGTGACACCACGACACAGAGGATGCTTCCGCCACCCAGAGTGCTCCCAAAGAACAACCCTAACACAGTCGCCAACCGAGGAGAGATCCCCATTCGAATCTTCAGAACCGCCCATGAGCTTTCCATGCAGACCGTGGCTATCTACGCCCACGAGGATCGGCTCTCTATGCACCGATTCAAGGCCGACGAGGCCTATGTGATTGGTGACCGTGGCAAGTACACCCCCGTCCAGGCCTACCTTCAGGTCGACGAGATCATCGAGATCGCAAAGGCTCACGGTGTCAACATGGTCCACCCCGGATACGGTTTCCTTTCCGAGAACTCCGAGTTTGCTCGAAAGGTTGAGGAGGCCGGCATGGCCTGGATTGGCCCCCCTCACAACGTCATTGACTCTGTCGGTGACAAGGTCTCTGCCCGAAACCTGGCCATTAAGAACAACGTTCCCGTTGTGCCCGGTACTGATGGCCCTGTCGAGGACCCCAAGGACGCTCTCAAGTTTGTGGAGAAGTACGGTTACCCTGTTATCATCAAGGCTGCCTTTGGTGGTGGAGGCCGAGGTATGCGAGTTGTTCGAGAAGGAGACGACATTGTTGATGCATTCAACCGAGCCTCCTCCGAGGCCAAGACTGCATTTGGCAACGGAACCTGTTTCATCGAGCGATTCCTCGATAAACCCAAGCACATTGAGGTCCAGCTTCTTGCTGACGGCCAGGGCAACGTTGTACATCTGTTTGAGCGAGACTGTTCCGTCCAGCGACGACACCAGAAGGTGGTTGAGATTGCTCCTGCCAAGGACCTGCCCGTGGAGGTTCGAGACGCCATTCTTGACGACGCTGTCCGACTTGCTGAGGACGCCAAGTACCGAAACGCCGGTACCGCCGAGTTCCTCGTTGACGAGCAGAACCGACACTACTTCATCGAGATCAACCCCCGAATTCAGGTTGAGCACACAATTACCGAAGAGATTACTGGCATCGACATTGTTGCTGCACAGATCCAGATTGCCGCTGGTGCCACTCTTGAGCAGCTGGGACTCACCCAGGACAAGATCTCCACTCGAGGCTTTGCCATCCAATGCCGAATCACAACCGAGGACCCTGCCAAGCAGTTCCAACCCGACACCGGTAAGATCGAGGTCTACCGATCTGCTGGAGGTAACGGAGTTCGGCTCGATGGAGGAAACGGTTTTGCCGGAGCCATCATCTCCCCTCACTACGATTCCATGCTGGTCAAGTGCTCTTGTTCCGGCACCACATTCGAGATTGCTCGACGAAAGATGATCCGAGCTCTGGTTGAGTTCCGAATCCGAGGAGTCAAGACCAACATTCCCTTCCTGTTGGCTCTTCTCACCCACCCCACTTTCATCGAGGGTAAGTGCTGGACCACTTTTATCGACGACACTCCTTCGCTGTTCGACCTCATGACCTCCCAGAACCGAGCCCAGAAGCTGCTTGCCTACCTTGCCGATCTCTGTGTCAACGGCACTTCCATCAAGGGCCAGGTTGGCAACCCCAAGCTCAAGTCCGAGGTTGTCATCCCCGTGCTCAAGAACTCTGAGGGCAAGATTGTCGACTGTTCCAAGCCCGACCCTGTTGGCTGGAGAAACATTCTTGTCGAGCAGGGCCCCGAGGCCTTTGCCAAGGCCGTTCGAAAGAACGACGGTGTGCTTGTCATGGACACCACTTGGCGTGACGCCCACCAGTCTCTGCTTGCCACCCGAGTTCGAACCACCGATCTGCTGGCTATCGCCAACGAGACCTCCCACGCCATGTCCGGTGCTTTTGCCTTGGAGTGCTGGGGAGGAGCCACCTTCGATGTCGCCATGCGGTTCCTGTACGAGGACCCCTGGGACCGACTTCGAAAGATGCGAAAGGCCGTGCCCAACATCCCCTTCCAGATGCTTCTGCGAGGTGCCAATGGTGTCGCTTACTCCTCTCTACCTGATAACGCCATTGACCACTTTGTCAAGCAGGCCAAGGATAATGGAGTCGACATTTTCCGAGTGTTTGACGCTCTCAACGATCTCGACCAGCTCAAGGTCGGTGTTGACGCTGTCAAGAAGGCCGGAGGAGTGGTTGAGGCCACCGTTTGCTACTCCGGAGACATGCTCAACCCCAAGAAGAAGTACAACCTCGAGTACTACCTCGATTTTGTCGATCGTGTGGTTGAGATGGGCACTCACATTCTGGGTATCAAGGATATGGCTGGTACTCTTAAGCCCGCCGCTGCTACCAAGCTCATTGGTGCCATTCGAGAGAAGTACCCCAACCTCCCCATCCATGTCCACACACATGACTCTGCTGGTACTGGTGTGGCCTCCATGGCTGCTGCCGCCGAGGCTGGAGCTGATGTGGTTGACGTGGCTTCCAACTCCATGTCTGGTATGACCTCTCAGCCCTCCATCTCTGCTCTCATGGCTACTCTTGAGGGCAAGCTTTCCACTGGCCTGGACCCTGCTCTTGTCCGAGAGCTCGACGCGTACTGGGCCCAGATGCGACTGCTGTACTCCTGCTTCGAGGCTGATCTCAAGGGTCCCGATCCCGAGGTGTTCCAGCACGAGATTCCTGGTGGCCAGCTGACCAACCTTCTCTTCCAGGCCCAGCAGGTTGGTCTGGGAGAGCAGTGGAAGGAGACCAAGCAGGCTTACATCGCTGCCAACCAGCTGCTGGGCGATATTGTTAAGGTAACCCCTACCTCGAAGGTTGTCGGTGATCTGGCCCAGTTTATGGTTTCCAACAAGCTGTCATATGATGACGTCATCAAACAGGCTGGCTCTCTGGACTTCCCCGGTTCCGTGCTCGACTTCTTCGAGGGTCTCATGGGCCAGCCCTACGGTGGTTTCCCTGAGCCTCTCCGAACTGAGGCTCTGCGAGGCCAGCGAAAGAAGCTGACCGAGCGACCCGGTAAGTCTCTGCCCCCTGTTGACTTTGCTGCCGTCCGAAAGGACCTCGAGGAACGATTTGGCCACATCACTGAGTGCGACATTGCCTCTTACTGCATGTACCCCAAGGTGTTTGAGGACTACCGAAAGATTGTCGACAAATACGGTGATCTATCCATCGTCCCTACTCGACTCTTCCTGGAGGCTCCCAAGACTGACGAGGAGTTCTCTGTCGAGATTGAGCAGGGTAAGACTCTGATTCTCGCTCTGCGAGCCATTGGAGACCTGTCCATGCAGACTGGTCTACGAGAGGTCTACTTTGAGCTCAACGGAGAGATGCGAAAGATTTCTGTTGAGGACAAGAAGGCTGCTGTCGAGACTGTTTCTCGACCTAAGGCCGACCCTGGCAACCCCAACGAGGTCGGAGCTCCCATGGCCGGTGTGGTTGTGGAGGTCCGAGTCCACGAGGGCACCGAGGTCAAGAAGGGCGACCCCGTGGCTGTTCTGTCTGCCATGAAGATGGAGATGGTTATCTCTGCCCCTGTTTCCGGTAAGGTGGGCGAGGTTCCTGTGAAGGAGGGCGACTCTGTCGATGGTTCCGATCTTATTTGCAAGATTGTGCGGGCTTAATTATCAAAAATAGATAGTTAATTGATTTATGATTTTATTGAAACACCGAGTTTCTACTTGTAATGTAGCTTTTAGCGTGTATATATTGTCTTTTTTATTTTTTTATTTGCTCCTTCATTATAATATGTTCTTGAGTAAGCTCCCATGTGTAACATCACAGATACTTCTAGTTTACTTGATTATCTTGACAGCGTAACGCGCCACAAATTAAGGTTCGGTATATGTAAACACCAAGAGCCCTCATTGTAACACCCACTTCACACATCTAAGACACTGAAATGGACACGGCATCTCTCACGAACGAGCTCCGATCGTTGGCCCGGCGCCAGCAAACTCTCCAAGCGCGTCTGTCAGTTTTGAGAGCAACGACGACGACTTTGAACCAAGCCAGCACGAAAAACAAGACTCAGGACGTCAAACGGAAAATCGCAACTGACGTGTTGTTGTCTAAGGGAAAGGAGAACTTGCAAGAGCAAGAACAATTTGATAGCGAGAATCTCAGTCGATTTACCGGAACCACAGCGTTCCGGGTCAAGGGTTTCTCAGACCTGCTGGGGGTTCGTATTGAGCACTTCAGTGAAGCTACAGGAACATTTGAGGCGCCTTACTACGTGATTCTGAAGCGGGTTTCCGGAGAGAAACACTTTGAGGTGTTCAAACACACTATTCCGAGTTATGTGCCGTTGAGATCTCTGGAGAAACAGTATCTGAAGGGCAAGGTTGACCTGTTGGCTTTCGTTCGAAAAGTCAGACGATGCATCCAGCAGTTTCTCTTCAAGCGTCGTGTCTTTAACGAACTACAATCGTTAGGAGCCGAGGTTGATGCCGATGAAGCGTACAGAATGGTGCAACTCTCTCTACAGGGTGTCACATACACGCTTGTTTGTGGTCCCACCAGGGTAGAACGAGTTGTGGAGAAGCACAGTAAGCCGTTTCTCTTGGGTCCCTTGTCGGGATTGAGAAGGCGCATTGTTCGCGCCAATAGATAGCTCTTCTGACAAGAGATAGCTGCTCCGTTAGTAGTTCTCTATCGGCAAGTAGCTACTCGCTCTGACTAACAGTGGCTAGGCCACGATATTTATTCTTTTATAAGTTATTAATACCTGCACACATACTTACAGTACCGTGTACAACGTCTATCAATTGTTAGAGCCAACACTAGGCTTGGGTCGAGTCAGATAAGGAATAACGACGTAGACAAGCTGGACAGTCAGCAATCCAAAAATGACTCCCATAAGCTTCTCCCAGAAGGTGTGAAAGTACAGAGATGTCATAAAGTACATCCAAGTCCACAGAGCAGCGGTACCCAGAGCAATCTTGGCACTAAGCTTGTATGGTCGTCGCTTGATGTGAGGGATGGTCTCGTAGACGAGGAACATGGTGCTCAGCACCAGCAGGAAGCAGTGACCGGAAGGATCGTAGCCACCGATCCAGGTGCCCCCAGACCGTCTACAGGATGCTGATGATATCGTCTTACCAGTAATAGGGCTTGCGTTCTCCTTCTGGTACTCACACTTGCCACCGGTAGCCACAAAGAACCGGTCCATGATGGGGATACCAAGGAACCACTGGGTGAAGAGAAGCCACCACAGAGAGTGGATAATGTATCGGGAGAGCTGGCCAATGGGGGTAGGTGCAGAGATGCCGACCAGCAGTTTCAGAGCAGCGTTGGCCTTGCTATCGGAATTAGTTTCTGACACTCCGTCGTGGGTGGTTCCAGTTCGGGTTCCCGTAGAGGTGTTTGTGCCAAAGGAGACACCCAGGCCAATTGAACCAGAGAACGTCTCGTATACAATGTACCCAAATGCAATTGTGGTCCAGAGCCATCCATTCTTGACAAACAAGATGTTAAGGAAGTTTCGTTTGTCGGCAAAGTAGGTGTGGTCGACGATCTTGCCGACGAGGGCACCCAAGATAAGCACAGAGAATACCAAACCAATCAAGGACAGGTCAAGGAGAGAAAACATACCGTTTCCAAAACTCTTGGCGGTCAGCTCGGAGTGGAGGTCCGGGTGCTTGTAATTGTTGCGAACCGACGAGCTGGGGTTGGCGCCTCTTCTGTTGATGGGAGTCGTCCCATTTGCTTCTTGGGGTTGTCCCACGGGGATCTTGACGAGGTTGGGAAAAGACGATTCGAAGGCAGCGTCACCTTCACTGGCGGTATGAGTGCCGTCGGGGCCCACAACAGTGGTTGTGGAGACTGTTCCGCAGGTGGAAGTGGTGGTGGTCACTCCGTCGCTATCCACGGTTGTGGTTGTGGAAGTGAGTCCATCTGGACTGGTAATTGTTTCTTGCTTGACAATCTGGGGCTTTGACATTGTCGGTTTTGGAGAGTGGTAGCAATGCAACAGCAGCCTACTTGTAGTTTACCGTTTACCTTGCACTCAGCAGCCATGATAGCCAAATAGGCTTTCGTCACGTGTAGGGCTAGATTGGACAACGAGATTGCGGTATTTGCGGCATCTGTTTTGGGGTCTCCGGTCTCAACATTTTCATAAATATCCACTAGCGATAATAACTGCCAGGTTCCATTTCTTGCCCGAGCAGGCGCCCACTGACACGTCTATTTCAATGCCGACTTTATGTGCCACTGCACTTGCATATATCCTGCAAGCGACTTCCTGAAATCCAACAACACCACAATATCCACGGGAAAATGGCGGAGGTGGCAACAGCCGAAAAACCTGTGACCGACGGCATCCAGGACGGATCCGAACAGCCCGACCGGTCTCTTCGCTTTGAGGCCGAGCTGGAGGTGAGTATCGACGTCAGAACTTCGCCACAAACATGACCCACGTCGTGACATGATGACCCGTTCAATTAACACAGTTTGTTCAATCGCTGGCAAACCCGCAATACCTGTCATATCTGGCACACAACAAGTACTTAGAGTCACCAGAGTTCCTCAACTACCTCTCATACCTGGAGTATTGGCGAGAGCCAAAGTATGCAAGGTTCCTGGTCTACCCCAACTGTCTTCATGTTCTGAAACTGCTCCAGTACGCTACATTCCGCAAAGAAATCAGCCGGCCTGACTTTGCCAAGCAGCTCATGGACGAGTTCTACTACGCATGGATCAAGCCCAGTGAGGCCGGTGTGTTTGGAGATGACGATACGCTAGAGGGTCTGAAACGGGAGGACTCTCAGGCTCCGCCAGGACAAAACGTCAAGATGGAGAACAAGGACGGAGACGGCGATGTTCAGATGGCATAACTGTATCATCCTAAGAAAAAATCAGCATAATTAACCTACAATCCTTTTGGTGTGTGCAACTACTTACACAACCGTATGCCTTCTTCCAGCATGCATCATATAGAAATATATACTATTTTACATTTTCCCACGTCGTCTATATTATGTGGCAATCAGCTCTCGAGGAAGCATGATCTCGCTCACCTGCTTGATTCGCTGGATGAACTTGTCACGCTCATTGGGAGGCTTGGTGGGATCCTTCTCGCCCATATGGTATGGCAGCCACTTTGCCAAAAGCTCGCCGTCCTCCTTGCACGTAACCATATATAAGGTAGTGTTTTGGTTGGCGCCTAGAAGAGGCCGAGATGTGTTTAGACTGAAGTGGTAGAACTCGTGGTTGGGATCTGGAAGCAATGGAGGAGCCTCGTCCTCTTCTTCCTCTTCTTCCTCCGCAACCACCTCCTCAGTAGCAGGAGTCTCCTCGTCTCCTTCATTCCCCTCCTCCTTGGTAGGTTGCTGAGCAGCCTTCTTGATAGGCTTCTTCTTTTTCGGCTTGGGAGGGTGAGCCTCGTTGTATGCTATCAGCTCTTGCATGGGAACAGGGTACTCGGAACCCTCGGCCTTCTCAATAATTATGAAACTGGAAAGATCCCGAACTCCGGTGAGTCGCTCTTGGCACACCCAGTAAGTGTTTCCAAGGTGGTCTTTGCCCACGGGCAGCATGCGGTGTCGTCTATGTCTGTTGCTCATGATGACGGCATATTTGGCCTGCTCAACGCTTTCAATCCAAGCATTCTTAGCAACAGCATGAACGTCTTGCCACTCGTATAGTGCTGCTCGTCCCTTTCCTGCTCCGTTGGGCCGGCTCTGTTTCAGCTCCTCTCGCTTCTTATACCACTGAACGTTGAGGTTCTTGACGGTTTCTGCATATGATGCCTCACGCTGGTCATTGTCTCGAGCGAGGGCGTTTCGTACCTGCTCAGTAGAAGCGACCAGAGTAATTAGTCGCCCCACTAGGTCGATGGACCGCTTTTCGTAGTCCAGCTCGGTAGACAGGTCTCCGAGTTTTTGGACCTCACGGCTAGTCAGTTTTGTTCCCCCCTCTTCCTCCACTTCCTCTTCTTCAACATTATCCTTAAGCATGGTCTTGCCAACTACAGGATCAATATTGCCGAGCTTCTCATTGGCGATCTCAATGTAGTCGGACAGCATGAGCCACAGCCGTTCGGACTCTGCGGGTATTCGCTCGATCTGTTTCACCAGGTCCGTGTGAACCTCCTTGTCCATGGGCGGCCCAGGATGGTTGTATGCATTGTTGCTGCTGGGCGGCAGCTTGGCATGAACCGCGTAGTCCTTAGTCAGTACTGACAGAAGCGCGGTAATGATGTGTTTATACATGAACTCGTTCCAGGGTCCAGTGAGATCGTTCAGTGAGGGACCGTGTCTGGATCCAATGGATATGATGTCGTTGAATCGAATGAGAAACTCGCGGATCTGAAGACGGCCCCAGATGACATACTCGGGGTAGTCCGACAGCAAGATCTGGAACTTTGGGGGACACGGCACGGCCTTTTTGCCGTTGGTAGTCTTTGTGGGAGTGGAAGGAGCAGGAGTGCTTTCGGCCGTGTTGGGTTCTGATTTGACAGCAGTCTTCTTGGGTGTGTCCTTCTTGGGTGTGTCCTTCTTGGGTGTGTCCTTCTTGGGTGTGTCCTTCTTGGGTGTGTCCTTCTTGGGTGTGTCCTTCTTGGATGTGTCCTTCTTGGTAGTAGCCTTCTTAGGAGTGGCCTTCTTTGGCGTTGCCTTTGTATCCTTCTTGGTGTCCTTCTTGGTGTCCTTCTTGGAGTTGTCCTTGCTGGAGTCCTTCTTGGTCGACTTCTTTGATGGCGGCGTGGAGTCCTGGCTGCTCAGGCTCAGGCGCAGCTTAAGCGACGGGATCTTTTCTCTCTTAGCCGGAGGAGTCTCGATGTCGTCTCCCTGGCGTTTGGAAGAGGCGCCTGGAGAGTCGCGTCCATTTGTCTCCAGTGTTGAAGCGACTTGAGTATCGGGGGAATCATGGTTGGCGTGGGTCTCGGCGGGCACGGCGGGCACGGCGTCGGTAGTCTTGTCGGCGGCCGAATGGGCCCCGTTCAAGCCGTTCTGTTCGGGATCCATGATGTTTGTGGTTGAGGACACGAAGTTTTTGTGCAGTTTTCGACAGAAAAGGTTGGATCGCATCAAGCAAGCTCCGAGACTACAGCCCTGGGGCGAGGGCAGCGCCATGCCATGCTACACTGGGAGTGCTCTACTAGGGGGTATAAAAGAAAGATATTAAAGCACATTCTACTAGTATTCTATTTTGGACGGAGCACGATCGTTTCACGAGGACACAAATAATACTACCATCGAAGTCTTAAGAGCATGGGGTTATGAGATGAGCACACACACCTTGCAGGCATGAAGATTACGCGTCGTAGGGACAGCTTGGAGTGGTGTCAGAAAATGTACAAGATTAGAGAATCGGAATCCACCAAACATATTATGACACGTCCATGGAATAACCATTACTTCCTCTGTGTCATTATCAGCTTCATCTTGTCCATGTTGGTTCCACTTCTTGCTCGTCATCCCGCGCTCCTCGACAGTCCAGAAATTTTGGTTTCGGAGAAAATATGCACTGTCACACATCCTTGCCCAACTCTATTTTTGCAGTGACAGAATATATCTGCAGATGGGAAGAAGTCAAGTGGAAGTGGGAAAGTCTACTTTAAAAACACCCCAAGTGTGGTTATATAAGCCAGTGTTACTGCATAACCATACCACATACAAATACCTGTATCAACAGATAGATGGTACCTTTGATACCCAAAATGTGCTGAAAGGGATTCTCTAACCCGCTCCAAGTACGTTATAATGCCAATTCCCTCTCTACCGATCACCAGATACCCCATTTTAGGTCTTAACCAAATAGGACCGTTTTTTCTCACACGACCTCGACCTTCCTGTTTGGTCGGTGATTTAAGCAACCCCTGCGCATCCAGGCACATCAGTTTGTTTGTTTCCCTGTTGGATCGGCATCTCTTGTGAGCCCTGGCAAATGGCCCGGGTTGATATAAAGGGTTGTGCGCTCCCTCTGCCTGTGTAGCTGTACCGGTACCACTCACGACCTGAAAAATGCCCTACGCTCTTTCAAACTCGACCACTACCAGTAGCTGGACTACGCATTATTGGCCCTTGGCGAGCGGATCCAGCATTTCTTCGTTGGTGCCGGTCCTTAATGCCACTACCGCTGACACTGTTTACGAAAAGGCGCCTCGCAACTCTTCCATGACCCTGGACTACAACTGTACGAGTCTTGCCAATACAAATGTGCCTGGAAACACGACCATCGGCCACTTTCACAACTGTTCAATCACCTCAGCCCCCCTTGAAATCTCGTACAACACATCCTTAATCATGAACTCAACGGTCTATGGGGACGTCACTCGAAACTTCACCATGACGCCCGTGTTCAGCAAACCCACTGAGCCCACTACTACGACCCTCTCAACTCTTACAGTGAGACGTACTGTTTACCCACCTGAATCACCTGCTCCTCCTTCAGGTACCCCGCCACAAACCGCCACCACCACCGAGACTCCTGTCCTGTACACCACAGTTGTACAGGTGCCTACTGAACTGACAACCACTTACTGCGTCACTACTGTCATTACTTCTCTTGCCAATGTCACCACTGTGATGACCAGCAAGTCTACAACAACAACCGTGTTTGTGGACAAGACTACAACGGTGAAAACATGTCCTGACAGTGAACTTCCTACTTCTACTCCAACCGATGAGCCCCTTACCCCAAAACCCGAAGAGCCAACCACCACCTTCTCGATAACTTTGACACAGACCTTCACTATTGACAGTACCACCGTCAGTTTGAACCCTACGCGTCACACCAAGCAACCTATTCCTCGTCCCTTTGCTCAGACTCTGGAATCTATCGGTCTCCCTGAGGTTTTTACACCTGAGAGGCCTAATCCCACACCTATTCCTGCTGAACATGAGCCATACACACCTCCAGTTATTCCTAACCCGCCTTCCAAGACTTTTTCACTGTCACCACCTGCCCCTATTTACATTGATGACCCAGATTATAAACCTCAACCAACGCCCGATAAAGAACCTGCTCTAGAGCCTATCCCTGAGCTCTTGCTTGAATCAACACCTACACCTCCGCCTCCCTCTTCTCCTGTGACACTAATCACACCCCACACTTCTCGACCTATGGCTATTGGGCACAATGGAGGTTTCTCTGTTGCACCCAGTGTCGTCCTGCTTTTTTTTTGTCACTTTATCACCCTCAGCATTTAATCTTTCACTTTTCTTACAGTCCTCGTACAGTATGTACTGTACATGTCTTCTCTCAACTCGCCTCCCGTATAGTTCTGGCTGCATTTCTCATGCACTCTAATCAGGACTCTCGAACCGCCGTGGTTCAAGCAAGGCTGTAGTGAACTTTACGTGTGTCTTAAGCGTGTCTTATATTTAACAGATTGTACTATTATTACCAACAACCGTATCACGTGATGTGCCTCGTAGAGCACAGGTATGATTTGTCACATGATAACACCCCCACCAAACCTCCCCCCTCCCACTACCCAGCAACGCCCACCTCACATCAGATCTGCATGTGACATGGCGAGATTTATACAAAAGCTTATTACATATGCGATCAACTCCCACTCTCAAGTGTCAGAACTACACTTCAATTGTCAAGGCATACAATGAAACTCGCTCGCTCAACTCCAAGAATTCTCAGAGGCATCAGGCCTCAAAGCATGGTCTTTGCTCGGCAGGTTGCTACCTCTACAGTACGCAAGTCTTCCAACCCGCAACTCGCATTTCCGTGCCTGGATCACCTAGAGTCAAAACAACAACGCATCACACAATCCTTTGAATCTGGTCCGGAACCCAGTTACGGCGTCAATGAGGGCTACAAGACATACCACAGTGATAAGCCTCTGTATCTCGACTATGGAGGAGTGCTTCCGGAGTTTGATATTGGCTACGAAACGTGGGGAGAGCTCAACGAAGACAAGTCCAACGGTATCTTGATCCACACGGGTCTGTCGGCCAGCTCACACGCCAAATCGCACCCCGACAACCCCAAACCGGGATGGTGGGAAAAGTTCATTGGTCCGGGACTTTCCATTGACACAGATAAGTACTTTGTGGTGTGCACAAATGTTCTGGGCGGATGTTACGGATCCACTGGTCCATCCAGTATCGATCCTGCCAGTGGCAAGCGATACGCAACCTCGTTTCCTATTGTGTCTATCAATGATATGGTCCGAGGTCAGAACCGATTGATCCGATCACTCGGTATCAAAAAGCTACATGCTTCTGTAGGCAGCTCCATGGGCGGTATGCAGTCCCTCGCGTATGCCAACGACTTTTCTGCCGAGGTGGACAGGGTGGTATCTGTTTCTGGATGTGCTCGATCCCATCCCTACTCGATTGCCATGCGACATGTTCAGCGTCAGATTCTCATGTCCGATGCTAACTGGAAACGAGGCAACTACTACGACAGCGTCCCCCCTCACGTCGGAATGAAGCTGGCTCGAGAGGTCGCCACCATCACATACAGATCAGGTCCCGAATGGGAGCAGCGATTCGGACGAGATCGAGCTGACCCCACCCGAGCACCCGCTTTGTGTCCCGACTTCCTCATTGAGACTTACCTGGATCATGCTGGCGAAAAGTTCTGTCTGGAGTACGACGCCAACTCTCTTCTATACGTTAGCAAGGGTATGGATCTGTTTGATCTCGGTGTTGAGTCCACCAAGCACACCAAGGCTATCCGAGCCAGAACTCGACAACATGAGAATGAAGCGGCACAGTGTCCTCTTCCCGATAAGCTGATTGAGGAGCAGCCGCGATCGGAGGTCAAGACTCCTTCTCGACAGGATCTAGTGGACGGAGTGAAGAATGTGGCCAAGCACAAGGTCTTGGTGATTGGAATTGCTTCCGACATTCTGTTTCCCAGTTGGCAGCAGAAGGAGATTGCTGAAGTTCTGCGAGAATCTGTGAGACAGCAGGGAGGTAACGAATTTGGCATTCATCACATTGAGCTTGGAGAGGACGTTTCCATGTATGGACATGACACCTTCCTTTTGGATGTGGAGAATGTGGGAGGACCCATCAAGCGGTTCCTGGAGCATTAGCATGTGGGTATGTGGGGATATTGGCATGTAAGTAGTGTGACTATAGAACACTCTCAGTATATACATCAACGTTGGGTCAGATAAGATATGATGTCCATTTTGTATGTGAGCAATTGTGTCTAGACTCGAGCAGTTTAGTCAGCTCAAACAGTCATCTACTTGTAGAGGTCATGAGGCTAAAAAAGACTCGGTGCTCAGGTAGCCGTGTCAGTGACACCTACTGTATCGGTATGAGTACATACTCGTACTTGTGAGGATCAAGCGGATGAGCCAAAGAGTCAGTGGATATATTGTAGTCGGGATAAACAGTCGCTACTATAGCACTCGCCATATACATACTACTTGTAGGATACGATAATGAAGCTAATAATGTTACCCTACAAGCAGCTTTTCCGGACTAATGATACTGTACTTGTACCCCACATCTCGGAAGTTGCACACTTAGAATCGTGGCTAATCGGTGTTAGACTCACATCAACTGTTAGTCACTGTGTGGTGTGTGCTATCGTACTTAGCTCCGGTTAGACTCACTCAACGACATCACGTCACATGACCCTACCTACTGCTACCTGCCTACGGCTGACTAAACGCGGCTTCCGAGATGCAGCCAGGTAGACATACTCGTACCGGTACGTATCGTGCTTGTACATGCTCGCTGCTCGCTTCCCGATACGGCCGGAAAACCTAACCTCGTACCACATGTCTAGTGCGTGTCGAATAGCCGCACGATCCCTTGTCAGCGTAACTTTAGCCGCCTTGTTTGGGGAGTGTTGTGTGGTGTGTACACATGTCCAGATTCCAAGGTGCTTGTATGTACACACCCAACACCTAACACCTAACATGATAAGTCGCTAATGCCCCACCTTGACCCCGTGTTTTGACCGTTAGCGGGTTTGTGGGCGGGTGAGTTGGGGGCAGAAGCCCTAGAGTCTCATTCATCCGGCATAACACGGCACTGAACGGTACATGCTGTTTGAGGTTATCTGGTGGCTGCGAATGTAGATGTGTCATAGTGGGGGTCAGGACATGATCTTATCACTTCAACGGAGATAAGAATAACTTTCTCGGCTGGTTGCCCCAGATATCCGCTGCTACTCTCCTTGCTGGGTTAACTAAGTATCCATATGAGTCAGGGCTTGTTCTCAGTAAACTTCGGTTACTGAAATACGCTTTAATGACAGTCCCTGGATGGGGGGAACAATAAGTGCCATTAAACCACTCTATACAAGCCTCAATGGAAAAATTGACACAAAAAATCAATTCACCCACGGCTTCCAATGGATCCTACCTTTTGTTTCCCGGAAATAGCTCGTATTTAGCCCGAAATCAAGTAGCCCCGCTTTGCTGCGGCAAAATGACCCGACTGAAGTTAGAGTTTGAAATTTTCCACCCGAGTCATTTTTTTCCCCTACAAGTATATAGTAGTTCCCCACACCTCTCATCCCACCACACTACCACAACACACACACAACACAATGTCTACCGTCGAGAAGTCTTTTGAGGAGCAGTTCAAGCTGCAGGCCGGTCTGGCCCAGATGCTCAAGGGTGGCGTCATCATGGACGTTGTCAACGCCGAGCAGGCCAAGATTGCCCAGGAGGCCGGAGCCGTGGCCGTTATGGCCCTTGAGAAGATCCCCGCCGACATTCGAGCCGACGGAGGAGTCGCCCGAATGTCCGACCCCGCTATGATCAAGGAGATCATGGCTGCCGTGTCCATCCCCGTTATGGCCAAGTGCCGAATCGGTCACTTTGTCGAGGCCCAGATCATTGAGGAGATTGGTGTCGACTACATTGACGAGTCTGAGGTTCTGACCCCCGCTGACCAGTTCCACCACATCAACAAGCGAGACTTCAAGGTCCCCTTCGTTTGCGGTGCCAAGAACCTGGGTGAGGCTCTCCGACGAATCCACGAGGGAGCTGCCTTCATCCGAACCAAGGGTGAGGCCGGTACTGGTGATGTCACCGAGGCCGTCAAGCACATGCGAACCATCCAGTCCGAGATCAACAAGACCCGACACATGTCTGAGATTGAGCTCTACACCTACGCCAAGGAGATTGGTGCCTCTTTCGATCTGCTCAAGATCACCGCCAAGGAGGGCCGACTCCCCGTCGTCAACTTCGCCGCTGGAGGTGTCGCTACCCCCGCTGATGCCGCTCTGTGCATGCAGCTTGGCTGCGACGGTGTCTTTGTTGGCTCTGGTATCTTCCTCGGCAACAACCCCGCTGAGCGAGCCAAGGCCATTGTCCAGGCCGTGACCCACTACAAGGACCCCAAGGTTCTTGCTGAGGTCTCCTCTAACCTGGGCCCCGCTATGGTCGGCCGAACCGTCGAGTCTCTGCGAGCCCACGACAAGCTCGCTTCTCGAGGATGGTAATTTTCCCTACGAGGTATACGTGCAATGTAAATAATAGATGACTAATGAGTTGACGAGAGAACGGTAGAGTACGATTATGAGAACAAATATAAGAGAGCCAGATGTTTCAGACAAGGCGATTACAGTTTATCGACGCGTCTTAAATCTCCTTATACGTCGGAGATTGTACAAGTAGCGACCTTTCTTTGAGTTACTGGAAGCCTTTCATATGCCGCTATACACATGCATTGTCCTGGGGTTGTTCAGCAACACGTATAACACAGGATTTGTGCTTCCGTTTCGATTGAGCACGTTTATTTGGGTTTAATTCTTCTTGTTACACCCGGTTCGAAGCTATTTAACCATGGCCGTGATCGACTGCTGTCTCACTCCTTATTTCTATTCCCTCGTTTTACGGTACATTGTGCAACGTGCAACGTGTGGATCATGAGTTAAATTTTGATGCTGTTGGAAATCAACCATAATTAAACTACATTTAGGAAAGTCGAACCCAGGCCATCACGCCAATTTTCAACCTCCTCACATCACCGAAATTTTCAACCAAGTCGAATCAACACACAAGCATGATCCGAACCAGGGTATCGACATTGGTGGCTTTGCCAAAGGCAGCCATGGCCGCCCCAGTCGCGTCTTTCCACACATCCGCAGTCGCCGAGTACATGCGAGGCAAAAAGGGGCCTCCCCCGAAGAGTCGAGCGGTTCTGCGACAGGAGGCTCTGACCCGAGTGCGAAAGAATTTGGCCCGAAAGTTCAACAAGGCTAAGGAGGAGGAGGCTGCATGGGTTGATCCCGTTCTCGGCGTGCCCGGCAACGCCTTCCTCGAGCGAGTCAATGCCATGGCCAGTCTAGGCACCAACCAGTTGCCCGGCTTCAAACTGGCCGATACTGAGGCTCTGCTGTTTGGATCCGAGGTAGCTACTATGACCGGCGTCAGCGGCTCCAAGGGCGACGTGGCCTCCAAGCTCGCCAATAAGCGGGAAGCTGTTAACCGAATCCTGTCTCTTCGGAACGGAAATTCAGCTGACACTCTCAAGCACAAGGTCCGTCTGGCTCGGGAAGAATTTGAGCGGTTCCCCGGCGACACTGGCTCGCCCGAGGTCCAGGCCGCCGTCAACACCATCCGAATCCACCATCTGGTCAACCATCTCAGAGAGAACAAGCAGGACATCGAGAACACAATTGTGCTGAACCAACTGGTGCAGGACCGACGAAAAATGCTCGCCTACCTTAAGCGAAAGAACCCCGAAAAGTACTTCTTCACCATTGAGAAGCTTGGTCTCACTGATACCTCCGCCACCGAGGAATTCCAGCTCAACCGAAACTACTTTGCGCGAGTCAACTTCTTCGGTGAGAACACCCTGCCTGCCCGAGTCACACGAACCGAGAGAGCCGAGCAGCGAAAGATTGCCAAGCAGCAGAAATCCATTGCCAAGCTCCATGAGGGCAAGCATCTGGATCCCAAGGAGGCTAAGCGTCAGGCTCGTCTGGAGGCTCGACAGGAGCGTCTTCAGGCCGCCAAAGAAGAAAGCGCTGAGCTTTAAGTGTATATAGTATGAATGACTTCATTGTTGATATGAGCTGGAGTAAGCGCAATACGCCATGGTTTGTACTTGTATCGTTCATACATACAATACGAACTGGTATAAACGAACCACTACAGGTAATAAGAGCTCCTCCTTTGCATCCAGCGGCGAGTGGCAACTACAATGTGGCTACTTGTAGCTACAAGCAGCGAAACACTACGCGTATGTACTAAAGCAGCACTCAACTAATCACTGAAGGCAAAATTCCCCTCCGATATGGTAATTACAGTATGAACAGGGCAGTATCGTACTCGTAAATATGTGAATCCCCCTTGAGATGTACCTGCCTGGGTATGCCTCAAAAAGTCACTTGCCACACTGCCAAAATCTGGTGCTACAAGTAGTAAGGAGCTTATTAAGTGTGAGTGACAGGTTGCTCTGGAAATGACTTGAAAGGGTGTATTAGACAGCTGAGAAACGGAGGTGAATTTGAAAAGAATGGGAAATGAAATAAGAGGGTTTCCGGTACTAGGGAATTGAATCTCCAGTCTAAATCGCTCATTCCGGCAATATTGGCGCCACCTTTTCCGAGACACTTGATGGTCCCTCCAAACCCAAAAGAATGGACCCTTATTCCGGGCTCCCATTGCACGTGACCTAAACAGAGGTTATCGGGCATTGTGGTGCGTGCCGAAACACAACAGCACAAAAAATTCTAGCCCCTACAACACTCACTTGCCACTGCAGGGACTCAATAACGAGGGAAGAGTCCTTGTTTGCCACCGTTACTAAAAGAGCAACCGCTTGGAACAAAAATCACATCCACAAGTTCAATATTGACGTCACACGCCCCATTTCCAGCATCCATGACACCTCAACGCGAGTGCGACCCGATAACCGTGCTTGATGACGAGACAGAGGTCGTAGGATCCACAGACTGCATCCCAGAACCCGCATCCGAAGACCCCTTTATCGTCATATCTTCCGATGAGGAAGATAACACCAATACCGATACCGGTAATTATAGGAGTCGCACGCCAGAGATTATCGACATTTCGGACACAGAACGACCCGATGAGCCCGAAGAGGAAGAGGAAGATCCAAGACTCAACATGGAGCGGATATTCATGAACAGCTTCCAGCAAGATCAGCATGAGTACCTCAACAACGGGTTTGGCTTCTTTCGACAGCCACATTACCCTGTGCGTGCAGAACGAAACCCAGGTCAGCCGTCATTCTCACCACGGCAGTTCGCCCACTACCACCACTTCATCTCTAGATTACAGGGTATTCCTGGCCTAGGTTTCGGCGGCCCCAACATGAGAGAAGATCCAGCATTTGAGGAGGACCTGCAGAGAGCTATGCGTGCTTCCATGGAAGACTCGCTCTCCAACTTTGGCCCCAAGAAGGTCTCGCATCCAGAACCACCGACCACAACGACAGAGGGATACACCAGATCGGTGCGCAAACGGCAGGTGGTATGCTGCGCATTATGTCGTTCCGATCTGGGAGTCGGGATTCCTCCGGAGACCAAGAAGCCGAGCAAATCATCATCCCCGAAGAAGAGGAAACGGTTCTCGCGGTTTTCTGACCTCACAGACGTGGAACGAACGCTTTCCAAGCGCATGTTCTTCACCAAGTGTGGGCATGTCTACTGTGGCCTTTGTGTCCAGTTCATCAAGAGAAGAAGAACTAGTAGACAAAAGAAGGAGGACAAGAGCAACATCAACGTCGATTGCATCACAGATTTCAAAGGGCGATATGTCGACACCCCATTCTCACTGATTGACCACTGTGTTGTTCCAGGATGTAAGGAGAAATTGCCCAGATCGAGAGGCAAGTTTTTCAAGGAGATGTTTACTTAATTTATATGCATTTATTGGCTAGCTACCACGCTAGTCACCAAGACAAGATGGGTTTGTGTAGCTATATAGGGGAGATTTTTTATCGATACCGGTATTGTACCACGACAAAATTGTTTGGCACAGGTGAGTTTAGTTTGTGCGGCTTAGCTCAACGACATCTGCAGCAGAAGCACGTTTGTGAGCCGAGTACTTGAGCATCTCTTGCAGTATGTCTTTACTCTTTTGTGTTCCTCGCAACAGAGACAGTCCATTTCCCTGGGTTTCGGAAAAGTTCATGCTCTCAAAAGCAGGTACACAAGCCACCTCGGGCCATGTTTTCGCGGAGGGTGTGCCCAACTTTTCGAATATGTCAGCCACCAGTCGCAGATCTGACACTCCATCTTGTACCTCGTTGGAGAAGAACGGTTTCCCGTTTCTAGTCAGCAGATATGCTAATATGCATCCTAGGGACCAGATATCGACCTTGTCGTCGTAGCCTCTGATTCCAAACAGCAGTTCTGGGGCTCTCCAGACGCCTGTTCCTACGTCTGTGATTTTTTCGTCTGCTTTTTCTGATCCCCCGTCCTTCCACGACACTCCAAAGTCGATGAGCACCGGCTCCGAGTCCTTGGTTTTGAACATGATATTCTCTGGTTTGATGTCTCTGTGGATGATGCCTTCTTGGTGGATATATTCCAGACCACTTGCGACTGCTGTAATGATTTCGATCGCCTTTTCTTCCGGAAACTTGTTTCTCATGGTGTCCCCCCCAGGCTCAATGAGTGTTGGAAAGATAGCCTTGTGATAACCCTTGGCGAGATCCTCAAGGGTGTATGGGTAGTAGTTGAACACCAGCACCTGTTGTTTTGTGAACACCTGGCCCGAGTCGCCCCACATCTCGTCGTCAGAAGAGTCAAACGGGTCCCTCTCTTCATAGTGGTCCAGCAAGGAGACAATGTTGGGATGATGGCCTTTGACTTCCTGAAGAATAGCTAATTCTCTGGCAAAATTGTGGGGAGGCCGTTGTGCTCCAGGTCGAATGCATTTAAGGGCCCGGTTGTTCTTTTCGTAGACTCTCGAGAACAGACCCCGGCCGATTTCTTTCATTTTAACGAGTGTGGTGCATCCAAGCAAGACGTCGTCTATCATGGCGTGCCATACATACAACCTGCAGTTCGAGCCTTGCGACAATGTGGGACAAAGTTCACAGTATACAGTAAGTTGGCAACAGCCCTCAATAACCCACCACACACTATGGACTTCACCTCGGTAACAGAAAGCTGGGTAGACGGCCAAATTGGTGCGTCTGTCTACGACTACGGCGACAGCGAACCCCTCACAGACGACCTGCGCTCCTCCAAACAAAAGGCTGTCGAAGCAGCATATAGCCTGGGCGACCTGTCTCTCCTCAAACTACTGGCACAGTCAAAGGGCGGTCTGCTCAACTCCAAGCTTCGAAAACAAACCTGGCCATTGCTTTTGAGTGAGGCATCGGTAACAGGAAGCGATCCCCCAGAAGACCCGCACCCTGACGAGACACAAGTGCAACTCGACATCGACCGAAGTTTCGTCTACTATCCGAAGTTTGAGGACGATGAGAAATGCGCCGAAGCCCGTCAGAATCTGTCGAAAGTCATTGTCACGGTGCTCAGACGCAACCCCCAGCTACGGTACTATCAGGGGTACCACGACATTGCCCAGGTAGTGTACCTGGTCATGGAAGACGTGCACCAGTCCATCCAGGTGCTGGAGAAGATCTCGCTCATCTACCTCAGAGACTTTATGCTGCCCTCCATGGGTTACACCCTTGACCACTTGGAATTCATTCCCTCGCTGGTCACAGAGCTTGACTCTCATACTGGCGATCAAATCAAAGAGGTGAGACCGGTGTACGGTATCTCGTCAGTGCTGACCTGGTTTGCCCACGACATTCCCGAATTTGACACCGTCTGTCTCTTGTTTGATTTCATTCTAGCTTCTGGGACCATGGCAACGCCTCTGTTTATTTATGCATCCTTAACGTCTTTAAGATCGGATGAACTCAGCAACCTGGACCCAGAAGACATAGACATCATCAACTGTGTTCTAAACACCTTTCCCAAGACAGAACAGGAAACCGTGTCTCGATGTATCCAAAAAGCCCAGAAACTAGCGTCAAAAACCATGCTGGAAAATTATCCGGCCTGGCATAAACTGTCAAACTACTCTGTATTGAAGACGACAGCTGCGCAATCGCCCCAGGCTGAATCTCCGTCAGAGTCCATTCTGTCGTCTAACAGCATGTCTTCTTCCGCTACAGCACCCTCGCTGATTAGCTCATACCTCTCGTTACAAATTAAGGAGTCCGAAGTGCGGGAGGAAAACGAACGTTTGGCCCGCCAGAAACTCATTGACAAGCGCAACCAGCAGCGGGAACAGAACAAGCTTTCTAAGAAAAACTCGTCGTCGTCCATTTCCATCCGACGTATCTTCTTCTTCTCTCTGTGTATCGGACTCACCAGTGTCATTCTGGCCATATTCATTTCCCCCAAGGACAGCCGGTCGTATCTCACCAGACATTTTGAGGCTGGAATCCAAGGATCCCTCCAGCTCCTACACCGAATTGCTACTGGTCAGCATTCGTTTTAATTTATTGCAATACAGATTCTAGCTACACATCGTTAACACGGTAATTTTATCATGATTATATATATGCTTTTGGCTTGACGCCTTAAAGTACTTCGTGGCCTTGAGCAACGTTGTAGTCACTGGCTCCGGCAACCGAGTCCGAGTAGACATGAGAAGAGCCCTGGGGTCTAAGAGCAGGGGAAGAGTTAGCAGAAAATCCTTGGTGGTTGTAAGAAGGCATGTGAGGATCGCTCATCCACGCGTTCTGGGGAGGCAGTGGCACGTAGCGTCGCTTGTCCATTTCAAAGTCTCTCCATCGCTTCATGACAATCTGAGACGAGTCAAATTCACCATCCTCCTCGTCGTGGCCTCCAGAGCCCTTCTTTTCACCAGCAACCTGTCGAGTGTCACCCCAGGAGAAATCATCAAACTTCCAGTATGCGTAGACGGGGAGCACAAAGTTCCAAATGGGAAGAGATAGCAGGTAGATGAACATCCACACGACGTATGACCATCGAGATGCTGTGATGATAATGAGAAGACCCGGCAGACCCAAAATCAGAGCCAGCAGAACCAGCGACATGACAGGCGTAGGTTTTCTCACAATGGCAATAATGACAACGTAGATGGTGAACGAGATGGCGGCGGGAAGAATCAGGGTACCAACAAGCTCGATGAAGACAACAAACTGCATGGAAATACAGAAGACACCACATAGATCCTTGACCAGCACCAGCTCCATCAGGTTATGCACAGTGGAGTTAATCCATCGTCTTCGCTGAGACAGCAAAACAGAAAACTTGTCGGGAACAATGGTCTTGCAGACAGCCTTGGACACAAACACCTGTTTTCGCGTGGGGAAGGTCTTGAGCATGAGGGAGGTCAGGTATCGATCTTCTCCGAGAAGCAACAGGTTCTTCTTATGCAGAGTGTCAATCACGTTGTCAGCGTATCGCTCGACGATATCAGGGTTGGCAAGAATGGGCACCCAGTAGCCGTCTCCGCCCTTGGGAGCCTTGATTCGGTACATGGAGAAACAACCAGGCAGACAAGTGACACCACCAAAGACGGACTCAAAGGCCTTAGCCTGGTGATGAGAAATGTAGTATTCAAACACCTGGATCGCAGTGACCCAAGAGTCTCGCTTGTTGGCAATCTTGGTTTCTCCACATAGTCCCATAATCTCGGGATCCTTGACCATCTCAGCCACCATGTGGGTCAGAGAGTCAGGGAACACCTTAGTATCGGCATCCACCATGAGAATGATTTCATAAAAGTCGGGAAGAATACCAGTCACTCGCCAGATACCGTTGAACATCTCGTGCTCCAGCTCGGTCATTCGCTCGTCGAACATGACACGCTGCAAGAACGACATGAGAATGATCTGGGAGTCTCGCTTACCTCGGTTACCAGGCTTGGCCTCGTTGGCCTCAGCAGGCGTACCGCACTTGACAATAGTCACAACGGGGACTCGCTGCTGCTTCTCAGGTGGAACTGTGGCATCATCGTAGGCGTAGAAACCAGAGTAGACCTTGGCCATGTTATGACGCTTTGTACCAGAAGAAGTAGATACGTAAGAGAAGGGTCTCACCTGGTCTTCGGGGATAGGCATATCACACATCATACTTAGACAAATGTCAGGGGTAGACATGTCGTTACCGGAACCCTTAATAATACCATCGGCAATGATAACAATGAGTTTATGGGAGTTAGGGTAGTCGGTTGTGGTGATAGAGTCAAGGGTGGTTCTCAGACCGTCAATCGACTCGGAGTATGCAGTCACCAGACACATGGTGTGGGCGAGAGGGTAGTTGAACGGTTGGTAGTCGATGGGGGGCTGGGGCACAACGTTGACGGTGGGCGCCTCGTAGGGCTGAGATCCAGAGTCGTAATCGTAGACAACACCGCCAACATCAGTGTTGGAGTCGATCGCAGCGGAGTTTCGAGAGTAGACGGAAGGAGCAGTTCCACTCTCACCAACCTGGGTCACCATTGTGCTCATTCGCTTGTTCTTATTGTCGTGCTGGTTGAATCGGTGCTTGATGAGGCCACGGAAGGGAGTGGCACTGGACTTAGGCTGGTCTCGGTCCACTCGCTTGATGGGAGCCTGGCTGTAAATGTTCTCGGACCAGTCCTCAATCTCGTTCTCTCGCTGGTTCATCTGCTTGTTGTCAATGGGGAAAGCTCCCTGCTTGGCAGAAATGGCCCACTTGTAGTAGATAGCAAATAGGAACTTGACGGCGACAATGGAGATAATGAAAACCAGAGATACATACAGAACAACCTGGGAAGCCAGACATCCAATCTGCTCGGTATCAATGTATCCAACCTTGGCAATCTCTTGCAGACATCGGGCAGCCTGTCGATCAGGACCGTTGGCCATATTACGAGAGATATCAGTACCCTTGATGGAATCGTCATCTCGCAGAGTGTCAAAGATCTCGGGGTAGTTGAGGTCGTCCTTAAGAATGAAGTTGACCATGTTCAGGTCAATGACAGCTCCGTTGAACACAGCCAGGTTTCGAGTAGAGTTCTTGATATCGTCCCAGGTGAAGTAGACCTCACCGGCATCAACCAGCTGGTGGTAGTAGACGTTTCGAGCGGTGGTGGAAGTGTGGCATGCGTAGCCGGGGTAGAACTGCTCAGTAGTGTTGGGTTGGGAAGATCCGTCCTGGTTGAGCAGCTGGCAGGGCATATACCAGGCAACGCTGTCGCCGTTGTAGGGAATTTTACAGTCGGGCTTGGGGGTGATTAGACCCTTGCAGTGGTTGTTGACGTTCTGGAACAGCAAAGAACCGTCCATGGATCCAGCATTAACAGGAGGGTACATGAAGTTACCGCCAGTAGGAACCTCGACTGTGGGAGGGTGGTTCATAGAGGTAAAGTCGTATTGCTTACCATTAATGATGAGGTTTCCAGAGTTGACTTCTCCGTTTCGCACTCGGGTGATGGAACTGGAACAAACTGTGATGGTGAAGCCGAAAGTCAGGTATGCAACAAAGGCGGCAATGTAAAGAATAACAGTGATGAGGCCAATCTTTTCTCGCCAGGCGTCCTGTCGGGCTTTTTGGGGCATGCCAAACATCTTGAGCACAGGAGCGGGGGCCCAGAAGGTAACAATCTGACAGTAGGTCATCCACAGCGAAATCTGCTTGGGTTGGGTGCCCATTCGTCGCTTGACGGAGTTGTGTCGCTTCAGTGTTCCTCCTCCACGGCTGAGCTGAACCTTTTCGTTGACAGGTGGGTCGATGATGGGCGGTTGGGTGTCGGCAGCCTGTTCTTCTGATGAGGAGATTTCGTCCGACTTTCGCACGTAGGCCTCGGTTTGGACCTCGTCATTGAGACCATAGACCTGACGGCCCGAGTAGGCGTAAGGGTCCTCCTCTCCCTCTCTGTATGATTCCTCGTTTTCCTCCTCTAGCACCTCCTGGTTCACGGCGTTGTCGTAGGGCTGATCGTATCCCTGACCAGGCTGGATCTCGCCAGTCTCGCGCATGTAGTGCTCCTCGAGAATAGGGTCATTTCCGGTGGAACTGGGAAGCACGTTGATTCTGCTTTGCTGCTGGGCGGCCAGCTGCGAGTAGTGATAAGTTCGCGAGTCGGGGTCGAGTCGAGCTCGGTCAGGTCGAATGAGAGACTTCTTTCGTCCAATGTCGGGGGAGAACGAGCCGTCGCCTCTGTGTTCACTGGGGACACTGCCAGATGTGTCCTGGGGGCCAGTGTTGGGCTCACCCGTCTCCGAGTTGAATCCGAATTTGTTGTACGAATCCACTGTGTTAGTCATGTGTTTGCTGTTGGACCACACGTCAGGGGAGGGGGTGTAATGAAAGAAAGAAAAGAAAAAAAAAACGTGGTCTTGTGGGGAACAGAACGCGTAACGCAGGTCCAGTCGTGGGCCGCGTACTCACTTCTTGTGATTGCTCCGCGCGCTTGAACAATTTAGTCGAAATGTACTCACTTTGTGAAGCTCAGGTGCAATATCCAGCTACTGTACTGTAGTAAAGTAAGGATTTCGATGTTCGAAGGTTTCTGTTTTTCCTTGGACTGCGTTCCAAAAATATACAAACTTAAAATTTTGAGCTGTATGGGCACCTACAAAGTAGTCTTATTATGGCGAAGGGTAAACCCCAGGAGGCTAAAAAAAAAGTACACCAATGTTTGAGTCATAAAGCAGGTACAGTATTTCCGGCGCAGAAACAAATGACAGATTTCGGTTCTTTGTCGCTTTTTCGCCTCCAGCGGACTCGTCATCGACAATAGTCCCTGCAATGCACCACGTGAGGCGGCTATAAATAGACGACTTTTTAGCTAAGGGGTTAACTTTGACTTCGCTACCGACACGCGTCGGTGGCTGGTTTGTGTGCAGGTCAACTGTGTCTCAATTTTATGGTCACCGCTGTTGGGAGCAACCTATAAAAAGCCGACGCATTAATAAGCGTCTGGGGATGAAGGCGCAAATGAGGTAGACAGCAATAATACTTGAATATGATCGGGTAAATAGGATAAAAGCAGAGGCGAATCGCGCTTTTCTCCAATAATATTTATTGTTAGGGCAACATTTCGTCCACTCAATATACACTGATGACGTCATCTACAGTATTGGTGGACAAGGCAATTTTACCAGGACGATAATTAATTACAGTAATCTTGCTGCCATAAACGGATATGCCCAAAACGCCTGTTTCATGACCCTGTTGGGTGCACACAGCCCTCAGTAGCTGCAATGTATTTCCCTACTGTAGAATAAAAAAAATACCATATACCCGCGAAAGGTTGCGTGTTAAGCCACATTTCTGTTGATGCAAATCTATCACTAAGCGACGGTATGTATGAGCTGTACAGTATGTAAGGTATGTACTATTACAAAGCCATTCAGATGTCAGGATGGGGTATGGATTGATGCGTAAATACAATGACCAAAAGGGATGCACCTTCGAAGGTACACAAGAATATCAAATCAGTAGGGAGTAAGGCGTCAGCAAGAGTTCTGTACGCTAATGCAAATAAATAGAGTGGTTCGGCGCTCATTGTGAACATGCTGGTGTCTCAGACACCTTGGACCATCCGCCCATCATCTCCTCAATCACCATGTTGTCCTTTGATCTCCCGAGGCCTAGGTAGTGCTTGGTGAAATCGTTATTGTCCTTGGAAGGCTCCTGAGAAGTTAAGGTCGTGTCGTTCATTGCACCACCGTTCAACACTCGGTTCTGGAACACCAGACGAATGTCCCCGCAAAGATACAGCTTGTCATTGTCCAGACGAACGATAGGAATGTGTGCAGCATGGACTAGGGTGCCTTTGGAGCCAGGGGTGCTCGATGCAGAATAGACCTTTTGCCGAATAAATGTTCGGGTGCCGCTGGGCATTTCAGCAACGTTGTAGGGTATCAGAAAGAGCTTGACTGCTGTCTTTTGCAGGTTGGATACCACCACTTGGAGCTGGCCCACGGGAGGTATCCGGTATCCTGGAAACGTTTTGACTCTGGTCCTTTCACTGGGCTCTCCTTGTGTCGTTTTTCGTTTCTCTCTCCTGGCAAACCGGGCCTGGTAGTACTCTGTTAGAGAAATTATGCCCACGTAGGGGCTTCCTGTGGCTGAGACGAGCGAGCTGGTGTTTGCAATGTCTTCCCAGACCACAAAGCCAGCGTTGAAGGACATATTGATCTGCTTGGGACATCGCAGCAGCTTGTTGCAGCCCCCTTTACCAAGAACTCCAATACCTGCATGGAAAGGGACTGTTTTTGATGTCGAAGCAGACATCCTGCCTGACAGTAGCGACTCCTCATAAGAGCCCACTAGCGACTGGTGGCCCAGCGACGTTCTGCGAGAGGGGGTGGTCTTTGTGGGTGTGGGTGGATGTGACTCATCTTTGGTCGTCTCTTTTTCTTCGTCGTCAAAAACGCTCTCGTAGTTGACGTTTGCAGGTCTGTGGGGGTCAGGCATTGTCGTAACGAGGACCTGCGACGCACCTGGAACTGTCTCTGTGATAACTCAGGAGACGGGGTTTTTGTTGGGGGAAAGTAAGGATGGGGCTCCTTTATAGACGACCTCCTAACCTCGTCTAGTGTGTATCCCATCACCGAGCCGTAGTAGTATCTGTGTAGTGGGCCTGCAACTCGTTGCTTATATAGTGTGGTGAATGGAGAATGAAGAAAAGGAGGGTTGTGGGGAGTGGGACAAATTTACAGTACATATGGTAACCTGTATCACTGGAGCTGCGGTTGTTATCACGAGCTTAAAAAGGTTAAAGTTGTGGTATAGAGAGATCTGCTTCCGGTTAAAGGCAAGTCCTATGTACATACTGTACTCTTGTGTGACAGTGTGTGACAGTGTGACCAAGAGAAGCCGTTCCGGAAGGAGTGAAAACTTCGGCAACCACATTAGAGATTATCCCATTCATTTACCAGTAGCCATCGACTGTCCTGCATCTGACTAATATTATACAGTAGCCACAGTATGTACTGTACGATGCAACTCCAAGCGATCGAAAGGAGGGGAGGTCTAATGATTCATGCTACTCGCACTTTTATCTTCTTGGTGGCGGTGGTACGAATGGAACTGTACGGCGTAGTGTAGCTCTAAAACTGTCTTATATTGATTTGTGAGGTTACAATATTGTGTGTGAGGTTATGAGTTGGTTTGAATTGTGTCAGATATTATTGAAGGCAAAAATATATTTTACAGTATCAACCGCACTACAAGTACATTGGTACAGTTGTACTGGTACTCGTACGATTCAATACCTGGTTGTAACATACGACACTGCATAGGCATACAGGTGTTGCTACTCATTGCCTCTTCCATGTTTGTAACTCATTCGCGTGAAATACCATAAATGTCCATTTTAATCTATACAATATTCAAAATTAGTTGCTCTTCTTGGCCCGCTTCTTCTTGGGGGGCTCCTCAACCTCTTCCTCGTCCTCCTCGTCATCCTCGTCATCCTCTTCCTCCTCTTCCTCCTTTTTGTCGTTTTCTTCGAGATCTTCAGGGTTCTCAAGAGCGTCGGCGAACTCGTCTTCCTCCTCCTCACTGGAAGATTCGGTCCCTGCCTCAGCCTCGGGCTCGGGCTTCGCCTTGATTAGAGCAATCTTCTCCATGGGAACACCTGTGGTATTGTATAGGTAGGCGGCCTTATTGGTTCGGTACTCAGCCAGTCGCTCGAGGTACTGCTGTCTGTACTGGTCCTTTCGCTCCTCGGGCAGGTCGGCCCACATTTGGGTAACCTCCGCGGCCATTTGCGAGCTAGCAAGAGCAGAAAGACCCTTGGCTTTTCGCTCGGCCCGGATCACGGCCCGCTGGTCGGTCGAAAAGGCCAGAAACACGGTCATGGGCTTCTTAGGCATGTTGGGGTCTCTTCGTGCTCGCTTGGGCTTTGTCTGCTGTTGCTGGTGGCTCTCGTTGAACTGTGTCATAATGCTGGAAAGATGTGGCAGGGAATCGGGGCTGAGCTCCTGGAGTCTAGCAATCTCATCTTCACTCATCTTGGTGACGTTGCCAATGATCTGCTGGTAATCGCTGTGGAAGTCCTTGAGGGCCCAGGCGACATTCTGAGAAGCGAGCTCCAGGGTTCTCGTGGCGGCAACAACCTGGTCCCGCTTGCCTTTGAGATAGCCGAGAGTCTGGTCGTCGAGATCAACACGGATGAGTCTTGTCTTGGCCATGGCGTTCAGTTCGCGTTTAGGGTGAGAGAGAAAACAAGGCGTGTTGTTGGAAGGTTAGAAAATTTGTTGTGATTTTGAAGTGGGCTGTCAAAGAATGTGAACTAGCTTTAGTTGGGACGTTTACGCAGCCAATAAGCTCAGTTTTTTGGGTGAGCATAACATTAGTGCTGCGTAGCAGAACATGTCGCGCTGGACAGCATGGACTTGAGAGAGCTAGAAGTGGCGTGGTGAAAAGGTGGAAATGTTTTTCCAGCGTTCCTGAGTTGGTTCAGATCTGCTGTTGCTCTTTTTCACCTATGTCATCCTCATAATGCGGCATTCAAGTATCGTACTTGAACTCGTAGTCTTCCTGTATAAGTACAGTATGTACTGTAGGGTAACATGGGGAAACATCAACCTTGCAGCAGCCGGTACAGTACCGCTACTTGTACGCAATACATCTATCAGACGAGCTGTCCTTGTTTTGCCGTTTAATACACGCGAACGGGACGTGATGAGAGGATATAGGATCAAGGACATGTCTCGAGAGAGCTCTGCGGTACGCTAATCACTATGTTGCGTCCACGTGTCGATAGATGTCGTTCCGAAGAAGTGTCTTAATGTTCTCATATTGGTATATACTGTGCCGGGTATCGGTACCATGCGTGACGAAGTACTTGTATGTCAGGGACGGGCACCTACTGTACTAGATCTTGTACTTCTTATCGATCGTCATCTCGTGTTCCGTATCGTTCTGCATCGGCCAAAAAAAATCCAGAGTGTGTGTTGACCCTTGCAGCACGTGGTTGAGATGTGTATATCAAGTTCCCCAGAAAGTGAGCGGAGAAAGCGGAGATGCTCCCATCACAACCGAGCACAAACATCTATAACCGCGACCTGAGTGCTCATACAACTACCATAAAGTACCGAGAAATATAGGCAATTGTACAAATTGTCCACCTCCTTCACTTACATTACCGAACCATGGCCATATCACCAAAATACCCCGAGTGCTAAAACACCTCCCTCCAAATGTTCTCTTACCTTCCACCGAAAACCGATCTTATTATCCCAACGCTTGTTGTGGCTTGACGCGCCGCACCCGCTGGGCTTGCCATTTCGATACCAATCCAAGAGGAAAAGCTCATGAGAAACAATCGGAATATCACGAGAACGGCCTGGCGAACCAACAGGATATTTTTGAATATAATTACCCCTCGAATCTAGTCATATCTATGTCTACTGTAGACTTGGGCGGCATCATGATGTACATTATTTTAGCGTCTGGAACCCTAAAGTTCACGTACAATCATGTGACAAACGAGGCTAAAAAATGTCAATTTCGTATATTAGTGTTATTACGTGGCTCACATTTCCGAATCATCTACCACCCCCCACCTAAAAAATGTCAATTGGAAAGCTGTACGACGCCCCCTCTTGTCGAGTTACCCCCCTCAAGGCTCTCGTCAAGCATTTCAAGCTCGATGTCGACATTGTCCAGCGGGACGCCGAGTTCGGCAAGCTCTTCCCTCTGAAGAAGGTGCCTGCTTTCGTGGCCGCCGACGGAACCCCCATCCACGAGTTCATTGCAATCTCCTACTACCTCCTGTCTCAGATCCCCAACAACCCTCTTGCCCCCAAGACCAAGGAGGACGAGGCCGAGGTTCTGCAGTGGGTTTCTTTCGGTAACCAGGAGGTCCTCGGTGCTGCCTGGGACACCTTTGGCCCTCTGACTGGCCGAGCCCCCTACAACAAGAAGTCTGTCGACGCCGCTTCCGAGCAGCTCGACAAGCTCATTGCTCTCACCTACGAGCCCCACCTCACCAAGAACACCTACCTTGTTGGTGAGAAGGTCACCTACGCTGACGTCGCCAATGTCGCTCTCCTGTCTCGAGGCTTCGAGTACCTGTTTGACGACGCCTGGAAGAAGAAGTACCCCGCCACTACCCGATGGTGGCTCACCGTCTCCAAGAACGCTGTCTTCACTGGCTTCGACTTCCCCGTCACCAGCGAGCGAATCCAGTACACTCCCCCCAAGAAGGAGGAGACCAAGAAGGAGACCAAGAAGGAGGCTGCCCCCAAGGCCGCCAACGCCGAGGACGCTCCTGCCCCCAAGAAGGCCGCCCACCCTCTTGCCGCTCTCGGCCCCGCCAAGGAGCCCATTGACAACTGGAAGCGAGTCTACTCCAACGAGGATACCCGAGAGAAGGCTATTCCCTGGTTCTGGGAGCACTACGACCCCGAGGACTACTCCCTGTGGAAGGTGAAGTACAAGTACGACGATGAGCTGACCCTCACCTTCATGTCCACCAACCTTATTGGTGGCTTCGTCAACCGACTGTCTGCCTCCACCAAGTTCATGTTCGGTACCGCTGTTGTCTACGGAACCAACAATGACAACGGTATCATCGGTGCCTTCATGATCCGAGGTCAGGACCACGTTGCTGCCTTCGACGTTGCTCCCGATTGGGAGTCTTACGACTTCACCAAGCTCGACCCCTCGAAGCCCGAGGATAAGGAGTTTGTTGACAACATGTGGGCTTGGGATAAGCCCGTTGTCACTGCTTCTGGCGAGTCCAAGGAGATTGTTGATGGTGCCGTTCTTAAATAAGTCACATCAGTATAATCCAATCAAAAATGCCCTTTTTAGACACACCCACTGGGCGTAGTAACATAATAATCGCACTGTACATACTGTAGCTATTTACAAGTTGTAGCAAGGGGGGACCTACAAAACCTATCCTGAAACTCCATCTACGACTTTAGTCTGCCTCCGGGGCCCTAAGACTGTTCACCCAGCGTGTTGCTGTTGCCCAGCTTGCCCAATGACTGACGCTTAGTGACTGAAGAGCCCTCCCCAGCCCTCAGAATGACACCGGTACCGACAGCATCGCTAGAAGCCGAACCTTCACAGGTAGCAACGTTGAATACCACGTCCTCCTCTTCGGGCTTGACTGAGACCTCGCCGAGACTGATAGTAAATCCAATTGTGTAATGCGAGTGTTTGTGTGTATTAAGGATGAAGATTAGGTGTTATTAGAGGTTTCCAGCTTATATGAAGGATCTGTTTGTTGTGATTGAGTTAAGTAATAGGAGCTGATGATAATGCAAGGACGTCGTTATAGGTACCGCCATAGACTAAAGGGGATTATCGGGAGCCAGATTGTTTTTTATAAACAGCCATTCGTAAAGTATCGTTAAATACTATGTCCAAAGAATGCTGACAGCTACTGTACCAGCACACAGAGTTTTGCCTAACCTGGTGGAACATCACAACAGGGACGGTGTGGGTCGTGTCGTGCGAGCTCGAGCAGACGTCCAATCAGCGCGTATTGTAACAACTACAAGTAGACAACTAGACTACAGTATACTGTAATTGACAAAAACGGGATAAGGGGCAAAACAAGAACTGGAAAGGGGATACAAGTAGTTTTTTTCTCTCCACATGACATATGCCATCACTACAAACGGGTACGTAGCTTGCTTACCATCCTCCAAACCGAAGAAGACAATGAGCGAAGCATGTCTGACCTCAGTGGCGACAAGTAACAACGGTAAGACCTCATCAATGTTACATTAGAATATATATACTTATCTGGTATGTTACTGCAAGCCCAAACACTCTATATTGTCACAACGCAGGGTACAGTACATACCCTAGATGACATTATCAGAAGTGTATGGAAGAATTGGAAACATAATGTGTATGGAAGGATTGAGATACAATAAGAACCGCTATTAGAGCTTTGTTATAGTATATTATTTATCTAGAACATCGCTAGAGAAGGTTTCAGAGATTATTACAACCGTTGTTGTACCGTACAATAGTGCTGTGAGGAGATAGACGTGACAGACTATGGGTTCTTACGGTGTTGCACACACATATCCGGTATGCATCATGCCAGTAATGCGAAGATCTTTCATGCAGCATTGCCAATAAACAAGATGCGGCTGTGCTCCACCCAGGAAAGACTCTCAAGTCAAGACTTCTTAAACTGGAGCCTCAGGTACCAGAGCCCGTTAATGTGGAGATCACCTATTGCGGGGTGCCGATGAGACAACGGAGTTGGAAAAAGTTTAAAAATATGGAGGTGACAGTTCCCACTACAACAAACAAGTAACTAAACGCAGCTCCAGCTAGGGAAACTTACATCTGTTACCGACAATTGGTCTGTGCCCATGGTTAACATACCACCTTCACATAGTGTCACTTCTATGGCTACGTGAAGCTTTCGTCGATGATTCCCCAAAATAGAAACTAGAAGCTCGCGCTTATGCAAGGTACCCTGAAACAGTGCAGTACGAATACGACCGCTGTAACAAAGACATCGTTTCCCGAATATGCTAAACTGTACGGATGGATCCAGTTGCATAGAAGAATAGCTAACTGAGGGATAAACATAACCACTCTGAATATCTCTGTTTGAATTTCCTGAATCGACAATGATTGCATGCCGCAAGTTCGAAATGCGAAGTATTGGTCTTCTGTCAGAGCCCTGAGCATGTAGGAACTAGACACTCGCTATTTATAGGATCCACCGTTTTATATTTATTCCTATATATTATGATATTATGATACGGATAATGGAGAAAGTCACTCTGCGTTATATTACGTACTTGTAGCTGGTATCGCATGACTGTAGGGTCGTCTACTGTCTTCCTTGAACCATACTTTAGAGTTTCGGTTAATATAGTAGCATGCAGGGGCGTTCACGATGTGCTATCGAACATTGATACGTATTGTACATCCATGAATAAGCTGGACAATAGATTTCCATTATGGGAATTTTATCTTTGAAGAAAACTAGCTAGCTCTGATACATAGAAAGTGGGAGAAGGAGGTCAGAAGAGACCAGCCTGAATCTTCAGATTACAGTAGTTGCAGTGAAACCTTACCTTTACACATCTCACTATCTCAGCTACAGTAGATCAACTATATGGCTCTATTTTTTTGATAATTATGAAAATTCTCACCCAACAATGCTCATTCAGTCGCTTCTCCCACATTGACTCACCTCACTGTGGCTTTTGTCTAGAGACCCTTGTCCAATGCAATCACTTCCCTCTGTGTTCATCGAACCAACGATGTCAGCAAGGATGAATAGCAATGGGATACATAGAAAGTTGATGTCCCTTTCTCATTTAATGAGACTAAAGCATCATCAATTAAGCCTGGTGGTTACTTGGACTTCACTTCATATGGTCAATGGATTATATCCCACACAGTGACTGTTATCTATGACTTCTACATCCTCGCAAACTCCAACGAGCAGCTATTCAATGTGGCATCTACTGAAATGGCTTCCTTCCGAGCCACAGAAACCAGCTATTTAAATTTTCTTTCCGCTGATCTGATTGCCATTAACGACAAGTTTGCAGTCGAGTTTCTTCAGGATGCTGCAGGGACTCACCGTATGTACAGTACATACCTTACACTGTCAATGTCAAGTCTTTCTGCATCTGAACCTCCTGCAGAAGCTCCCTATGTTTATATCTATTTTACACGTGAAGAGGATTATGTTATCACCCAGATCTACAGTATTCATACTATCAGGGAGATGAAGCAGTCAACCCAAAGAGTGAATTCGTAGTCCGTCAGGGCTTCCAATACGAACCTATTGAAGACCGTACTTTCGGGGTGGTCGATATTTTATGTCGTGTGGTACCATCACCAAGAGATGAATTTCAGAAAACCTCTCAACGCTTACTATCCTTCTCGTAACGGTAGTTACACAGCCCTTGATAATTTCCAAACTGCTCTTTGATGGTGGAAGATGCCCTCCAGTGCCTCTGCTAGTTGGGGAGTTTATCAGTCAGTTCGTGAGAAACTGTCGGGTTCCGACAATGAGACTAGCTTACAAAACGGGGGAAACTATGTCCAGCACTACACTACATACTGCTCTCCTGTTTGGTGTATTTATCAGGGCTATGGAATAAATGGACTCCCCAACGGTAACAATGTGGCTCTGGTTGATTACGAGGGCAAGCACACTGAAATAATGAGCAGCGAGTCTTCATTTAAACATCGTCCGATATGGCAACTTCTACATCTGTAGATATTTCAACAACTGACTCCACCTCTTCCACTGGGTCTTCAATCGAGAAAATTAACCGAGAGAGCTTCTGCGACTGACAGTGCTTCTGCGACTGAAAGTGCTTCTGCGACTAAGTCTGCCACTGCCACCAACACTGGGAGCGCTTCTACCACCGAAAGTCGGTCTACCATGGAGAGCGTCTACCACGGAGAGCGTCTACCACGGAGAGCGTGACTGCCACTGACAGTGATACCAATGTGGCTTCCCCCACTGAAGTATCGAGACTTACTTCAGAGGCTAATAACACTAACACCGCCTCTTCTACAGACCTTTTGGTGTCTGCTACGCTGTTATTTCAGAAACGCTGACCCCTTCACGGCTGTCGGTACTGGTGATATTTCCTCTTCAACAACTCTCATGATTGTTACTTTCTCGACTAATGGTTCTGGTGGCGGAGAAGGATCAGAAGATGGATCAGAAGGTGGTTCTGGTGGCGGATCCAACAACGGCCCTGGCGATTATGGCTCAAACGGCTCTAACGGCTCCAATGGCGGCTCTGGCAACTATTTATACATGCGCAAGAATAGAAGGACGGCTTGCTTGATACGAGAGCCATGAATAAGCATATACAGTAGCTACTGGAATATAACCACTTCTAGCATTGCTACCATGCGGTTTGAGTGGCATCAGGTTAACACCGGGACAGGCTTTGGGCATTGACTCTCCCTTGTCAGTCCAAAACACCGAATCATGCTATTCCATCGAGTCACAGCCCAGCCCTTGACATCGCCCACACAAATGATTGATCAATGAGACCGAGGCGTATCGCAGTTGCCCATATTCAAGTGGCCACTGATACCACGTCTCACGAGGTGAGGTATCATACGCTTATCTATTTGGGGTTTCCATGGCACCAGTTTTCGGCGGATGCTTGGTCACGAGTCCTAACACCCCAGAAAGACATAGATCATTCGATTAAGGCAGACACTAGGGGCATTGTGGTATCAAATTGTTCCCCAAGAGCTCATTTGTCGTTGTTAAAACCACACACGTGAAAAATAGCAACATCACTCCCAGGTTTGTGCAGTAGAATATAGCTTTTCCATCGATTACTGAAGTACATACAGTACACTGTAGACATTATTCAAGATGAATTCTACTCTTTATTCTCGATCGTGCCCTCGAAGATATGGGATATCATGGTATCAAAATTTTGGCACAGGCTGAAATTGCCGACAAGTTCTTCTTCGGAGAACACACGGATAGCCTGTCTGACCATCTCCAGTTGAACTGGGAGTACAAGGAGGGAAAGCTGGAGCCGGGAGACAGAGGAGGCGAGAAGGTTGGATTACAACGGCACGCAGAAGGAAGACAACTGGTTATGGTTCCAGATCGCCCTGACAACGGCGGCGAAGAAGATCAGAGCACACAGAACCACGGCTGACCACCAGATAGGCGTCTTGGCAGAAGATGTTGCAAAGGTGATACAAGGGGCACGAATGAGAACGCCCGAGTAAAGAGGATCTCACCGCGGTGTAAGAGATGGGGGTCCGACTATCTCAGGGGCTATCTTGCC